AAAGGGAAGACGAGAGTAGTAATGGTAGATCTGGGCTGGAAGTGTGTACGTACTTTACTTGGTTGGTTGGTCGGTTGGTTGGTTCGTACTGGAGCATGAATAAGGGAAAAGTGATGCAAAAGGTGTGCGAGAGATGATCCACAGACAACATGTCCCTTCCAGCAGAATGACAAGGTTCTTCAGCTCGGAGGATGCGAAATGGAATAAAATTTGAACAGTTTTCCTGCACCCAGCTTGTCTTTCTCTTTGTGTGAAGCACCTGTGAAGAAAGTTGAGGCAAACAATGTCCTTGAGGAGAGAAGGAGGATATTCAAATATTCAAATTTACCTTTCTCTCTCTCCCTTCCTTCCACTTACTTCCACTTCTAATGCTTAATTGCCTCTTCAAACAAATTTCGCTTTCACATCAAAATCAACACCTCCGCAAAAAGGGGAAAGTTTGAGAGGATACCTTTCCTCGTGGAGCGAGTAAACATGCCTCTTACTCGCACCGGTATAGAAATGTAATTTTTTTAACTGAATCGAGTCCCACTTTCATCGAGGACTCAGTGTTTCAATGGAATGATGGATTTTCAAGTATTTATTTTTTTCAATCCAACAACCAACTCAGGTAGCGTACGGGGAGAAAGTTTTGCTGCCATGAAATAATCAGGAGAACGGTACACTTATCTGTGTGGGAGGCGGCTGTGTGCCATGTCATGAATGATGCTGAATGATCCTCCTCGTCGTCGTCGTCGTCGTCAGTATATATTGTCACTGGCGCAATATAAACAATTCTTAAGTGCTCTCTGGTGTTCCACTTTCTTCTGCAAACTTTACTCAGATGAAAGAAATGAAACTGTTTTCTTTGCCCTTTGCCAAATTCAGGTGTGTGTGCGGGCACGATTCAATTTGTCTGCTTTCTCCCAACATCGGTACATCAAACTACTTTTACAAATTCTACATAAAATACCAATTAAGCCAACGGAATCCTTGTATTTCGATACACTCTTAGAAAACTGGTATTAAATCATTACTGATCGGAAGGTACATAAATATATGACTCTACCGGCACTGGTAATAACAGCAATCTTGTGGTAATGAAAAATTTGTCAATCAAAAATTTACCGATCCAGTAGGAAGTTATTACCAAGTCAATACCAGTACAACCAGATTTTTAACAGTGTATACATATTTCCCAGTTCTGGAATTTTCTACTCCCACCAACAACAATGAAACCACACCTGTCTCTCACGAAATCGTAAATATTTTGACATTTGCTTTGCGCCTGCATGCATGCATACCTATATCTGCGGCTTCTATCTGTTTACGACACCCACGAAGGGATAATGAAAGACCACCACATTCATTCAATTGCTCAACTCACCTTCAAACTTTCCCCATCTCAGAACAACAATACACATGACGTGTGTCCTTGATTTCCTTTTACTCCGGAGCAGCAGCACAACAACCCTCTTCCAACAAATAAAGCAATCAACCAACTCTCGGGCATCAAATCACACATTCCTCTTCCTCCGCCTCCTCCTTCCTTCCTCCATCAAACCAACCATGCACGACGCTACTCAGGTAAGTCGAAGCCAAGCAGTGGAACGATGAAACGTCAAATGAGCAGGAGTGAGTGCTTGTCATCAGACTTCTTTCCAACAGGCAAAGTGATCATTGGGGAAAGTTCACGGCTAATGTTAAGTAAATCCTTAGCCAAAAAGTGCTCTCCTCTCGAGCAACTTGAATAAAGTGAGTGCTCGACAAACCACAGAGTGTGCATCTCAACGAAAATTCATTAGTTTACTTGGTGGCTGTATAGTAATTTAAAGAGGGGAAAGTTCCCCCGTGATGTCAACGCAGATTGGAGCATTACTTACAAAATCAATGAGTATGTATGTGTACGAGGGTGGACGTGGACGTGGAGGTGGTGGTTGGAGGAAGGGGGAGATTTCTACCGTGACATGGTGGCTCTGCCAGAATATTTCCTCTTCTATTGGACATGTCAGTCAGTCAGGTGTACCAAATGGAAGGTGTTTCCCCCAATGCAATCGAGCAACAAAATGGAGAAGGGAAAGCGCTGCTGCTGCTTGGATTCAATGGACGCCAAGTGAAAGGCGAGATGCCGGCGTCAGCAGTTTCTTCTTCTTTGAGCATTCTCGCCAGACCGGATGGATGCTTGTACATGATGATAGCGGATCGTCTTCACGTATAATACGTATACATACACGTCATGCCATCCATATATACGTACACCACAGAGACGAGCAATCATCGAAACACTCGAGACTCAAGTTGTTGTTCAAGACCTGAATTGAAGAAAACCTCACCCACCCACCACCACCACGATCATCATTTAGTCGAGCAGGCAGAGAGCGAGTGATGGCTATGGACGATGATGGCATGCAATTCTTAACCATGTGCATGACATCCAACCAAATTGAAATATTTTTAAATCCTCTGCCATTTAAATCTTAGCCGAGTCTGGGCGGCGAGTATTTTTTCAAGCACGTCAAAAACTTTGTTAAAGGAATGAGTAGGCGGCGGCGGCAAGGTGAAAATATACCGAGTGGAAAGTATTGATTCCTCAATAGAAAAGGACGAAAACCAACATACATACACAAAACCAAGCCAATTTTGTGTATGGATGGGCTGAACCAGAATCAGAATATTTCATACCTTATCTCCTCATGTCCATGTCCAAAACTCCGATCCGGCTCACCTCACCTCACATACAGCAGCATCCTTTGCCGTCATATAGACTGAAACCCATGCATGCTCAAGTCATGATTCACGATTCACTAGTTATGGCGAATTTTAGTACCTGCTTCCCTTCTTCCCTGTGGTGCCATGGACTCCTCGCACCCACCAAAAACCAAGCCAAAAAGTTGTATGACATGTATCGAAATCGAAATACATAACCAAACCAAGGCTTTATACATATATTACCAAATCCGCCATACAAGACTCGTGACTCGGCTACGTGTGACACCAAAAGTAAATAAAATATCATCGCTGGACATTTTTGTGAGTATCTCGCCTTTTCAGACATGATTGACCTATTCTCATAATCATCTTTCCCTCTCGGTCGCCTAACCGAATGCGAAACCAAGACCAAACTGCTTCTGCATAAATAGAAGAAAAATATCGACACAAAATCCGATTCAATAAGAAAGAAAGGTGTTTACTCAAGTGGAGGAAATAATACTTCACAAAACTTTGACTTGTGTGAACTACACTCGCAGGGAGAGAAAGTCGTGAGTAATATTTCCACTTCATATGTCAACCCATACATAGCTCCCACCTCTCCACCCACCCAAATACAGAGTCACAAAAGGAACCACCTACAAAAATAAGACATCATACGTACGTACACGTCAGTGTATAATATGTGGTTAAGGTATTCCGTCTGAATTCACAACTGCTACGAACTCTCATATTCCCCATTTCTCTACAGCATGTGAAAAGTCTACCGTTTCTCCCATTTTTCACCCTCACTTCATTTCACTCACCTCGACCAGACCACCTTCTCTCACTTTTCTTCCTTCATTCCACCTTTATCTTCACTTTTTTATAGGGAAAGTTCAACTTTAGCAAACAAACTATATAATACCGAGTGTGATGGGGATGTAATAATGCAGTGTGGGAATGTTGGGTGGACCATGACTATATGGACGGCGAAAGAGAGGGATTCCCTTCCCACCATCATCAAGCATCCCTGAGGATTCCATTAAACGGACAAGTACAATCAACACAAGGCTGAAGGGAGACCAGGGGCAATCGACTTCATCCAACAAGGCTAACCAGAAGAATACTTCACTGTCCTGCCACCACGACAAGGAGAACATGCGGGAGGGAGAGAGAGAGAAAAGGAGAGATGGACAGATTCGAAAATGAAAACACCTTCTCCACAAAATCCATAAATTTCGTCAAAATTCAACCTTTTGAAAATTAATCGATACGAAATAGCTAGTCATGAAGTCAAAATTTGAACGTAAAATTTTTCTAGTGAGCCATTACGTTAATTTTGTACGCGCTCAGAATTGATGGTGCTCCCCTCATCCACTGTCCATCTCATTGAATGAAGTACATCGTCCATCCCGGTGCTGTCTTCGCCTGCTCCCCCACTTCCTCCTTCCTTTCTCCACTACTTCTGGTCGGTTTTCTCCTCAAGTGAGGATTTCCACATACACAACGAACCAACTAGCCAAGTCAATATAATAATAGACAACTTTTCCCTATAGGACGGCACTTGAAGCGAGAAGGAGTACGTACATACGTACACACGCAGCACGGGGTGGCGGTTGGTTGTGTTGACTCATTGCATAACGTGAAATGACGGAAGATGAGTCAAGTTTGGGCATGGGCTGCGGATGAAGGAAAGGTGCGAGAAAGTAGTGAGAAAGCAGCGGAACTTGTTTACTCCGGACAGAATTTCTCTCCTCCGCCAGTCTCCACTGGCTGCGAATAGGGCAAATATTATTCAAAATTCAGGGCACATAGCTAACTATCCCATTCCAATTATCTCCCGTATTGTATATCGAAGTTCTATATATGTAGGAACAGGCTTCACCTTGCTAAAAGAAATTGTCCATGTGAGAACGTACATAAAACTAGAATTCCTGAGACCCTGGTGAAATTCTTTCCCCATTATTTTTGCCATTTTTCAAACAGTATTTTTGCAATTTGGTAAGATTTCTTTTTTTTTGCAAATGATTATGCAAAAATTATTATGCATTATGCCCACCGTCCTAATTTCCCCGGCGCAACTTTCCTAATTGATAGAACAAAGAGAATTAAGATTCCGCAGGGGTTGAGAAAGTGAAACTTGAGGGAAACTTTTGATGATGAAACACGACTCTGGAGATTTGACTCTTCTTGACTTTCACCTTATTTTAATCACTATCCAACCCAACATCAAAACCATTAAGTCGTTAAGAAGTTATAAATTGAATGGAACGGCTTCTCACCTTTACAACTTTGCCCATTATGTTACGATGAGTTAATTAATCATGTAATTGATTTCGTAACACATAGTTGATGTATGTGTAACATATTTATTAACCCATCTCAACCAACCCCCAATAATACGATGTATTTACACCAATATTTTTCCGCAACTACATACGACGTGTGAAATAAAGTGTGTATACTGCTCGACAATAATCATTCAGCACGAGGAACGAGCAAAACAACAATTCCGTCCAATTGGCAAACATGGTCACAAAGTAAACTGGAAACAATAGCAAACCATGTATTTGTCTCCTTCGCTCGTCCTTCTCCAAAGAATTTTATCCAGCCCGTTCTTGTACGAACATACATAACTTCATGTACTGCCTGCCTGGCTGCTCGGTCGCATTAGAAGGGAAAGGTGTAAAAAATTGATATTCAACTCACACCCAGAACTCAAGACGTGTTGTGCTCATTCGAATTTTCAAATTCGTCATCGCCTGCTTTCCTCGAGTTCCAGTTGCTTTGCTCATAATGTCACAGCTGCATATTTCGCTTTACTGTTTTTCCTCGTCAGTCAAAGTCAATACGGGCAGGAGGAGGTAAGTATTTTTGCAGGTGGTGGTGCTGCTGGTGTTTCGAGTCTGGCAACACGTAAGTAAGGAAATAGTCGAAAGTGTAAAATGCTTTCTGTTGACTTGATGTACAGTAATTTTTCAGTTTGGCAGCCGATTTTTTTACACGAGGCCTGATGGAAATAAAAACATTTTCAATAAAAGGTGGGCATATGCATTACGGCTGAATTCAGACAAACAAGGCGGAATTGTGCAATACTGGAGGAAGCATTTCTCTCTTGTGACTTTTACTCGTAATAGCATCGGTGGTGGCATATGTGGCTGCACTCTAAGAAATTTTACTACCGGATTATCACCGACAAGTAGGTATACCTGATTTTACCGGATGGTGATAAGATAAGATGTCACAGCTCGGATCACCACGTGGTAACAGCACCCACCACTAGCTAGGTGAAAGCCTATTGCATCTACCACCGAAACGGTAACAACGCATAGTCGTTTAGTCACGTTTGTCACCGGATTTTGTAGAGTGTATGTATGTACCGGCGAATAGTTTTTGTGTTCCAATTATCCCGTTGGTATTTGTAAATCCAACTAAACCAAGAACAAACTTTTGTTAGTAATTAGTGCACAACACGCGGAAAAAGTTATCCGCAACTAAACATATTAGATCCCAAGCAGAGAACGTATGTACACAAAGGATAAATCCCTGCCTGATCCACCTTTTGTGTAATTGTGTAATATCAGCTTCTTCAATTTGTACTCTGCACTTTGTATCAATTTTCCTTCAATTCTATACAAACCGTTGAAAAATATTGTGACTTTCACCTTCGTGCCCATTCACCATTCTGCCTGTCCCTATTACTTACTATGCCATTCTCAAATCTGTTGGCAAATATTTACCCAAGCGTCTTATATTGCATGCGACTTGAAGTGCATCACTACTGCACACAACTAACTTACCTTCACCCTCCATATTTATTATTATGTATGTATTACTCCACGATATTGCTTTCCCCCTTCACTCGCCGAGATGGTGGTGATTTCACCTTTCCCTTCACTTTAAGCAGAAAGACAAAGACGGCAAAGTTCATTTAATCGTTTATGCGTTACACTGTATGAAGCATGAATGGGCAAACAGTGCAAATCCTGCAAATAATCGTCTTTCTCAATTAATGCCGTTATACATACGGATATATCTAACAGCGGAGGTCTCCCAGCGTATGCTCTCAGATTTTGAGCAAAATTATCTCAATCGATCATAACTTTAATTAATATGAAATATGCAAGGCACACAATCGCTCAATACGCAGGTTTGGCCGAGATATTTGCACCCGAAGAGGAGAAAGCTCACAGTAAAATGTAAAATTTATTAACTTTCGGGTGCGTTTTCTCCTCTTCGGATGCAAATATTCCTGCCAAACTTGGGCCTTGGGAGATCGCATCTTTAGAAAATTTCCTATTAATTAAATTTGTGACCGATTAACACTAATTTGGTCAAATCAGAGAGCATACTCTGGGAGACCTCCTTTGTACGCGACGGTGAACGTTTCTTCTGTTTCGGACGAATATGGAAAGCAGCCAAGCGGGGAGAGGGAGAGAATCTCATCACCACACACAACGTTGACTGACTTGACGTTATATTATCTTACTAAATCATCAATAAACCTGAGATGAAGAGAGCAGCAGCAGCACGGAGAGAAAGCAAATGTTGGATTGGGTGTAGATTTGTGCTGAGAGAGCAAAGCAAAGAAGAAACCATTTTAGTTTAGTGCAGTCTTAACCTGAAACTAAGCTAACGAACACACCTTATCTATCCCCACGACTGCTAGTTGGTCGGATAAACCAGAACAGAAGAGGAGATGAGCTTGGTTGGAGGATGATGGGAAAGAGTAAGTAAAGGTTGCTGGGCATGTTGGGTCAGGTGACTGCATGGAGAAATTTCCCAGATCCCGTTCTAGATCCACTCCCCTTGTGCAGATTGAAAGATCTTGTCTCGTCGGTAAAAGGGAGATTGCATGTGCCTATAAAAGTTTGGGGTTGGTTTTAACTAGAAAATCTCCCACTTGGCCTCCTCGCCTATGTAGATATACATGTTGTTCGTGGGGTAATTAGCGAGTGCCGTGTGCAAAGACAAATTTGCAACAAATATTACAATTTTTGCAAGCATATTTGTAATGCGTAAAAATCCTGTCGAATTTACTTCCGGATAAATACTCATTTTTCCTCCGCGCAAAGAGCGACCATGAGAAAAATGATGAAATGACATGATCCCATCTGGCCTACCATCAGACGCGATGACTTGTGTCGCCATTAGTCTGCTCCCTATCTACGAGTGCCGGTAAAATGACTAAATCTCCCACATCTGATGACTGGACAAGCTCGATTATGGCCGACCGACAATAAAATTGCAATTGCATTAGGATTCGATTTCGCGTAATGTATACCAAATCAGAAAATCATCCAGATAAATTGTCTGACCTCCTTCCTCCCACAGACCACGACAAGTTGTCAAATTTACCAAAACGTAAAAAATGTCCCGCTTGTCTCAAAGTTGAATCAAATTGGAGAAATACATAAAAAAACCTTCAATTCATAAAAAGAGCGATATTGCATTTCTTTTTTGTACTTGGAGCCAGAGGTGAGATTTAAGATGTGTGATATCGATTTGTGGTTTCAATTTCCCTTCCGGAGAGAAAATTACCTTAAGAAAGTACTTTTGTGTCAGAGTGACAGACTGTCCCCTCATAACGAGCCGCTCGCCAGCCTCGACGTGAATGTGACTTATGAAGAGTGTGATTCTGACTTTTGGACCAGACCAGACCACGGTCCGAGGAGGAGATTTTCTTTCAAATATGAAATTCCCAAATTGGATCCGTTTCTCATTTTGCGTATTTCATTTGGGGTTGAATACATTAGGGAAAGTGGGAAACTGACCGAACGAACCTCCTCCCCGTCCAGAGATGGACAGGAATTTGTAGGGAAAGTGGGGACAGCGGACAAGATGGTCAAATCAGAGAAGGAACGCCAGATGCGACCACCAACTTACCAAGCAGTTCAACACACCTAAATCTAAAAGTAAATTATAGCACAGGAAAACCTTGCACTTGTTTTGTGGTGATACTTCCTTATACTAAATATTCCGAGGCAAAACTCTGCATTACAATTTGTTCTAGTCAAAGTATTAACTGTAAATTTTAGCATTTCAATTTTTTATACAAATTTTGTAACAATTTTGATCGCATTTCTTACCAAGGAAGATGAAAAAACTCTAATTTGCATAAACCACTCAAATACACGTCATCATAAACACATCATCACAATCCTAAAAAGTACAGATATCCACTGCCATTTACTCTAGTCTTACATATATCAGACTGATACGTATTACCAGTACCCAAATTTTAATAAAAATCTGCTATCTGTCTCATACCCAGGAAAAATCTCGTCCTCCTAATAAATCTGACCAGCGAGTCTATCTCGTCGTAGTAGTAGGTGAGGTAACAACTGTCTCACACCCCACCCAAATCTGACACCAACTGGACACGACCTAAACGTAAAATGTGTGATCTTAACTCAACTTTATATCCTTTGCCAGGTGTGTGCACGACACGACAGGAGGCTTGAGGAGAGAAGAGATGTTCACCAGCACCACCAGCCAGCCAATTTCATTCCTCATAAAAATATGACATGAACCGGACTGGCGGATTTTCCTATAAAGGAGCAAGAAGTTCATCGCCATCGAACCCACCACCCACACTCGGAAAGCAAGCCAAGACCAAAAAGAAGAAGGCACTCTTTAAGGTGGTATAAAATGTCAAATTGAATATGGTTCGAGTTTGGGTGGACAAATAAAACGTGAGAGTCTGCACCCCAACCCGACCACAGTACAATATAATGCTTAATACCGCAGGAATTTCTCCATCATAAAAATCCCGTAGTGTAAGTCCAACTAACTGATGAAAGCTGTCGTAAAAGCTTTCACTTCCCAAAGACATAATCTACCAACCCGGCAGAAGAAATGACGACCACGTCGACATAAGGTAACACCACACAAGTAAAGGGTGCAACTACCAAGGTGCTTGGTTGTTGGTGGTATTGGGTGGATTGGGCATTAAACATTTTTAGATGTGCAATAACAAACCCAATATATCAACCCTATCGGTACTGGACTGTATACGTGCATGTTAGTGCTCGTCGGATGCAGTTTGGTTAGCAGTACCACGGTTAACTGCTAATACCTCGAACACGTTTATATCGAAATCAACATTTGCAAAGGGGAGGCAAAAACCACAAAAATGTTACTTTTCTCTCCTCTCCTCTCATCGAATCACACAAGTTTGTCCTCTTTTTACTCAAACGTAATAAAAAAACAGGGTGAACCCAAAAATTTATCCTGCTTAATGTATGTCAGACGACTTTAATATTTTGTATCCTTGATGATGATGCACTTGGTCAAATACGTGTCCTGCCAAGATGAGAAGAAGACTCCCATGGAAAAAAATGGGACGTATGGACAAAGAAAAAGAGCCGTGTTCTTGACTCTGTTGACTATTAGTAGATGAACACTGTTTGTTGCATTGACATTGACGGGCCCATTCAACCCGGATAATTACATTGTTATCTTGTAACGTGAAAGGATCTCATATATAGCACGGCACTTTTTACTACCACGCTACCTTAAGTAACGATTTTTACTACTTTCTTTTTCCTCCCGAGTTTGGTATGAAACTTTCTCTTTCACATTCTTTCTCCTCTTTTTCGCCCACTTTTTATTATTGAGCTGGATACTACGGGCGGCGGGCGGAGGAGGAGGAGTGTTCATGTTGATGTTGGTGTTGACTTGACGGTAATTGCTTTTAGCCGGGTATTTACTACTACTTGAGAAGGTACTGTTGGATTGGAGCTTCTAATTCGCTTTTTATACGTATAAACCAACCCGAGTTTACAGGTTTATCATGAATTAAAATCTGTAATTATTTCGCTTTTTTTACGGCGTGTGAAAAACTTATATTTTTACACACAAACCGACTTCGTAAAAATTTTATGGAGAGAAAGTTTCAATATTGAGAGGAGGCAGCATGTGGAATGAAAAAGTATAATAAACGCGTTGATAATATTCTGTTGCAAGTGTTGGTCTTCTAATCGGTCAATGTCACCGATAAAACTTGACATGGTTAAAAGTTTGTTACTTGATTAAAATTTGCTTAGAGTTTATCCCCCAGTTGTGATGTTACTTAGTTTGGTGAAAAGTTATCAGATACTTTTGGACAAGTGATCAATATTCTTGTAACAAACAAGTGTTGTTGGGTCGCTGTGTGAGTGTTGGATTAATTTACTACGGAGTAGTATTCCATTTGACCCGACAGACCTAACAAACAAACGCGTGGAGAGTGACGACGACCAGAATGAAAGAATGATGATGTATGGGATAAAAAGTCTCATTTTCATGTTATTTGATCATGAAGAGTGATTTGCATTGGGTGATTATACCCAGAATTTTGTTTCGCAGGGTTGTGTTGGACATATATATGAATTAAATAGGAGCCTTCATCCTGGGAATATTTTTGAAATGATGCAGAAGCATTATGTTTAGGGTATTAAATTGTAGTGCTTGTTATTGTTGATGGACAGGTTGAATGAAGATGGAGTGTCCACTTGAAACATCCATTATTGAGTTGATGGACATGAAAGTGTAATAATGTAATATACTTACTTAATAACAATCAGTGTGTTGAATAGTAGGTCGTAATTCTACTTGATCAATTTAGCAAAAAAATTGATATTTATTCAAAAAGTATATACTTTAATGGATGTCTCCCTGCGTATGCTCTCAGATTTTGAGCAAAAGAGTGTCAATCGATGGCAAACTTACTAGTATGAAATTTGAGGCCAATCCTCAGGTTTGGTGGAGATATTTGCATCCCAAGAGGAGAACAAGCACAGTAAATTTAGAAAGTGCAAAATTTGTCGAACTTTTGGCGGATCATGTCTTTTATAAATTTCATACTAATTATATTTGTGATTGATTGACACTACATAGTTTGGTCAATATCGGCGATCATACGCTGGGAGACCTCCATTGTTAGTTTAGTTACATATATGCAGCACCTTTAACTGACTTTCAACAAAACACTACAACGCACATTTACTATACACTAGATACTTTCAAAACTCAATAATGACCAGATCCCCCACAAAACTAGGAAATCATTAACACGACCAAAATACCAACCAACCAACCACCATCAACATCGCATCCAAGTGGTAGCATTTCAATTTCCATCGGCACAATCATCCAATTCCAATTCTACCCATTTGGTGATGTAAAAGTGAGATAAACTAAACTTTCCTCTCTCTCTCCCACAGCACCAGAGGTCCAGTCGTACGTACGTACATACGCAATAGTGCAATCAGCACAACACATGCATGCAGGAGAATAATTGAATATGGAAGCTACGTACGTACGTAGTCCTCGAAACTCGAAAGTTTCCTAAGAGATCCCATCATCATCATTAAAACAGTCCCCTCCTGTTGTGATAGTAGGGGTCCATTCATCCAAAGGACGCCGCGTAGGTGCACAATGTGGGTAGAAACAGACCATTTACCTTTTCTAAATGAAACCATTACCGCAAATTCATTGCAGAATGTTATGTAAACGATATTTAGGCGATAATTGGTGGGAAATATTTTCATTTTCGTAATACTTTACCTCGAAATAGAAATTCGGAAAGGTGGTTTTTTGGTGCAACGCAGCACACACTTTTGACTACCTACAAACATACATACGTACATACGCACATCGGAGGAGCGGATATAAAATAAGTCCCCTACTTTCCCCTCCCTTCATTTACTTCCTTCCTGTGAACCCTCCACCCTAAAAATGAAGGAAAAATACGACAGCCGACCTAATGCCTATTGTGTTCCTCTTTTGAATCCCCTTCCACAACCTGAAAGCGTTTTTCACTGGGTAGGAAAACACTATTTCTCTGTCAATTAATCTCACTGCGCTCAAATTCTAAAGATTAGCGGGAGGGTGGGTGAGTAGGTAAGCATTGCACACGGTCCGTCGGTCGGCCTGCCTGCCTGCTTCCACTTGCCGAGTTTGACATGGTCCACTGCTTTGTGAACTCACATGAGGTATTATCTTCATATATTATTATTGATATTGGATCTTGTTGAGTGAAAAGTGAACAGCATATACAATTCTGCCCTCATGCCCTGATCTTCCAAAACCAACAATCACCAGCCCATACATTTTGGTAGCGTCCTCATTCTTCAAACCACTTTTGCGACCTGACGCACATTGGTCACTCTAAAGATAAAGATTTGTCATATTTTTGGAACATACTTGACGACATGGCTAAAATTAGCGGGGTCCTAAAATGCATCAAGGGAATAATAAATTGGATTATCAAAACAAATTCACCCACGCACGCTTTACCAAGAAATAAGCGGTGGAAAGATCTCTAATTCGAAATTATACCTCTCAATCATCATCATTTGATATTACGTGAATCACATTGCTTATAAATAATGTGTCTGTTATTATTATTTTCATGGCTAATATTTGTAGCATCTCATCTTACCTGCCGTTTGCCCTTTCTGATTTCTATTATAAGTTTTTATTCCCATTCAACAATCCTTCAGCCAGGCAATTCATCTTCTACTCGTCATAATCACCGCATGGTCATCAAATTCCCAAATTTATCATCATCACTGGATTGTGGAACCGTTATGTTATGTAATGCACCACAGAAAAACAGGGTCGGATTGAATGACAATACATGGTAAAATTTATCTCTCCGTCTATTCAGACGACTTTCTCTTTTGTTAACAGCACTTATCCATCCTCCTAAATACCTAAGGCAGTTTACATTTATATAGGTTGTACATAAGTGGATATTAGTTTGATGGATGTTTTAATACGTTCTAGAGAGTTGTAAAATCTGACGTATGTAATTCTGGAGTCGGAGTGTCTCTCATGTCTCGAAATAGTGAGTTACATCATCATCCGAAAATGTGTAGACGACCCACCTGGCAACCTTAGTCGAATAGGTATACATACATATATATCGGTAGGACAATAATAATCAAAAGTGCTGGTCTTAAATTACCTACGTATTGTTGACAAGGTACGTATTTCTTTATACGCAGCGATAAGAGACACATTAAATCACGTCGTTTTATTACTTGGACAAAGAAAACAAAAGGTAGATTAAGTTGCAACATGTCCTTGAATGTCTGCCTTGTCTTGCGAATTTTTAGCCAAGTCAATGGACCATTGTCTATTGTGAGCTAATGTGTTTTTCTGCAAATGTTAAACAAGGTGAAAAACAAATCAAGGTTAATTTTCATTCGGAAATGGTGACGCTGTGTAGCAGGATCCTTTGCACTTTGTCTTTTGGTTTTTACATTTTTAGCCTCCGCAAATTCAAGACCCATTTGGCAAATGTTTCTAGCTCATCATAATAATAATACTTGGAAGTAAAACATAAACCGACATTTTCGCTTAAATGAGCTATAATCATCGTAAAATTTTTGATAAGACAAATAAACAAATTTTCTTTTTCGGTATATATCCAGTCGCAGGCAGTTTACTAACCAGCAGGCCTTTTGCGCAAATTTTTGCACACAAACCATCACAGCTATGCGGTTGGTCTTAAAAGTTTTAAAGATGTCAATTTTGTTTGCGCTACAAACCCCACAGCCTGCCAAACCTGGGCACCCTGTGTCTGAAATGAAGGAAAAGTCAACAAAAGTTGGTATGACTTTACGGCATTTCTTGTTGCAGTGTGCCAATTACCAGAGTCGCACCATTCACATGCCTTCCATTGTGCATTCCCTAAATACGTAACCAGCATCGTAAAATTATGTAATCACGCATTTATTAGAAACACGCTATAGGTTCCTGTAAATTTTTAATATTTAGCATGGGAAATTGAAATGCAAATGTGTTTTATTAAATTCTAATAAACACATAGTCTCAAATCAGGCTATGTAAATACACCAAGAAAAAACCGAAAACACTTTTTAGCCAAAGTTGCCTAAAGTTTAGAGTTTTTTTAATTATCAAACTTCTCAGGTAGTAAATGCCTCGTGCATTTTTGTCGAATATGTTTTTAATGTAAAATCAAAGAAACACTTTCCCTATCGTAAACTGAACCCCGGACAAGTCCACAACGTCAACGTGTGCGTCTCTCTTCCGGTTTGTGTCAGACAGAAGAAAACTTTTTTTGCCTCTGGTATAAGTTTTAGTAGCACAGGAAATCTAGATTTTACACGGCTCTCACCGGGACAGAAAAGCACGGGCAAACGAAATTCGGGACAGAAAAATGTGGATTAAACCTGAAATAAACACATTTCCTCCATCCTCCACCTTGCCTGCCTGCCTGCCTGCCACGCACATAAATACACACACACAAGAGAAAAACTTTGCTAAGAGTAAAATGTGTTTCCGAATTCCGGCAGTCTCAAACTAAAAGCTCACCTTCCTCTCTTATTTTCTTGGCTTGAGTTGTGAAAAATTTTGGATTCTAAAACAGGACGAGGATTAAAAGTATTATATATCTGCGAAAAATAGCAGTACACTTAAATGGGGAGCATACGGTTTACGTATTTTATATAAAAATGTATGTGTGCCATGTTGCTCAAGAAAATCAAATGCTGCAAAATATTTGATAAAAGTAGGCCGCAATTAGTTACGAAAAACAAGCTTTCATTCATCTTGGTTGGTTCGGTTGGTGATATTATTGCTCACAACATAAAAGGTGGAGAAGGAAGGCAACTTTTAACTTTATCCATCCATCCATCCCCCATGCAGAATAACACAGAAACCAGTACCATAAATACACACAAAGTCTTTTCACTCGTAAAATAAAGAATCGAAATAGGTGATCAACCATCACATTCAAATCCACATCTGCTTCTCACTAGTTCACAATTCACATACGTACATACGCTGTACGTGTAAAAATATGTATGTTAGGCAACAAGGCGCCTTGGAAATCTCGGGTGAACCAGAACCGTGAAAATTGTGAGAGACCAATGAAATATTCGCCATGAGGTTGATGTCGATCTTTTAAACTAACTTGGATTAGAATGAGGCATGGGATTTCACAGCCGGGGGCAAACTTGTTTAGCTAGCCTGCCACAATTTTTGGCCCATTATTATACATATTAAATACCCACCTATGCAATGCCTCACCAACAACGAACAACCAACTAATGCTTACAAAGTATTTAGGTAAATATGCGAGTGAGTAAAAGATGTAATTCCACAGATGCTTCTCTCTCTCTCCGCTTTTTATCCCTCTTTTTAACCCTTCTCACAAAACAAGTGAGACAAGACAAGGACAAAAATAGCTCCAACTGTTCTTTTTTTCCGTTCCTTCTTCTGCTCTTCCTGAATCACGGGAGAATCCAGGATGCACAAATGCTTACTACCTGAATGAATTCTAAATCAACACCTCTCCTCCGATGCCACTTAGGACGCTATGCTACATGCTCCTCTCTCACACGCTAACTACCTCCACTTGTTTTCAGAGCGATGCGACAGCGACAGTGACAAAACATTTTCTTCATCTCCTTCATTTCATCCATTTCAAAACATTGGAGAAGCAGCCAAATAACTGGCAGGATAAATTTCCCGAATGTAAACTTCAATTGCAAACTTTAGCTTGTCTGATAATGGAGGTCTCTCAACGTACGCTCTCAGATTTGGACCTTAGGTTTACAAATTTTATACTTTCCTAATTTCCTGCACGTTTCCTCCTCTTTTGATGCAAATATCTCTGCCAAATCTGCACATTGGCAGATTGTGCCTTTTGAAAATTTCATACTAATTAAATTTGGGATTGATTGACACTAATTTGGTCAAAATTGGAAAGCATACGTTGGGAGATCTCCATTGTGAGTTGGAAAAGGACCAACAGCAAGACATAAATGTAATATTTTGTAAATAGGTATAAGGCTAATTTGCTGGATTGCACTCTGAGGATTGATTAAAAGTTGATTATCTTCAGCAGATAAATACCAACATTTAGTTTTACGAGGACTTGTATAATGACGGCGACAATTTTTTCTTAAATAATTGCCTTGTGGTCTAGAGACAACGGATCATATTTAGTTCATGAAAACAGCTTGAAACTGCGAAAAAATCGGGTAGGTGTACATATTTCTTCGCTGTCATTAACGAGCCCAACTCAAATTTCAATTTGGCAATTTGGACCAACTCACCCGATCCAAACGAGCCAATTTGTAGTCAAGGTGGAATATGTACTTTTTACATAACGAAGATGAATGGTGGCAATTAGCTCTAATTAATTCTCACAAGACCTCCATCCACCACAATTTACGCCAAGCAAACCGACCAACAAGGAAAAGTATAGGTTTCAAAATCACTAATTTGACAAACGCCTGTAATTGATGTTAGTTGTCGTTAGGATTTAATGAAGATGGTTCCATTGGACGTAATAAATACACATTTTGGACACTTTTGGTCTAGCTATCAATTTACAAGGACTAACGACAATAGGTAAAATTACACCTTGGCTCGGAATATAATTTCCAATTATATTTCGAACTACAAATTTAATTGCTTTGTAATTCCGCATCTCTCCGCATACTGAATTCCTTCGCGTGCCGCTTTAAAAAGGTGTCATGCATGCAACTGCCAGTTGGCGACAAGTTCTCGAAAACAAAGCGGCAAAGGCATTCACCTTCCTTTCTTATCAGTGCATAAGTCTGTTCAGGGTGACCTTCCAATTGTGTATCAATAGCTTGACGTCATGATTATTATCGCGGAAAAGGAGGCAACAACCAACAAACTTTCTCTTTAATCTGGACGTATAAACATTAATAAGTTACCAAATATATTCTGCATTTGAGCATCTCGAAGACTAGTCACAGCAGGAAATATAGCATCTCTTTTGTGGGACGTTTTCTTACCTGGAATACAAAAGAAAGGAATAATTAATGATTGGATTACACAGAGATTTTAGTGGAAAGCGAGGAAAGATTTAGCTCTATTTGTTATATTTTGATCTGCAATTCATTATCAAATACGAAAAATTTGATAATAAGAATTAATATTTATGTAGTATGCATTTTTTTAACTGAAATTCTCTCCATTTAAATAGTGCCAGAACTCATTACATACAATTTTCCGTCCAAATCAGCATAAATAAAGTGACCCGTACCACAGAATATAATGAGGAGCAGTAATGAGTATGTCCAAACCAAAAATTGCGACCTTCTCTCACAACATTCCCACCAATACAACATCATACATTGCATGGCCCGTTGTTCTTGTTGCATTTAATTTAATGGAGGTTGTTGGTTGTGTTGTACTGCTGCCAAAATTTACCTCTCTCTCTCTTTCCTTTAATTCAAGAGCAACCTGGACTGGTTGGTTATTTGGCTCGTTCGAAATCTGTTCACTCAACCGTATTTAATCGACCTCAACTCGCTGACTTATATCACCGCACGTGGCCTCGGTCGTCCCCTCAATCCCATCCATCCGAAATTCTGAATAAATCCCTTTTACCTCTGCTGGATGGAATACAATCAGTTCCGTGGCGTAGCAAATCGTGCAAAAGAAAAGGTGGGTGGGTGGGTGGCTTGGTAGTTAGTTGGCTTGGCTAACGATGTCCTATTCATTCATTGGCTCATTGATGGAGATGAAATGAAAGTACAGTAGGCAGCAGCAGCCCAAAGTTGCTGTTGCACACTCGGTGCATTGCATATAGTCATCAATTAAGTCGCATTGTCTGTCAGTTCTGTCAACTGGCTGGCTCAACTAACCGAATATAACATGCGTATCGGTACTAAACTCGGTGGAAATATTGCATAATGAAATAAATTGTATGTCTTCACAGAAAGGGATGTGATTTCGTGGTGTTTTCAACTTTTTCGACCTGTACATACAGCACGCAGCATGTTATTTAGCAGGGGTTGTAGATATGTATGTGTACGTGTTGTTGGAAAATCTGTAATTTCACTACCACCGCGACACTTTGCACCAATTTCTATCTGGGTCGGGTGAACTGCTCGTTTAAATTGCTGTACACATACATATTCACCTCCACGCTCTAGTTGGTGCGTTTTCACTCAAAATTCAGAGACCTTCAGTTGACCTCATCACATCTCCAATCTTCTTCTCCTACTACACCTACGTCCTTACGTATAATGCGACCAAGGCGAGGCACGAATACTTTGCATGGGAAGGATCGCATTACATTTCATTTGGACGGAGAAGTAGTCAAGTGAGAGAGAAAGCCCTGAAAGGCTCAACTTTCTCCAAGTCTCATCAATCAACTCTGTTCAATATCTGTCTGGCACAGGAGCTTGGAAAGGTGGTTCTCGCTCCCTTGTAACTTACAGCCGAGCCGTTGAGATTTACAGGGTGGAGGAGGTGAGCCCAGGCAGGAGGGCTCTGTGTACTACCAAACCCAGCGAAAAATAAAGAAAGTAAATCTGTAGAATTAATTTGATGAATGTTCTTTCAAATGAAAAAGCTAAATACATGTCAATGCACGTGAACTAATTAATTACTAAACTGTTCATTTTTCAGCATTACAAATTCACGTAAAGAACTATTTGTTAATTTTTACCTTATTTCAGCAATATTACCAAAAAATAGTACTGGAAATACAAAATTTTAACTTTATTTAAGTATGTATGTATGTGTGTTGAACAAATGGAAAACAGATTACAAATCCAAGTATCATTTTCCATGCATACAACTTTTTTCCCTCCTCTCCACTCATACCCTGAATGACACGAATTTCTGACTTTTGGTGAAGGTGAAGAGAAAATGGGCTGAACTGAAATGAATGAAAGTGGGAGAAAAAAATGAAAAATTAAAATGGAGTCGAGAGGGAAACATTGATTGATAAGGGTCGTAAGTAATAGTTACTGCACTTGAGTCAGACACTTGACTTCACTCAATCGTGAAGCCTTTTAGCAAGAGAGAGAGGGAGAAAGGTGAAAGTAAAAGGAAAGGTGAGGAGGTAGTCTGACTGAACAGCCACTTATGCCCAACTTCGACTTTCCTCCTCTCACTTTTCTTCTTCTCCTCTTCTTCAACTTCTTCTCCTCCACCAAGGAGACGGTCTGACAGGCTGGGATGAAGTGGGTGAAAGTAAAGGTGATGACTCTAATTCACGAGTCCTCATTCGCCTAACTGTATAATTCTCGCATACGTACGTACTTCCTCTCATCATTTACGGACCGGGCAGGGAAAAAATTCCGCTATTAATCAATTCAGAATATGAATATGGTTGGTGATAAAGAAATTTCTTTTCCAAAAAAGTTGTACCACGAATCAACAAACAAGCAAGTAGCAGCAGCCAACCTCCTTGAGAAATGCATCCATCCCGCTTATTATTGCGTGACATTTGTTAGATGGATATTCCTCTGGGTACAAAGAGGGTTCATAATACTTTTTCTTCTTACAAACTACCCATGCACCTACGCGAGAGGATCTTACTACTTTACCACCACGACCACTACTACAACTGCCACCAACCATCTCCTCCTCGTCTATGCTACCTTTCTTCTCAAGTCAAGGCAGCTTTATTGGATTTTGTGAATGAATGAGCCAAGTCAACGTCAATTGTTGAGAGCCAACTTTCACTCCACTTCACCAACACCGGGCCAGGCCAAGCAGGACTGAAATGAGGAGAACGTGACTCAAGTTAAGTCAAGCTGAGGGATGGATGGATGCAGGTATGCGTAGAGGAATAACATCATCTCTCAACTAGGAAGAGTATGATACAAATATTTTGTGATCAGTTTAATACTGAGATCTTGTAAGCAGAAATCCGTACTGTAATTCGTGACAGTTAAGAATCTTGGGATGAGACGATGGGCGAATAAGTGTGGTTGCACCCCCCACTTCATGGCAGGTACGACTACACTACTACAACTAACCAACTCGTAAAGACAGACAGCACCATTCACGTAGTAGTGAAAGTAGTAAAGCTACTCTCACTCACTCGCAGAAGAACTGTTCAAACTCGTCTTTTGTGAGTGGGTTGACTGATGCGAAATGTTTGGGTGATGTTGATCGTTGGCTGTTGAAGTATTATTAGTACCACGTTAGCCTTATATACTGCAGCACCCTGCCTGGTTTGTGATGATCATGATGATGATGACTTTTGGACTTTGCTTCTTCCTCCGTGATGACGGAACTGGCGAGACATTTCATATTTTACTTGATCCACGGGTGCCCCGTCGTAATTAACTGGTCGCTTTCCCCATTTTATTCCTTTTTCTCGAGGAAGGAGGAAGAAGAGTGGAGAAAGGCGAGAAAATCACCTGGCTCTTCGTGGCAAGAAGGTCGGAATGGGTTCGACCTGAGGAAAATGGGTTAATGCGAAGTAAGGTTTTAACTCGTTAACTCCTCCAAAGTAATAATACCTTCGTCTCCCTCTGCCCTTTAACATTTTAACACCTTTCCTTCCTAAGTGCAACACCTGCACCGCTCCTTAATCTCTCCCTCCGCCTCTCTCGCTGCTCTCTCACTTTGGAAGGAAGGAAAGTACTACATCGGTGAATGGAGAGAGAGGAGAAAGAATAAGCGAATAAAGAGAAGGTGCTCGCTTTAAGTTGAACCTTGTTCTTCCAATAATGTAATCTTGCAATTATGCTGAGAGAGAAAATGGAGAAGGAAATGTGCGCATACCTTTACTTTACTCACCTCTCTTCCTCTCTGCCACTCTGGCCGAGATTTCGCTACTCTAATAAATTAATATTCCGAGTAAACCTACTAGAGCGGAGGAGTAGATGGTAAAATAAAATTAGGCAGACAGATTTTCCTCCATAGTAAATCAGGTAAAACAGGTGACTGCTGCTGCTCCTGGTTTACACTGATTTATTACTTTTCCTCGAAAATCAGACTGCAGATTCATAAATCATCGCATTTGAGATAAATCCTGCTTTCTTTACATTTGGAATTAGTTGTTACTTACCATTCTCTGAACATTATCGTGAAAAGTTAATGAGAAAAATAAACTATTACTGGCATCCGAGGAAAAGGGAGGGCGAGTTACATAAGTCGAGATGAATTGAGGGGGCAGTGGTGGTTGGTTGGTGAGTGAGTGGGATGCGGCTGCTGAGAGTTAGTTTATCTCCTTCTTCTCTCTCCACGCAACGAAACAGAGATCAAACAGGAAGTTGCTATTTCCGATACGAAAAGGTAAACTAGCCATTTCGTTTCACCATCTGTCTTTCTCTTTTACCTGCATTTCCCCAATTAGAGGAAGGATCGATAAATAAGAAGAAGAAGATGGGGGCGAACAGTTGAAAAGAACAACCATCCACCGCATAATTCCACTGAATAAAGAACCTTCGATGAGATTGGTTCTCTTGTAGTTTTAGGCATTAGTTACTCCTACGAGGAGAGAGAGTGAAACAGAATTACATTTTCTTATTTACCATCTGGTATGAAAAGTTAGCCCAGAAATGGTATTATTTTCTAAATTAGTGTTCGAAATCAATTACAGCAACATTATTCCAATTTATTTGTTTTTGCCTCATTTTCATGTCGTCTTCAAAATGGAAGGATCCAAACGAGACATTTGGCATCATAGCAGGAAGAACAAGTAATCGAAGAAAGTACTTTCAAAGTATAATCAGGCTTAGGGGGAAAGTAGGTTGGGGGCGAGGGCAAATATGTATGTAGAAAGTATACGTATACCTCCACCACGTTAATGGTGGTGATGCTACATAGTGAGTGAAAGTTCCAGGAGAGTAGAGATCAGTCAGGTAATAAGAAGGTGGGAGCAGAAACGTGTGTTCTTCTCTGTTCGACACAGAGTATCGTAAAGTAAACAGGTAAAGAGAGAGAGCGAGCGAGAGATGGATGAACAAAGAAGATTCAATTGGAATTGGACTGGAGAAAGTACGGGTTGTTGAGAAGGCGTAGAAGGCATTTGTCTGATTTGATTGAGAAAGTGTACAGGTATGATGGTATGGTTTTATATTAGAGAACTCCCTCCGCCCGTGGTCCTGAACTTGTGTGTGTATTGTAATACTAACAGTTGAGCACTGTTGATGCGAAAAGTTTGATCTTTTCCGTACAATGTGATCTATCGCTGTTTCCACTTTTGTTTCTACTGCTGCTCCTAATACTTTATTATTTCGCCACGGTGCGAGGACTCGGTTTGATAAATGAGTGGGTGGGATTTACTGCTAAATTAAGTTCAACATTTGGCTAAAAATGCGTATTTAAGAAAAATTGTATTCATTAAGATAATGAAATTAGCATTAGATTTTTTTTACTAACATCGAGAAATACTTATATTTTTTCCTAATCAGAACCATTATCTAATCAGTCGTTCTCTAGAGTAAAGGAACCAGGACGCCCATTGCAAAGATAAGTGAGGGAAAGCAGGTGAAAGTGAAGTGAAATAGAGACAAGGGAGCAGAAATTCTCCAGAGACGGCGACAACCTGGACTCGACAAGAAGACAAATAGTTAGTATTAAGTGACCAGGTTGTAGTAGTCCTCCTCGCGTCATCCTATGGACCAACTAGTTTTAGGAAGGTGGTGGTCTATTTATATACGGCACAAGCAGCAGCAAGAGTCGGTGTGGTATTAATTGGATGAAGTTTCCTCTCTCCTGGTGGAGGTGGTAGTGTTCACTTCACAGGATTGCAGCCTCTCGTCGCAGGATACACTCTCCTGGTGAGAGAAAACCTCCTGCTTCTCGAGTCTCCTAACAAGAAGGTGAGGTGAGACAAACTGCATGGCATGTCGCACCTGGTACTCCGTGCTACTTAACAGATTACTCTCATCGCCACCCCAGCCCTCCCCCAATCCAATAATCTCTTACATTTCAGCCAGGGTGAAAGTACAGAGTCGCCATAAGTGTGGAATGGTGAAAGCTTTCCTGCCTCTACAAAAACTGCCTGTTTTCTGCCTGTAATTGTAATAATACGATCCGACAGAATACCTTTGTTTCGTCGTCGTTCCGCGATTACATAAGTATGTACATATTAGCCTGTTTACATTTCCATGAAAATATACAGGCAGACAGATCTTAATTGTATTACTTGATATAAGTATTCGCAAAACCATTATTACGCAACTTGCCTCAAACAGAAAGTTCATAAACTTTATTCTGCATAAACAAGTTTCATAACTTAAAAACTTGTCACCACTTTACATACATAACAGTGTACCTACAATCAGATACGTATTTATATGTGGTATGTATGCGTCCCCAAAAAAAGAAGGAATGATTTCACACCTCTTCCACCTCCTTGGTCTGAACGACCAATTCTGGACGGTTTACTTGGTCGAGTTTTTGTGCGGAGAATTTGTAGATGACTTTGAGCTTGGTTGTCGCGCAGGAATGGGAAGTTTTGACACATAGTGAGCGAACTGACTGCTGTCGTGTCGTTATCACTAGTGGGCACTCATCCTTTCGAACGAGGAGCAGCAAAAGCTGAAGCAATCCAACTTTACCAAACCAAATACCTTGCTTCATTTCCAGTATTATTCCTCCTCGCCCCAAATGGACAAGCAACCACCAGAACCATTTCTCGATATATATTTCTCGAACCAGACTCTATCTCTGTCCGTCCGGCACGCCATTCCACGACCCAACCAACCACCCACCCACCTTCCTCTCTCCTTCTCATTCTGCTCTATATTTCCTGTCCTTTACTTTCATTTTAGTCTTTCTGTATCAACATGAGCATGAAATGAAACTGGCCAACTTGCTCCTGTTTGTCCATTTCATGGAACAAACTACAAAAGCCAAGATGAAATGAGTTGATTTTGCAAGCACACATGACCGCCATATATTATTAGTTGACATGGTCATGATTTCCCCCACAATGTATGTAGGTTAGGCGGAGAGAGAGAGAGAGGCCGGTAATGTGTCTGGTAAAAAGCAAAAATTGATTGGAAAATTTCCGAGTCGTGAGTTTAAAGAATATTTCACAGAGAGGACAAATCTAAAAATGACCCATCTATTTGTGTGCTCATTGAACTAGGAGAGCAGAAGAAACAAGCAGCCGCAACATGAGGCGATGACTCTAGGACCACCATTTTTTCCTAAAATTCTGGAAAATGTCACATAATTTTTAACATCCATTCCTCCCTTCCATTCCTCCCTGTTCATTGCATCGTTTTGGTATATAGGTACATACTTTATTTTACACCAGCAGCAGCAGCCCTGGCCAGCCGTGTGCAGCACTGGACATACGTAACACACATGTACATACATACCACCCCATTAAATCACCTCTGCAAAACTCACCAACTGGTCCAAAATCCGAAAAATATATTTCTTTTTAACGTCCTTTTCTCTCAGTAAGTACAAGTTGCTACATACTCGGAGTGAGTGAGCCGGTAATGCCATGTAAGTAATAGTCTCTAGATGTTGCGTGGCATTATGAGATGATCGTTCCTTCTTGGTGAGTATGACGTAAGGTAGCAAAAGTAAGGAGTAGTAAGAACCACAGGTCTTCACTTGTAGTACATATGCAACCCATGTATGTATGTTGGGTCATAATGTAAAAGGTAGTTTTACTCGCATTCGTAACGTCTACCTCCCATTTACTTTTTGGCCGAAAAACGCAGGATAAAGGAGGTAAATCACCGGTTGGTTGGTTGGTGGACGTAGTGGAATCTCTACTGCTCCACTAAAGCTATGGATAATATTTCATAAAATACTGTTCTTCCTCGAAGTCAAGCCAAGTGACAAAAAATCTTGCCCAACAGCTCCTCTAGCCAAGTTAAGTATGGGCATGTATGTACCTATAGTACTACGAGCGTCACTTTTACCTTTACGGTATCCACGGCTCGCTCGCCTACCTCCCAACTTTTACTGTGTCACTTCTTTCCGGTCTCTGGATACTTACTTATCCCACGCCACGGGTAAAGAAGAAGAAGTAAGAACTGTAATAATGTTAGAGTGAGAGGGGAAGTACCTTAACTTGTAGGTGGATTTTTGGGTTTATGTGTGTGCAGTTACAACTTAAGCTATACCTCATTTCATTGCTTTACTTTAGTGAATATCTTTTAAGACATCCAATCCAAATCCGGGAGACATAAACGATGGATTTTCTCTGGAAGAGAGAGAGAGAGAGGAAAGGGCACTTCATTAATTCTGGGAATTGAGTAATACCACACCAGACACGTAATTTTGACCAAATCTTCATCATCATAACCATCACGAGGCACCCTTTATTAAATTGTTTCGTACATACACGCTCCACGCACTGTACTACACTTCTAATTTGAATTTTGCCAAGTGTTTCAGGAACTGAGCGGCTATCCCGTAAATCAACTTAATTTCCCACATTTTTCGGACCAAATGACTCACATGGCACATCATTTGTATTGGATAAACATTAGAAATAAAAATGATATCCGGTCGTCCAGTTTCTTCACATGATTTATGTGTAGCATGCTGCGACCGAGGATGTTAAGGTTTAACTCAACTTGGCCAAACTTCCTTACCTGTCTGGCGCCAGGTCCGTCCCACCTTTATTTTTATATGTATGTACGGTCGGATCCACCTTGCTGATAAAAAAATGTTGGCTTCTTGGCATAGCGAATCTTGTATCGTATCAAAAAATTAGGGACAAGTGCTACACACTTTCATAGCTGCTGCTTGGGAGGAAAAAGGAAAGGAGGAAATGCGGATACAAGTTGAGAAAGCCGTGTACACAGTTTTGTATGTACGTTGTTGGCTATAAACTCAACCTGAGCTGGGTTGGCTTATGTTGAATGAATGCGATGAATCATCTCTTTTCACTTGTTATTTATCTCTTGAGTGCGTCTTCCCCTAAAAGGTTTCAGTTTAGGAGTCCTGCTCCTTTCTATAAAACGACGACTACAAAGCGCTATTGACCAAGCATTGAGCTTGACCGGTGGCCATGTAATCGTCTTTCATTTGTGTGTGATGCCTGTATCTTTTTTGGTACACGTACACATTACACAAGCCCATTCTCGCTCTCCTTCTTCGGATTGAATACCACACTAAAGTTTGTCTGTCGCCTCTTATCCTCATCTTTTGAGCCCGATAGTTTTTATGGGCGATGTTCATGTTCAAATCTTAAAGACGTGCTTCCACCTCCACCTTGGCAGTTGGGCTCAACAAAGTTGAAAATAAGGACTGTTTGTTACAAGATCTCAAATTTTATGGGTTTGGCTACTTTTTGACGACAGAGGAGGAGAGGAAAAGGTAAAAAAGGTTGTTATGCAGTTAGGCCATGCTCCTTGTTGGCTTCTTGTTGAATGAAGGGATTTGAGAATCTCGTAAAAATTCCTTCTTCATTCATCTCATTAATGACGAGGTTCAAGTGGATTTTATTTTTAGTGTGATGTAAAGTGAAAGATTTTCTATGACGTGGAACTATTGCGCAATACAACAAAATATAGTATTCTGTAGTACAAACACTTTTAGAAATCCAGTATTAAACTAATACAAAGTGGTATTCATGTATGTACGACTCCATCAAAGTGGTATTGATAAGTAATATGTTGTAGTAATAGCTCGGTATTAAAGTTTTACCATTTTGGCAGCAAATTTTTATGGACCGGTATAATTTTAACACCAGCCAGTGATAACTTTAATACCGAGAAATCAATACCTATTTGACTATACCAGATTTCTAACAATGAACTTTTACTAGTTATATATTATCCTACATATTTACGTACTTAAAAAGAAGGCATTGTTCAATCTATGAATTTAAAGTTATTACTCTGACCTCTTTTTCTAACTGAAATTTCCTGACCTCTGACCTTACAATAAATACCTAAGACGCTTCTCATCTCATCACATGTACATATTTAGCCCGACAATGATCAATCATTCTCTCCATCAAACGTCCGAAGGAAACCCCTCGTCGTCATTAGTGGGCATCAGCTTATGTCAAAGTTTGGATCAAATTTCAAAATTAAATAAATATTAGTGAACAACTGTTTGTAATGATATGTACGAAGGATATAGAAAGTTTGAATGTGACGAATACATAAGTAAGTGATTATTCATCTCTAACAATCGGTGACACCACTCGTGACAATGATATAACGAGAAAATTATGGGCAGCATATGTGTATCCAAAAGCATTACTTTTTGGACATGGACATTCCTTCAATAATTCAGTTACAAAAATTGCCACTGGTTCATGAGCAATTTTCCATGTCCACCACCACCGCCCACTCAATACTATTTAGTTAATAGGTATCAAGGAAACTGAAAGCCAAGTAGCTGGTTGGTATAGTTAGTCAACTGGATACACATGTAATTTAACAGCAGTAGCGTCGTATATGTAATAATTACAGTAATTATGCCCACTCAACTCCTCGACACACTTCTCTCTTGAAAAATCCAACGATGACAAAAACAAGGTACTTGGGAGTTGGGAGTGATTAGTCAAAATCAAAATCTCTTTGGTTGATTGGTGCATCCGGTTGCTCAAAATTCTGTCAAAGCAGGTCCAACTAATATTATCCTGCACGTCCACCCACCCCTTATTGCATCCATGCAAAGTAAAGTAACGCAGAGTAAAATAAAGTGTTGTCAGTCATTATCATTTGAGTCGTCCATTCTCTACACGGGAGTCCAAATTGGATCTTTACATTCAGAAGGACTACGTACATATTATGTATGTTGCCACATAGATATTCGTGCATCTGGAGTTTTGAGAGTGAAAAGATTAATCATCATCCTCCCTCGTTTCACTTTCCTCTCTCTCTCCTGTTGGACGTATTTAGTAGTGTGTAATAACGACGAGGGAGAGAACAGTGTGCCCTCATCAATTGTCAATTAAGCATTATTTGCTTCATCTATCTAAATGCCGAGCTACGCTTGATAATTCGTATTTCCACTAATTCCTTCTCCTCACATATCAACCCACATGTCCTGTCCATTTATGTTCATCCCCTGCGCTGCCATCCTCCTCCGTATCTCGCTATCTCTTCCCTTCATTTTTGTCAATTGGATCCAATCAAAATCAAATGTGTGTGTGTACGTGTGTCAAGGAAAAAAAGAGGAAAAATGAAGGATGTGCCGTAATAATCCACGTACACATGTACATAGACGAAGATTTGCTTCGGAAAAATGAGGATTTGTCAAAATTTTATCTTTCCATTTTGAACCATGCATTAAAAGTTATTCACATGAAAGCCAGTATCAATCCATGATTCGTCAACAAGTTGAATAATGAGTAAAAACAAGCGCTTTTCCTCAAGCTGTTTGTTACTTAAATAGATGAGACTGCAGAGTGTTAATAACAGAGTGAAAATAACAGAGCAGCAGCACCACGGATCCGTACACACCTCTAAAATTATCCAGCCCAATCTAATCAAAATCTCAATAAACATTTCATTTATCACAGTCTCGCCTACTCACAATGCGATGGTGTGAAGTGTAACCCTCCGATTTGGCTGAAATTTTGAAATTAGGTGGTCCAAGTCAATACAACTAACGTTTCTTCAGCCAGTTTGTGCGATGGTTGGAGTTACTCAAAATATTTGAGGTCAAAGTTGAAAAAACGGCCGACTTTTTTCAGGTGGAGTGAGAAAACTCCACTTCGATTCTCTTCTCCTCGCATTGATTTTCACCCCGGAAAATAATTCATTTCATCAATTTTAAATTTAATTCATTATAGAAAAACATTAATTTTTCATTGCACCTGGGTCTTGGTCTTTGTTTTCAAATGAATTGGAAATCAAAATAACAAACGGTTTCGAAATGGAATGTAAGTTAAGTTTTTCCATGTTTATTTGCCGTTAATGAATTTATAATCACATTGTTTTTAGTCATGTTTCTCACACATACGATTTCATACACAAGCATAAGCAGTGATGCAAAATAACCAAAATAAAACATTACTAAATAGGAATTAACTTGCCTCATACTCGCTTAATTTAATTCATAATTGAATAAGTGAGATTTTTATTTCTTTGCATTAAAAATTCATACAAACATTAATTTATAAATTCATTAACGGCAAATAAACTTGGAAAAACTTAACTTGCTTTCCATTTCGAAACCGTTGGTTATTCTGTCTGATTTCCAATTCATTTGAAAACAAAGACCAAGACCATGACCCATGTGCAATGAATAATTAATGTTTTTCTATCATAGATCAAATTTATCATTGATGAAATGAATTATTTTTCGGATTGAAAATCAATGCGAGGAGAAGAGAATCGAAGTGGAGTTTTCTCACTCCGCCTGAAAAAAGTCGGCCGGTTTTTCAACTTTGACCTCAAATATTTTGAGTAACTCCAACCATCGCACAAACTGGCTGAAGAAACGTTAGTTGTATTGACTTGGACCACCTAATTTCAAAATTTCAGCCAAATCGGAGGGTTACACTTTACACCATCGCATTGTCAGTTTGACTTTGACTTTGTCAATCCTGCTCAGAAGACTCGGTGGCTAATGGCATTATCACCAATCACCATCACATCAACATCAACATGACGATGCACACAGTCTTAGTTGGCATTAACATATAAAATCACCTTTTACTATCACCTCTCGCGAATACATTCATATATCACTTCGCCTTCTTCTCCCATCCAAATACGCCACTCTCTCATCCTGATCCCGTAATGATTTCATTTCACCTCTCAACACAACCTTGATACTTCTTCTGATGGCGTAACTGCCACGCTCCAATGAAATCAAATCACTTAGCCATACTTTCCTCGAGAAGACCCACCCAACCAACCAGGTTAATTTCCTCCCAGCACCAGCACCAGCACCAGCAAAGCAAAGACTGATATAAAATTGCATGCTGCCTTCGCTTTTGCATAAGTACTAAGGTAAAAATGTAAGAAGAAGAAGACGAGTCAAGATGGAAAAGCTTATTCACAGTTGAGTTGAGTTTTACTTTATTTTATGTCTTTTAACCTTACGGTATGCAATGCGTAGCGTAGCGTCAGACTCGCCCATTAAATCCAATCGGTCTGTCGGTAAGTAAGTAGCCAGTCGTGAGCAGGGGACGCAGCCTAGTTGGATGATAAGGTTAGGATTTTCTTGGAAAAAAGAACAACTATTTACTAAGTGAAGCAACACCCAAGACCAAAAACCAACCATTCAACAACATGGAATGATGATGATGGGGAAGACGAAGAGAGAGAGATGAGTTTGGCTCGAATTCATAGGCTAGGCACAAACCAAGCCAAGATAAGCCAGGTAGTTAAACGTGTGCTACAAATACGTATGTACATATATCGTGCATGGCAAGTTACCGTGTGGTTGCATAGAAATGATTCAACGTATGCATACGCAGGCAGAAAAGTAGACGAGGTTTGCATAATGGAAGAAGATCTGCTAACTATCTGTCCATGCAACATCGCCATCATAAAACAACATGGTTTACTTAAATGGGAAATAAACGTATTTATTAAAAGGTGTACTGATTTTTGTTTATGTCATGAATCTTCTCATTCCTTTATTAGTGTTACTTGGCTGATGAGTGAGAAGAGAAATATTAACGATATCGTAAAAATTCATATATAAATATGTACCACCATCACAATCAGTTTCTTCTCAAATAACGAGCAAAATCCACATAGATACGTACCTACTAAAAAGGTATGGATTTAGCTCATCGCCAATTTTTCACTCACCACGGTGCAGTCATAACGCGAGTTTATTGCATGCATGCATTTTCGTACACCTTGGTATATATTTTAGCAGCAAATTTCCAAGTCAAGTTGCATCATCGTCGTCGTCTCTCTCTCTCTGATGATGATCCCGTTCGAAGCAACTTGTCCCAAAATAAACCAGGGTAGAGGGGAAATAAAATGGTGCACATACGTGTGGGGAAGGTGTTCCATTCTCTTTATTTATACACCTACGCCAACCAACTAACAACCAACTTTAAGTACATTTCTCTCTCCCAGACGGAGTCAACTCAACACAAACACAGGAATATATCGAATCCCAACTAGGAGCATACCTTCAAATGAAATCTTCACATATTTTTCGAGGGAGCGAGAAGTCATCAAGCTTTCTTCTGGTGATTGCAATAACAACGGGCAGGCAAATAGGTGCCATACGGTGGATATGGAACCAAGCCGAAGAAATGGAAACACATGAATCTGCTGTAAAAGAATACCGGATATGGCACAGGTTTTGGTGGCTTCGAACGCATGTATGTACGAGAACCAAAACTGCCATTGCTTTTTGTCTCTCTTCTCTCTCCTCTGCAAACATTCACAATTTCGGGGTTTAAAGTGTATGCGTATGCATGTATGTACGTGTCGGTTAGCTTCGACTACTTCAAAGTGACTGAACATATGTCGAGTAATGTTTTGTTTAAATTTTGTACACCTGTGATGTCTTCGTCATATAGGAAAAATTCTAAAATTACGTTTGATTCACACTCTCTGGCGACCGTCTAACCTGTGTTTGTTATCGTATGCGTCGTATATCGCACAATATTCCACTGATTTATTTATAAGAAGCTCGTTCCAATGGCTTAAAGTACGTACGTACCTTAATAAATAAAGCGACACAATCTAATAATATGCAGTAGTATAGTTCTTCTCGAGAGAATTAACTCAGTTCAGTCAACCTCTCGCCACATTTGTAATATCGAAAGTATAAACATTTTATATAACCAGCGCATCGGAGGAATACATAAAAACAGTCACGTATGTATCAACGTGGATAAGCGTAAATACATCTACCAAAAGTAAAAGAATTCTGGGTGAAAGGTCACTTTTCATTTGATTTCATTCAACAGACAGGCAACAGGAATGATTTCCTAATCCATGATCACCTTATCAAGCCGAAACCAATATGAATGCAGTCACATCCAATTAAAAAGAGTGCAAGAAGGCCAGGTCAATTTTGGCCTGAACTAAACTCAACTTCTCTTCTGCTGCTGTGATTATGTTGGGACATTACATTTTTGTTTTTCACTCCTTTTTATAATCAACGGACAAAGACGCCCATTCAGTAAAAAACCCAAGAATCAAATAGTCTCATGACATGTGTGATGATCCGCCCTGTTCTCGATAACATGCGATTATTACGGAAGTGAAAATTGTGAGTGAAATGTAATACCTTCTTATTCCATGGAAAATAAGTATGTATGGAAAAACGAAAGTGAATGAAACGACGCCTATGTGAATTTTAGCTGGCTCACTCACTCTCGTAAACATGAAGAGCGTGCAATGCACGCACATAAAAGTAAAAAGAAACGGCATTAAGAAATTAAGGCCAGGTCGAGTTTAGTCAGTGGTAGTTTCTTCAAGAGATAAACAACAAGGAGTCATCAACATTTTCATTTCAACAACCTACTAAACCTGCACGTTTGTACGTAGATATGCAAATGTATGTGCATAAGTACATATGTGTAGTTAGTGGACCACAAGTAAAGTACATATGATGGTTAAACTATTATTATTATTGGTTCCAATTTTTTTATGCCCGTAGAATTTTCTGCGGTAAATATTTCCTTTACAATCTGTAACATCCTTATATGTAGCAAATTGAGGTTAGCTTCATACAAATAAATGAAAAGGTATGCAAGTCAGAAACGAATGAACGAACTGAAAGGTTACGGAAGAGGTTAGGTCAGGTGACCAACCAAACCAACACTGACTGAATCAACAAATCATGAAAATATGAACATTAAAGTTGGAGTACAAGTGTTTCGTATGCGTGGATATAATGGACCCTCGTTGTTGAGACAAATGGCAATGACGACAATAATAAAAATTAATATGTACAGAGAGAGAGAGAGACCAAGGTGAAATTACTTCGTCTTGATATATGTACTATACATACGTGGTAGATAAAAAAATCCTGCCTGACATTCAGAACGTTTATGTATGTATTATCATCGTCACGAAAGTACTGTCATTCTCGCCAAAAATTATAAATAACGAGGTAGCAGCAACTAAATACCATGAGAGAGAGAGAGTACTCCTTACACTTTTTATAATTGCTGATAAGACAGATGTCCCGTCATCGTCGCCGTCGTCATGTTGTTGTGTATTGAATAACTGGTTGATGAAACAGGCCAATGCTCACATGCTTGATAATTACCTTGCCTGCTCCTATTTATTTAATAATTTATAATCCTTCTCAGTCATCACATACCAAAAACTAAATACTTGACATTTTACAAATTGCCCCAGACCACCACATACTGCACATGTACGTACGTACATATGCACATATGTATTTGCAACAACTTCTGGCCATTAGACACGGACAGTGTGTTAGCGTTTTAGAGAGATAATAATAATCCCACTACGCCATTCACATTTCCGTTCGCAAGGGTGTCAGATATCCATCTCTATTATTATTCAAACTGTGCAAGAGTATGGGTGTACCTTTATACATACATGCACCACGATTTGACGGAATTGAGTACAAGGTAATAAATGTGATACCTTGGCAAAAAATCTGTAATGGCTACCAACCAGAGAGTGAGAGAACTGCATAAGTTTTACATTTCTTCATCGAATGAAATCATCTCACCAATCTGCCCACTTTATTTTATCACCACCAAACCATACAGATATCCTCCTGAGAGATGAAACAAGAGGACGACCAGCAAAAGTGAACCAACGAATGTTGCACACCTTATGGATAACACGGTTGAACATCAGAAAAATGATACCTCGTGCACTCACTATCCGTGCGAAAAAAATGTATGTATCCCTCAGTCACATCCAAATTCCACATTTTGCTGACGATGGCACATCAAACATCGACAGAACGGAATGATGATGGTCATCATACCACGTCGTATTTGGGAGGAAGAGATGATGTAAATGTCAAAATCTGTGGGGCTCATCCGTACTCTGCATGACGTGCTTACACACGATTAATATGGTGACATGATTATACGCTGTGCTGGACAAAAGGTAGGTGTGAAAAATTATGTGTGGTGTGAAATGAAGACGTCACGTCAAACGGTCACAAAATCTTTGCACCCCATTCGAGTGACCTGACCCTGCATGTTTTTTGGTTAATAAAGCTGTAGCTTTGTATCGAAATCCATCCATACCTTGGTCTACACCCAATAAAGAGGAAGGGAAGGTGCATGGCGTGCTAGCCAGCCAGCCAGGAAGCAAATCTAACCACTAGGAAGAATATGTATAAGATCTTGATCTGAGGAGAGGAGATATCGCTACCAGATCACATCCCATGCGATGATGATATCATATTGCAGAGATTTGAAAAAGAAGAAATAAAATAAAAGTGGAGTGTCTCAATTCTTGGACAGAAACAGATTTCCCCTCCGCTCAGACTTCCCCTTTCTGTATCTCTCGTTGTAAAATCACCTTGACACGATCAGCATTTTTAAAACCGAATTTTCTTGAATTGCTCGAGATCTGATACCTTGAGGGTTGGTGTTGGATGTAATTTTGCTTAATGTCATACGATGAAAAAAACTGGATGATTGAGAGATGGAAATTTCAAACAGCCTTGATTTGATGGGTTTGATACTTTTCAAAAAGAGAGTTGGCTGTCCTATACATCGCTCTTTTCTGCCACTTACTTGCGCTTGTTATAAAAGTCGAATTTCACCTCATTTGTCCCTCATCGTACTACTTGACAATAAATGGTGCAATATTTCTTAAATTGCACATTTTCCAAATATGCTGATCTCCTCCCATAATAATTTCTTGAGTCCGGACTGTCTGTCTCTAGTTCGATTTTGGGTTGGTATGCAAAGACAATATATACGTAAGAAAGATCATAGGTTGGTTATGAAATTTAGGTATTTCGGGTTAGTCATTTCACTCCTCAGGAATTCATCCATCCATAAAATTGCACACATGAGTCAGATTTTCTTCATCACCTCTTTTTAATCTTTTTTATTATTTTCCAGCCATGCATGAGGAGAGTGATGGGTGAAAATTATTACTAATATATAAAGAAGGTACCTACATAAGTACATACACTTTTGCGTATATTCTGATTAAACGTTCAACACCTCATAAAACAAATTCCCTCATCCAGCTACTTTACAACCCGCGTGCGAAACAAAGTGTTTTTCGCACTGCATGAAGTGTGTCAAAAGTTTCATTGAGACCAAATTAACGGTCCTCGTAATTTATATATTTATTCTTTTGGCCGACAATATGCTTTTGGATCCCATTTATTTCTGGGTTGTCAGCATGAAATATTTTGTTTGTCACCTCGAGCAAGAGAAGAAGATGTAGGAGAGCGTGGCGTTGGAAGGGGAAGAGGATGACGCAAACGGTGCAAAGAAGAGGACATTCAAAGTGAAATAATAATATCGATAAATCGGAAAGTTTTCGAATCTCGATCCAACTCTGTGACTCTTGGATTGAAGTGGAAAGAATCACCTCACAACTCTCACTCACTTCACTCACCTTCCCTTTTTGGTCGACTGCCAGGGAGGAATCAGGATGAGCAGCCGACTTAATGACGACACGGAGATGAAGGTGATCCATCCACCATTCAACATCCTCAACATTACTGCACATACATACACCAGATTTTTCCTTTAGCGTCTCACATAAGGTAGTCACTCGCTGAAAAGAAGGGGTAGTACGTAGTAGGAGGGGTTGTAAGAGCAGGTATTACGGTATCTTTCTTGGCACTTGCTGTACATACATATATTTCTTATCCTGTTCCTGGAGTGGTGGGTATATTCGTACGAATGGATGTGATGTCTGACTACAGAAGTGGAGATAGATAAGTGTGTTGGACGAATATAGAAATGAGAGGAGGAGGAGGATCTTCTTCTTCCTGAACAACCTGTCTCAATGGCACCTGTGACAGACAGCCATTTGTCCTACCTGAGAAATCCATCCTCCCACCTTCCATCTCCATCACTCATTTGGCGAAAGGAGGAACACCCTTCTTCATCTTCTGGGAATACGGGCGACTTTCACTTTGTCCACTTCGATCAGTTTGATCGAATACGTAGGTACGAGCACCCGGGTGGGAATTGGTCGTGATGATGACGATGCTTAAAACAATACGTTAATAATTGCGACAATGAACTATGGAGTACAAACTATCTATAACCGTAATTAGTATCAGTCATCATCATCATGGTTGATAATTTCGTCCCCTCTGGACAAATCAGTCATTATCATGCTTGGCTATCAACCAAGCCCTCCTTATGCAAGGGGAGCATTGTTTGCTGCAAGAAAGATGAACCATCCGCATTATCTCTCTCGTTCGTTCCATTGTCTGCATGCCCACCTTTTCTCCGTCGTTACATCCTAATCTATCAAAGCACTTTATCATCCGTGCTCAATAGCAATCTGGTGAACGAATCGGGCGAAGACCGAGGTGGTCGAGGTGGAGGTAGCATTATAGGTAGGCAGGCAGGCAGATGGATGAATGTCTTCTGCCACCAACTATCACATCCATTTGTTCCAATTCTAACAGATAGAGATGTGTAGAAGGTACAAACAGAACACAATCTGGGCTTTGCTGTAAGTGACGGGTAATAATGACTCCCATAAAGTAAAAAAACCCAGTGCCACGACGCCATACCATTTCATTTCGGATATATAGCCAACCAACCAGAAGTAGAGAAAGGGATGGGTAGTGGTTGTCTGTAGGGGGGGAGAGATAGCACAGTATAAAGTTAACGACTTCCTCCCACCTGACCTGATAAGTTGAAATGTAGACAGACAGGTGCTCCATTTTGTGCAAAATGGAGGTCCAACCAACCAACCAAAACCAACCCAATCATTAGTTACACTTTTATACGACGTATTTACTTTTCCCCAAATGTATTTCATCATGAGAGATTAGTACGAACTGATTAACAAGAACTACCCCGAGTGCATAACTTTAGTAATAAATAGGTAAATCTTATGAAGTTGGGATTATGAATGACTCTTACTTAACGGATAATTATTATTGCACTACATACATATCTGCTTGTCATGGAAAGTCCATCAATGCACTCGCTGCTGCACGAGGTCAACAGTACTTAATTAATTATAATCAATCCAACACAAGCATAAGAGGAATGAACTCCGCATGTACAGAAGATATACGTAATCCAATCATCCAGCAAGAATTCAACAGAGGTTGGCATCCCGAATAATAATTTATGAATAACGCAATCTTTCTTTATCAAGAAAAGTAAGTAGTAGTCACTCAGGACCAGGGGCCGCAGAAGCCGTGGGGACATCTGGGGACATTGACATTGTAGGATGGGGGAGGGAGGAGGTTGTATATTTAACATGGGCAGATAATGGGGACATTGAATAACCGTGGGGACATTGTCCCTCTGCCCCCACATTTCTCTGCTCTGCCACTGCTCAGGACAGTTAGCTAGAAGACAAGACAAGCATAATGTACATTATATTAAATCCTCCTCTCCTGCTACGATGCGTTGTGAAGCGGAATGACGCAGTTAATTTAATAATTGGAGCAGGAAGGGTGAAGAAGGATATGATAAAAAGACGTGAGAGGCAGGATTTTCCATCACCATTTTCATTGGCTGGTGGTAAAATATATAAATATGGGAATGATATAAGACGAAAACTGTTTAGATTTCCCTTCAAAGAGGAAGGATTGATTTTGACTGACTTTTTAAAACATTTCTGGTCAAACAGCAACAGAGGTACATGTACGATTTTTAATACTAATGATAAAGTTCATATACTCACTTTCTTCCTTTCGACAACCCAAAAAAAAGCATGTATTCACCTCTCAAGCTCAATCCTTGCTCTCAGTCATCGAGAACCAACTGCATTTTTCATTATCTCTAATTCGTGACATATTCACTTTCCTGTGAGGCAGGGATGGATGTCAATAACAAACTTGACATGACAAGCATACTACCAACCAGGATGAAGCTTGCATATGACTAAGCCATCGCATTTCTTTATAGCCAAACACATACATACTTACGCAGTTAGTTAGTTATTGTGACTACACTAAATATTTCTGGTCGTTGGTAATGCATATCTTTTGACTAGTGGACAACAACCATCGTTAATTTTAATGTTGATTAGTTTAGCGAACTTTCAATTTATACAAATACATACAAAATTCCACGTACGTAACATTGCATGCAACGCTTTAACCTGAAACATATACACACTACGAAGATTTCATTACAAGACGAAATGCCAACCCCTCCATCCATTCCCATCATCAACTAAAACCACCACCAGTAAAGGAAAACATTTCACGGTAAAATTTTAACTAAGCTGAGCAACAAAAAAGTTGATAAATCTAAGACAAATACAGACTAAAAAAGAAAGAGAGAGAGAGACAGACGCTGACTCCAACAACTTCGTCTCAGAGATCAAATCCAGCCCACCAACCATACAAAAAAACACAAAGTCACTAATCCACCATACATTACGGACTGTGCATCAGTACCACCTCACATCACACACGGAGCCCAACCTTCCTTTGCGTCTTAGGTACTTTTATTTAGTAAAGTCCATCCAGGTTTTGGTTTGTTATTACATTACACACCACTCACTCACTTCATGAAACTATGTACTCGTACATGTGGCAGTAATGGTGCGACCTTATAAGACAGACACCAAACAACAAAACATGCCTCCTTCTTCAAAGTGAGAAATCTTTTTATACAAAGTTAACCGAGTTAACTTGGGAATGAACAGTAAGTAAGTACGTAATGGATCTTCTCGAATGTAGTCGTGGTGTGGTGGTGATCTCTTCAAACGAATAAGTACCACTGCACTGTTGCCTCCTCATGTGTTAAACATGTCCAATCCTCAAAAAAATCTCATCAACATTAAAAAGCAGGTTCGAGTTCGAAACTTGGAGTTCGGTTGACGTTGTTGTTGAGCTGGAATGAGCAGCATCTTTTCTGACAGAGAGAATCTGTAGCAGGATGGAATTAATAATCGTTAATTCTTATGACCAAAAACAGAATGGATGGCAAACTACTTTTCATGACATTTAAATTAAAATAAGGTGGATAATTGAAGGTGCACAAAGCCATAAATTGGTTTCGAATGACCAAAGTCAATCAATTCAACAGATTAAAATACTTACTTGCACACATATATAATTTGAGACGTATGGAATCAAAATTCAACAAAAAATCTCTTCCATTAAAGAAGGCTAAGAAAACCACCTCCACTTTGTACGGCAAGTGTAAAATATACATATGTACATATGAACACATATTCCCATGCATGTATCAACCCCACCCTCAACTTGAATCTAATCACTTTTAAACTCAACTCTTTATTTAATCTTTCCATCCCATCTCATGACCATCATCTTCTTGAGTTAAACAAATTAAATTAACCACACCGGACAGCCGACAGATGAATATTAACAGAAAAGAGTTCACTCAATGCTGGATGGAACCACCAGTTGATTTCATTTAAACAATTTTCTATTACATACAACCATCAACTCTGGCAGGAATGCTAAATGTAAATAAAAATGACATTGAAATTTCCCCTTTGCAAGGAGGAGTAAGAAAAAAAGTAAAAAATAATCCCACACTTTGAACGACGACCAAATCCAGTTGGAAGATGCACTCATTAACGACAGGCAGGTTGAATGGTTCAAAAGTGGTATAAGAAATGTAGGAGAGAATTGACAGGAAGAATATGGACGAGGCAACGGCAAGGCACATGTGGTCGCATCCGGAGCAAATTGGTTAAATTTTAATGGCTCAAGAAAAGGCTTTAAAATTTCTCCTAACCATCCACCTCCATTTTCAATATTATTTTACTACCGGCAAGCAACCAGGCAGGGAAGGCAGGCTGGTTGTTAGAAAAATAAAAAAAAGTGGATACGACAACAGGAGAGGGAAGAGAAGAAAGGGATGAAAAAGAAGGGAGCACATTATCATCATCTTATGTCTCGGTTAAGGTACTTTTACAATTGGATGCTGCTTTTTCCTCCTTCGCCGTGATCCTTGTCAACCCTGTTACATCAGTGGGCACAACAGATGATATACATAGATCCTAAATGTCTATGTACATGCACAAACTCCAACAAAATGGATACCACCTTTTCCATTACTTTGCTACTACCAGAGTTCTATATGCACGTACGTAAACCAAATACCTAAAGAAATTGCTATCAGTTTCAATTATATATGTAGAGCTCAAATGATTCCCATGTGTATCTGCGTATATATTTACTAATTCTTCGCCACATATGGCGTCGTCTTCATTAAGAAGTAGGTGAACAAAAAGTGAAGTGTTCTTTGTTCAGGAGGCAAATGCAGGAGACGGATGAGTGCTTAAACCAGCCGGGAGGTCCTTCATTTCATTTCATCCATATTTTCTACCACCACTCAACCTTTAATGTAAGTCTTAAGGCGTCACGTAACCCGACTTGGAATAAGTCAGCTTGTATTATTGTTGGGTGTAACATGTGTAAATTCATAGATTAATTGCATTTATTCCAATAGCCATGCCTCCTGCGTGTGATAAAACACACCTCTTCTATAAAACAAAAATTTCAAAATGTGCCTGTAATTCTGCCATGAAAAAACTAAATAAAACCTGTGAAGTAAACCAGAAACCTTCATCTCTGCATCGACTCCTGAGAAAGAAAGAAACATTCCCATGACACTGAGGTCTCTACACTGCTGCTCCAGTTTTAAGGGTTGCTGCTGCATTACACGACTTATATGATGATCTCTCCTCCAGAATTCTTCTCTGAACCTTTATTTATTAACCGACAAACCAGAACTTCACAAATCGTCTCGACCAACCGAGACAATAATAATAACGCACCGACCTGTTTCTTGGTTCGTTCTGACTGCCTTCATCTCCAGATAAAGTATAGTCAAGGGCATGCCAAGGGAAGATTGGATTTAGGATGTGTGTGTGTGCGTATGTGTGATGAGATAGTAAAAGTTATGCACAAGGTTTGTCAGAATTCGAAAAACGACGACGACGGTCGGTCAGATTACAACAGTTTCTTTCAACCCTGTTGCTCAGGACTAATCCCAAAGTTTCAACCGTACACAATAATCCATCCAAATCCGATGAAGTACAGGAAAAGTGAAACAAAGGGAAAGAGGCAAATAAGAAACCGTGAGATTTTGGAAGTCGCATTCATGCGCCGAGAAGAGGAAGGGTGATAATGAACAGGACATCGAAATATGTACTTCATTTTTATTATTTTGTATAAGGCAGTCAAGATAAGATTAACGTGTCCACCGTTAAGCCAAGTTGTGGCGATGCATAAATAAATAATATAAAATTTTGTGACTTAAAAATCCAATTTTCAAAGGTGAAATTCCAAGAATCTTTACAAAAAAATAAACAAATAACCATCACCTTTCTTTTGTCATGTTACATAGATTACTACAATTAACTATTACCTATGCAAATAAATACGTAGGTGTATAACACGTTCATACAAAAACAAACAAGGAAATTAAACAAGAAGGTGTACACATCAACGTAGTAAATTTTCCAGAAGTGCACATGCCCGATTAATGATATGTATGTACGAGTAAGGTGAAAATGAAATCCGAGCTGGGCGTACCTTGCTCTTTGCCGTTATTACCAACCAAGTTATTCACCAAGTCTGACAGACATGAAATTAAGCAAATGTTTCATACAATTTGATACTGCACAATGAACCCCATCCACATATTTGCACACATACCCAATGTTATTGCTACATATTTTTAACAATCGCCTGACATTCAGATTTCTATCGCAATTTAACACCTTTGATAGTTCACCTTGAATTTGGAGGAGGAGAATGTCATAAGAATTTTAATTCCCATAAGAATTTTAATTACACAATTTTGTACCAGCACATGCACCGTCTGAACATGTTGGACAACGTTTAATTGCTTTGGTGTCTACCCGAATTTTGTTTTTGTTTTCTCATATTTCTTGTATCCATATGCATAATGAGTAGCGAGACTGGCACTAATTCAGCCATTTAAGACGAGAGTTAGGCAACAGAGCGAGGAAAACAAAAGTCCAGTGTAACATGCCTGTCAATCAGCAACCACTCCCAAAGTCGGTCCACTAACCGCAGCCCATTTTTCACATTTGCTGAGAAAGGAATTGAATTCATCATGTCAAAAATCGTCAGAAAGTCAGTGTATGAAACCAGAAGGCTTGGTTTCCCATTAATAATAATGGTTCCCTCTCCTCTGCATACCTACCTACTTTCAAAAACGCATTCTTTTTAAAACTTGTACAGGAATTTGGAGCAGTATGAAGTGAGATATCTGAAAGCTCTGCGGACTGGAAGATGATGATAGAAAGAGAGGACGACACGACAGGAAATGGTGGATGTAGATCTCAAAGAAACCTTCTTATTCCAGAAACCAAAGGTCAGTTTCTGTCAAGGGTGGGTGAAAATGGAGCCGAGGGACGACAGGGTATGCGTATGTACGACAGTATTACATACGAGTGCATATTTCTGGGAGGGGGATGAAGTTATATACAAGGAGCAAGGATTGTTTTTAACAACTTTAAACGCACAGAATGTAAAATTCTGAAAAATTCTACCTAAAATAATAACGAAATACAATTTTTTGTAATACTTGTGGACATCAGAAACTTGCAAAAATTATAAAGGGCATCACGTACATATATATTTTCGTGATATACCCGTTTAATAAATTTAACTCTACGTGAAATGTTCTGCAACCGGTTTTTGTCACCACACCTGAAAAATCCCCCCCTTCTCGAATAAGTATACTTTGTACGACCCGAAAAATAAATCCCTCGCATTGATCCCATTATGATTCTGACCAAACGGAACAACCCCGCTTAAGCTTGGTCCAACACTCGCAAACAATGCACACGATTTTAGATAGAGCGACTCTTACATAGAATTTTGCTTTAATTGTACCTTCTTCCATCACGTAAGTAATAGGCTATGAAACTAAAGATTCACTAAAGTACATAATGGTGACATTATTGCATGACAGGTCAAACATGTATAGCCGGCAGTGCATCCAGGATGCAATTCTTTGAAAATTCTGTATGTCATGGATAGCATTTTGTACATGTAAAAGCTGCACTGCACTGCACAATGCAATCCGTAAGCTCTGCGTGGAACGGACAGATGCAGAGCTTGATAATGTAATGATATTAATGACTTTGTTGGAGGAACTGGGGGTCTGAAGTGGGACAACAGGGACTTGTGCACCATGCACACAGCCCTTGGCTGCTTTTGTCAACGGTATAATACAAATGCAAAGCGAATCTCTCTCTCTCGGACCAACCCCACCGTCGTCGTCGGTTCCTGATCTTCCACCATGATACCGGATTTAGGGTTGACACAACACGGCAAACTGTCACGGAATAAGGAAATCGGATGATTTGGATGGATATTGACATGGTCAAGATAGAGATGTATTGGATAATGATGGAATATTTTCCGTGTTACAAGAAGAGGATACTTATTGAGAAATTTCATATTCAAAATACTGACTTCTGCGTCCACATACATACATATTTAGTTGAAATTCCTAATTACGCCTGGTAGCTCGGGTGTTACCAGGTTTCGCAACGCATATCAGATTTTTATTCCATGTGTCCCCTCACAAAAATCATTCCCATTATCGCACCAACAATCCGAAAAAACTAGTTACCCTTCTTCGGGACGAATCCGCTCCTGAGTAAAACCAAAATCCGTGCAGATGAAAGGCACGCTTACACCTTTGGACAAAGGGACAGATTGTGACCCTATCGCCCTATTCAGCACCACACACTCGCGCATTTATTCAAGGTATTCATCCAACTTCAACCTCGTCCAATCTCGCAACTAACCCAGCAAGCAAGCGAGATGAGAAAGAGGGGACATGAAAGAAACTCAAAAATACATCCCAACATGCACAAAGTACATACATACAATTTAATCTTCGTATCCCAATCTGACGACCAATGCAAAAATAACAGAGACACAGATACGTAGAGAGTATATGCATGTGAGTAAGTCGATCTGCTTTTACAATCTATTCACTCATCCATCCAACCAAAGCAACGGTTAACTTGGCGATTTTCATACAGAGATGCAATAATCCAACACACATAGATATCTACCCAGGTTTGTTTCTATTTCTGCTTACTTTTTCACACCTAGAGCAAAATTAAGCATTTGAAATTCAGATAGTGTACTCGCCTGTCTAGGGAAAGAGTACATAGAATAAACCAAAATAATTCCCAGTGGTAAAATCATAGTAAATAAATTGTCGCTGAGCTCTCACCTGAATATTTCGCTGGATAAATATAAATACATACAAACAGTCAAAAAGTACTATATAAACTAGGTGTAGTTGTGAATCAAATCAAGTTATGTTATGAGCTCTGTATTTTGCTACGTACATACGTAAATCCACTTGGGATTCTCTCTCTCTCTCTTTCCCCATCGTCGCCCTCGTCGTCTGCACAATATCTTTCACACTTCACTACAAATGCTCGAATAATAAAAAAAAGCCCAAAGGTAAAACAAGAAAGAAAGACGTTTACGAGGGGAAAACTGCCACTAAGTTGGATTTGATGTGGTGCAAAACGCAATAAAAATGATTTTCAGCTTTCAACATCAAACCTTGAATAAATCTTTGAGAAATTAGAGGTGAGTTGTGTGTGAGTGCTGCATCAAAACTTTTCCACCTTTCTTCTTCTTCTTCTTCACGGAGTAAGTATGTATAAAAGTAAACGTACAAATGATCCGGTATTCAAGTGGCAATATCTATTACGAAAAGTCACCGACGGAAAGAAGAAACTAGTCCAGATATTGGGTAGATATTTGATAAAAACACTTTATAGAGATCATCTCCACACATTTTAGTTTATATAACGGGATGTTTGAAGCCCCAATTCGAGTGAGTAAAATAAAGCAAAGAGAGTTGGATTTGGAGTCCTTAGGGAGTATTATCCCCCGGATTCGGTGGGATTGGCTACACTTTCTTTGAGCTTTGTTTGAAAAGAAGAGAAAGAGACAAGGAAGACGAAGACACTTTCCTCTCTCTCTCTCTCTTCAAAAAGTGAGACAGAACAGGATGGGAACATAATGGAATACATCAAACAAAACATTTTCAAAGACCAAACAATATTTATACCAAACAATTTAACGTGAAATTCATTCTGTCATGTAAAGCGATTTGCTTTATATTAAATAGTCAACCTACATATTTAACGTTAACACCAACCATGCACACTCAATTAATTATAGTACATACTTAAATACACAGATAAATGAATGGATGAGTTATTATTTATCAATATAATAGTACAATTACTCATTTTTACTACGTTTTTCTGTCAATATTTGATCATAAAAAGATGTCAGTCAACATTATAAAATCAACCGACTAAACTTTAAAACAAATCGTACAAAAGCTAGTGAACCTTGCTTAAGTAAACAATATACGTAAACTATTGACAAACCTTTGTCTCTTTTTAGTGTCAACTATTATTTATCATTCATTAATACTTGGTTAGTTTAATCTAATTTTTTTAAACTACATCAATGAGGAAAATGCAGTTCAGTATTTATTTTGTCGAGGTGATTTTGTAATTTGGCCTATTTTACCAAACCTATTAGACCAAACCTTTACATAATAATTTGTAGTGGTTATTCTTTTGCGTTTTGTATTGTCAACCAAAACCAATTATTATTTTTTAAGCAGGTCGGTTATCGTGAAATGTTAAGGAAAAAATTGACAAAATTCTTACCTTTTTTCCTCTTGGGGACGGCTTGTTTCCTTCTGCACCTGGCGGACGCTGAATTTTCTGCCGAGATTTTACTGCTTGCTGTACCCCCGTTACAATGAAGAACAGTTTTTACCGAATTCAAACTCGCCATCATTTTTCATAACAGATTATTTAAGAATTTTGTACAAATTTACGCATTAAAAGTATGGTTTGAACAGCGAATAAATAAAATCTTTACGCGAAATAAAATGTACGAGGCCGTTACTTGATTTGTCAGAAGGAGAAAAATTTTCATACGAGTTCACTTTTTTCTCAATTGACCTTGCACGAAAAGTTTTAAGATGAATTATTATTGTCACTTTTTGGATGGAGTGGACCAAAACTTTTAAAAAAATATTGTGATAATTATGTAATTAATTAGTTTAGTTAATTAATCTTTTAAATTGAACTAATTGAGCTGATAACTAATTATTCACAGATTATTAACTGTTAATTAATATTTTAATCTAATAATGCACTGATTTCCGGTGATTCATTATAGTTTTTTGACTAACATGGATTGACGTAGTACGTATAACGAAGGTATGTCTTTTGTCTCTTCATTAAGCAATCTGATTCTTTTTCACAAACCTAAAATTTCACGTAGTCTTTAAACACTTTTATGTACATGTACATCGTCTCAATTTTACCAACTAAACTGATCTCTTAATAATAGTTACTAATTATATAATTCTAATGACTGGACTCCATGATTATTCACTTTGACAAGTTCGTTATGTGATTTGATACTTTTCTTACTCTATACAAAATCCAAACAACTAGTTAAAGTGACACAAAGGAACAAGACGAGACTGACTGCATTCGGTGTGAAGGTTAAAGGTGAGAGTTACTTAATTGATGACGCATTGTTTCCCAATTATCAATCCCTGAATCAGTAAATACTGCATAACACGAATTGTGTTATTCGCAAGGAACCAGGGAACAATTAACACTTATTTATGTACTACCAATCAACCGAATCACCTATTATTATATTTCAACTTTTTCATGTCCAAGTTTCTTTTTTACAGTTTAATTACTTAATGGGACTTTTGCAAGGAAATAATAACGTGCATAAAACTGGAGAGGTTTAATTTGGCTTGGGTTTTGGTGTATGAAAATGGTTAAAGTGGTGGTGAGAATAGGGGAGCAGCAGCAGCAGCAGGGTTCGCCTGGCATTGGCACGAGGAGAGAACTGATTCTCAAATCCACCTTTTCAACGTAGAAATAGCAAGTAAAACTCCAACCCACAAAACAGAGGGCCATACCACAAAGTTACGTAGTGCATTGGTGAACTGCTAAAACAGAGTTGTCTGTTAGTAGCAGTAACAAACTCATGACGGTGTGATGTGCTCAGGTTTTCCGAAACCTTTCCCCCTTCGCAGTACGTTCGTACATGTAGAGGAATGGCAGAGGAACGGTGTCAAGATCCGATCCGGGTAGTATGTTGGAGCAGCGAGGAGAATCTTGCCATTCACTTTCACGGGTTTTCCCATGCCTCAGCCGTGCCGGTATGGAACTGAGATTGAGAAAGTGAAAAAAGGACGAGCGAGGTGAGACGACAGTTTTACCTTGGAGAAAGTTTAGAATAATAAATGTCGGAGAGAAAGGCACGAGAGATTTTTTTTAAACGAGTCAATATTGGAGAGTTTAAAGTCAAATTTTTATCCAGAGTTGGGGCTTATGGAATCGTCATGTCCGTCTGTGATAAGCTTGTGGATGAACCACTGAACAGATTTTGACCAGCGTAGTCTTAAAATGCGGATCTCGACGAGGCCTTGGATGAATTTGAAAGTGGGTATGATCCGTTCAATGGTTGACGTTTATAAATACGTGGTATTTATAAAAATTTTGCCCCACAATAAGTTGACAGTTTGACACACATTGATTTTCTAAATTGGCTAGAAATAGCTGTAAACAAATATACCATAGAATTAGGTTTACGAATATCAAGGAAATTTTTAGAAATTTGCCAGCAGGAGGGTGACCCATCCTACTTTTTGAAATTGGTCTAAAAAGTAAAAAAATTTTTCATGCTGGATAAATACAATAATAATGGATATGTCAGGTATATGGCGAATTGTGCTTAAGAAATACGTATGAGATGTAACCAGCGTCATTAAATTTTTTAAAATTTAATAATTGTCGTGAGATTATAGGATAAAAATTTAAATAGGGCTCTGACCCTGACTCGGGCTGTATGAAGTCTGCCCTGTAGGCTTATAATTTAAGATTTTTACATTTCAAAATATAGCTTCGATGCTTTCTCTTCCTCTTTCTCAGTTTGTAAAACGTGTAAATTGAGAAATCAAGTGCATACAATGTCACTACTAAAACTGTCATGTAGCTCAAATTATGACACCAAGGTACACAACAATGCGACAAGTTACCAACTTGAACGAAGCCACCTGCCATCAAAAGGAAGGCTTTGCAGCTTTGGCTCTCATAAATCATTGCAAGGAAGCGAGAGGAGCGAGATTGTAGTGGTGAAAGCTTTGTGTGAGATTTTCTTCACCACCTTTTCTCGACAACAGGCGGTGCCCACCAGGTTAAGGAAGAAGGAGTAATAAAAGGTAGGAGGAAGGCACCTAAGGGACGGCTTAAACCTCACTCACTCCGTCGGTCGAGAGAATAGCGAAGAAAGAACAACTTGACTTTTCAACAAACTCTCTGACTCATCCTTTATTTGACGCTTTATGAAGATGGGCAGGTTCCATGGAGGATAAAAAGGTGTTAATATCAAGGGATTTGTTGTTTAGCGGAGATTTCGGCTTTTTATTAAACTTGACTCGAATTTCACTAAATAATCGGCATGATTTACTAGATTTAACCTCAAACTACTTAAAATGATAAATTGTGACGCAATTTTGAAAATCAGATATCATCAGCAGAGAGTGGATATGTATTTGCGAAAAAAAAACGCAAAAATATTTCAGAAAAACGTACGAAACAAAAATAAAAATAAGAATTTTCACTAAATTTGCTCAGGATATGTTGTGGTCCAATTTCTTCAAGAAACAAATTTCGTCTCACATCGCTGAAATACTTATTTAATACAAAACATGTGTATTTTTAAAAACATCAAAAATATTTACGTATTTTTCAAATAATAGAGAAATACTTATAAATATATATATTTATTTGCAAACCTAAAAATAAATATGACACAAATGTAAAAATATTTTGAATTTTTTTTATTCATAAGAGTTAGGGACACGCCTACAAAATTTGACCGTCGGTCGGCATTAAATGAAAAAGTCGAAAATAAATATGTAAAAGTATCCGCTATGTGATCATCAGTGTTGACTTAATAAAATATTAAAACTTTCTCCACAAGTTTAATGCACGTATTTGTTGAAATTCATATATTTATATAAGTAAGCTTTGAAACACGCTTCAAAATCTCATCCAGGAAATCAGTATTTCCGTCAAGTCCTGAAAAAGTGGGACGCAGATCTCAACACAACAAAAAAACGGTATCATCCGTATTGTCACCTCACATCACACGTTGAAGATGATGCTAGGAGAAAGTGAAAGTGAAACTGCCATCTCATCCTCCTCGTCACCTTCAACCACTTCAAAAGGTTGAACGACAGAGAAAGTCAGGAGAGGAAAAAAGCCTCCATGACCAATCGTAACTTTATAACGTGGTTTCATGCGTTTTCACTTTTGTTGTCCTTGGCTCGAGGGAATATTTATTTTTAGAGGTGTCAATATTCGTAAATCAGATAGCTTTACTGTTGGAAAATGTTATAAGATATTATCTACATGTCAACCTGTATGTAGGGATGACTAATGAGATAATGCAACATATAATGAAAATTAGGTGTAAGAATTTTAAACAATGATTAATTTATTATAACTTGATTAATCAGTTTACCTGCAATTAAAAATTATTTTGTACCAAATTTTGAATAGGAATATTTTTTATCCAGCAGACTTATAATTAAAATCACATTGACAAATATATTGAAATCGCGTATAAACTTAAAGTTCCTGTGCTTTAATTAAATTTAAAAACTGTAAAATTGAAATTTTCCAAATATTTAATTATATATACTACGTAGCTTATTTTATTGAAATACTAAACTACTAAAAGACTAAAATTGCTACTCGTAAAAGTTGTAAAGCTGAGATATGCACATATTATTATGTGAAATGGAGGAAATACATGGAATTGAGCTACATTTTACGTATTTGTGCATTGTGATGATGGACAAAGTCGGGGCAAGTGCAAGCAAGTGCAAAGCACGTGAGTTTTGCGACGTTACGCAATACAAACAACTCGAAGCAGCTGATCCTCTCATTTTCTTTCAGTCAGAGGAGCACGAAATAATACAAATTGTATAATGCAATAGTTAATTTATATAGCTTCGCCATCGCCCATCTTTCATTCATCCATAATAAACTTGAGGATTATTATGTCCTACAAGACGGAGTTATAATTATGGAGGTAAGTACAAGCAAGGCAGTTATTAAACTTGTGTTGAACAAAATTTTGTGTTATTTTGTATTTATTTGTGATAAAATTAATTCAATTTGTTTCCAGATTCTGCATGGAAGATTCTTTGTAATAGAGACGTGATGTACCTGGAATAGAAAACAATTACTAATTACCACTACAAACTATTGTGTTTTAGTGGGTGTGCCTCGCTCTCTTTGAAACATCGTTGAAAATGGAGGCGACTGGGTTGCAGAAGAGTCGACAAAAGAAAAAGAGCAGCAACAGGGTTGAAGAACTGGTATGATTGAAGAAAGAAATTATAATAATAATTAATTGTGAGTTTAAACACACTCTGACTGTACTTCTTAACCTCTGACTCAGGAAGGACCTATTCCCGAGCCTCCAAAACTCGAGGATTTTGTTGGACTTGAAGCAGATCACGATTGTGGGGAAGATATCAAAAGTGAAAATGCAAGTTCTCCTCCTTTGTCATCTGGTAGTGACCCTGCAACAATGGCGAGAGAAGAAACATCTTCAGTAACATCACCACGAAATTCCATTGGTGTCGAAGCAGTTGAAGAGACCATCCACGGCTCTGATATTGTGTCTGACGATACATCCTCAATTTTTTCTGTCGACCCATGCGAAGAAGCATTGACAGAAGAAAATCCACCGTCGACATCAGTGTCAGCTCCAAATTTAGACGAAGCAGATTACTTTGCCCACACACAATTGTACCCAAGTCTCCCCTTAACGATAGACAGTAGTCTACCCTCAATGGCATCTTTAACGACATGGGAAAATATTCCAACTCCAGAGCACCAGTCCAAGTCCAAGTCGAAGAATCTTACCACGGTCTATACTATGTCGTTCGAAGTACCTGTGGAACTCCTTCCTGCTGAATTGGACTCTAAAATTCATCACCTTTACGCAAATATGATTCTTGAAAGCAGTGATGAGAAGGTGAAAGAGTTTCTCAAGGGAACAAAAACGTCGTACGATGGATTTGAGCTTTATGGTAATAAATGTTTTTATCTCGTTGAAATTTGTGGAACTGCTGTTTTAATTGTGAATGGAAAGTAATTCTGATAAATGTCATTAAATTTCAGAGCTCATCTCTAGTTATCAACGAGCTTATAATCAACTCTCGGGATGTGAGAAGAGTTTAAATGACTTGAGAGAGACCTGTATGAATCTAGAAAAGGGTTTATGGACCGTTAATAACGATACCATGAGTCAAAATTCGTCCTGTGCTGATGGAAATATCGTTTCCGCAAGTCATAAGTACATGGTAGCGAAATTCGATAAACAAATCTACGTTCAGTTGGACAAAGTGCTAAAAGGGACGAAAGAATTGATTAAGGATTCATTCTCGTTGTTCACTTATTCTGCACAACTTTGCAAAACTCAGGTGAACCAATTATTATCAGACTTAATATAAATAATTGGTATTTGTAATTATTTAATTCTGCAATATTAAAACTCTGATTAACTCTCACAGATAAACCATTTCTTCCACAAGTCTTTTAAGGGCATTAATCTTCAAAGCTTCGATGTTCAAGGGTACTACTCTGGGTATCCGAATGGAGAATTACAAAATTGTGCCAATTTACTAAAAGTCTGCCTTTCTACTCTGTTCATTTTCATTCGAAGAGGATCGACGCACGCTCAAGTTAGAAAGGACTGTCAAAAATGGTTGACAGATTGTGTGGGATTGTTGCTAAGAATTGCGACGCTGGATGACCATCTATTCATTTTAAATCATGTAAGATCTCAATTTATCACCTCCATGAGCACTAGAGGAGGAGGAGGAGGATTATTTGTATTTTGTCATAACATGTCGATGATTCGACTTTGTTTATTCAAGGCCATCCGATGTCCTCCTGGAATGGTTGGAAAAGGATTGACATGCTGTGTTCAAGGTTAAAGACATGGAATTATTTAATATAGTTTACTTACTGCAAAATTTCAATCATCACAGCTCATTACCAATGATGATTATTATTTACAGTCCCCAAGATTCCAATTCCCTCAAGTCCAGAAGATTATTTCAACTCTGGATTTAGCAACCTAAACTTGGATTATGCTTTAACCGTGTTGAAGATAATTCTGAATCCTGTTCCAAAGCGAGACGAATTTCTGAAGCAGGTCGAAGTTGGACTTCGAGTCATTCCATCCCACGATCCAACGAACCAGTGGGTTGTTGTAGATTCTGATGGGGAGGATGATCCAGAAGATGTTTCTTTCTTCAAAGAGAGTGACTTGATTAGCTTGCTTCAACAAGTAAGTAGTAATAGTCTATATTTTCGAGTATGTTTTTGGCTTTGGCTAAATGAGACTTTTTATTCCATACTTCAGATTCCTTTCGATAACATGTTCCGTCGAATTCTTCTCATTTCAAAAGTTCAAAATCAAGACATTTATGACATTAGGGTAGCTTCAGAGCGAAATGTACTAAAACTATTGGCATTTGGAACCCAGCTTGTAAATATACTCGGACAAGGATTCGTTTCGTACTATACTGACCGGTAAAAATATTAACTTGGAGCCTAATTGACTAATAATCCCTGTAATGTATTTTAAAATTTACAGATATCGCCAACTAATCAAGGTAAGTATGTATTCAAGTAAGTTTGTATTCAAAGTTAACAGAGTAGCATAACCAAATATCATAAAACGGTCAAAGCAACAAGAATTATTGTGCAGGATTAGGAGTAAAATAGGTAGTTCTGGGTGGGAATGTGTATTTCACCCAAGGATGCTTCTTCATGTTTTCGTACCCTTGAACAGGGTAAAATACATTTGTCCCATGAATCGAAATCTGCTTCAACTTTTCATCCTCTTCTGGAGACACGGCAGTGATGTAGTTCAATTTTTGCCCCAGTTTTTTGTTAAGCATTGTTATCTTCATGCCAGTCTCACCACCAACTCCATTAACTAACACAATATAACAAACATATAACAAACACAACATCAATTCATTACTATGTAATGAGACAATTAATCGATATTACTCACTTGTTTTGTACTGGGCTAACACACAATAAGGAGCTTGCCAATCCATGGCTGCTTTAAAATTCTCTTCCTTTGTGCCCCCTTCAAATCTAATTCTCTGTAATTAAGGTTAACACATATTATAAGTACTCATTGGAATTAATGATAATTTGTATATTATTCACTTGCCATAACATACGTTGAGTATTTGTCAACGATACCCCATTTGGTCACCTCCGAACGGGAGTTTTTCGCCAAATGTGTGGTGGGACACGGACCTTCCTATATTATCAAACTGCTAGTTATTAGCTCACCAAATGTAAAATATGAGGAACACTAAAAATACAGAAGTACTTTATGCATCACTTACGCAATGGCTGACGTCATAGAACCATTTCGATTCAAAAGTAGGATCCTTCTCGAATCTCAGCCACATCTCCTCCATATTCATATTGGGGTCGTCATCAGGTGGTTCAAATTGACAGATAACCTATGTTATCATACTGTGCAATTTATACCATAAATTATAATTTACATCAAAAAATAAATATTCAATTGCATACGGTTCCATAATAAGCACTCCTATTTATCTGCAAGGAGTCTTCGTATTTTCTCCTGTTGATGGTAGAAATTTCAGCATTTATTCTTGCCTGCTCCCCTGTTGGTTCAGTTCCAATTGGAAGAATGGGGAAAGTATCAGGTAGATCCTGACATTGTCTACTCAATTGGAAGAATGTTATTTTGTAAGCCATACTGTCTTCTTGTCTTGACTTGTTTGCTTTTAGAATGTCGTCGGCCTTTTGTATGCTAATGCTACACAAAACAATTTTAAATGAAAACTTGTTGGGCAAATCAGTTCCAAATCATGCTTACACTAACGTAGTTATTCATAAAAATCTTACGTTTCCTCACCAGCGTGATTGCGACTATAATGAAGGTGAATACTCTTGCGTGATACAGGATGAAAACATGTTGATCCATCCTTCAGTTTCTCTAAACAGCGACCCATATGGGAACCCCCGGGCTTCGGGGGTTCCCATTTGAAGCTGCCCGAATAAGTACTTGCTATTTGTGATGGAGCTATAAATTGAAAAAATAAAAAAAGTTATTGCCGACGAGTTATCGTCTTTACATAAACACAGTCATACGGGCAAGGCGGCTGGCTCGGGCTAAAAAAAAAACTTTGCATATATTTAAAACATAACGACAACAAACCTACCTTCTTGTTGGGAACGACTGACCGAAAACTCCCCTGATTCCTTTGGTTTCTTTCTTGGCACAAAAACATCATCATCACTGCAGCTTTCGAATCCACTACTACTTTTATCCATTCTTAGACTACATAAAGTTTTACCAGTAATTACTAATGTAGCACCGAGATAAAAGACTAGATTTACGATATTTGTTGTATTTTTGTACACATGAGTTATGAATTTCCTGCTCCTCCAGGAATACTGGGGTTATTCAATATTTGATATTGTTTCATCCCTTAGATGATTGGACGCCTAGTTCTCCATTGTGTTCAATATATCACGGACCACATTGAATCGCTAATAAGCAGCGACTTTGGACGTGATTGTGGTCAGAAAGGGAGCTTGATACGAAAAGAGTACGACTTATTTTTCAGGAGCGCCGTTGGTATTCTGTTTAGTGGAAAGAATATCGGTTCGTTGCAGTTCCTTGCAGCAATGCCGTTTCAATTGATATCATCGGAAATGCTCTGGCATGTTTACTGTGCAATTACAAAGTGGACCATCAGCGATCGTTTCAAGACGGACATATCTTCCGAATTTGAAAATGAGTTGGTTTCTATGAATGAGTCGGATGGGTTTTACTTATTAACAACTTTGTGCAGTATGGCCACTGCGAGGGAAAAAACTGACGCAAATTTTACGAGAATTGTGACTTTACATCTTTTCCAGGTACACTCATATTGTTATCTTGTTACTTTATGTCACGTATATAAATGTTAATTAATATTACAATAATAATAATATGTTTACTCTTTTTAGATTGGATTCCTTAGCCCCTTGACGAGAGATTGTTGTTCTAAAACAGCTAGAGACTTGCTGGGAAATCTGACAAGAAAATATCCAGAAATCATCACCATTTTGCTGCATACAATCGATTCGAAGATGCAGATCATAGAAACTGTAATGATGTACACTTTTCTTCTTATAGTAAATATTTGTGACAAAAGCATTTCTTGTCGTTCCAGTTTTCACTGTATCTGTTGAAAGAATTGGCGTTTGATTTGTGGATTCCAGTAAGTGCTTTAGTAAAGATGTATGAAACATATGTAGTCAATATTCCCTTGATGGTTCCAGACTGATTTGGATATGAAGCTAATCTTCCATTGGTTGGTCAGTTTTCCGGTGTCATCGACCGAAAATCAGACTGCAAGATTCGTCATTCAGTCCATGAATTGGAGTTTCAATGCTGCTGATGGAAAATTGTTTCTCACATTTGATATTCATTACGAAGTACCCAAATCATAAAAATAACTATCATTTATCTTCAAAAATGCGCATGACAAAGATAATAATTTAGCTCATCATTTTGTTTCTAATAATTAGGTCGCTCTTATGATAATGGAATCTAATGCAAAGTGGGAGAAAGGTCAAAACTTCATCAGCGAGGGAATGAAACAAATGAACCCTTTAACCAGTAAAAGTCAAGATAATTGGGCTTGGGATATGTTAAAGAGGCTACATCTCCATGTCTTCGATAGACATGCTTATTCTAGTCATGATCAACTGCAGCAAATTTTAATGGTAAACAACTACAATTCTGATACATCAAATAATCAATTTGCTTATGTCTTTTTGTGTAACTTTTATTCCAGAGCATGGCTACTTTTGATAGCAATCCAGAACTCGAATGTGTCAGAAAAGGAATAGAAAACAAAAATCCACTGGCTTGTTTTCTGGCACTTTATCTCACTCCTGCAGGAGTATCAGTCCCTCTCATTTGTTCAAAAGGAATCGATCTCATTGAAATCATCCTACAAAATTATAGACTGGAATACGTGATGCATGCTCTTTTCTTCATCACTCCCCTGTTTATTGACTGCCCTGAAACGTTACATGCAATTGACAAGTAAGTTCAAACATGTTAAATGCATTAAATATTAAAATCACAGAATCAGAACGATTGGTTTCATTTATACCAGATTTCGTAACATTTTGACGGTTTTATTGGCTGCTGACATGACTTATGTTCGGATGGCGAAAAACCTTATTACGACCGACTTTCCGGGAGAAGCAACAAAACTTTTTGGGGACATGATATCATGTCAGGTTAATCAGTGTTCACGGTAAGTCGTGTTTTGGGTTAAACCACAAGTATGTACAAACTACACTCTGAACTATGAAGAAACAATTACTATTTTTATTAGATTCGGGACTGATGAGAAGTCTGTAGTCGCCTTTTGGACTGAAAGCTTTACGAAATTAAATGGCTGGAATAAAGACAACAATGTTCTCTATCTTTTGGACATACTCGCGAAATCTTCCTTGACCAGAAACGATTGTCATTCCTATTTTATGCACCATTTTGCAGATATATATAAAGTGAGGTTATATCAACTGCAGCTGCATCGTTAGATCAGTTAAAAAACATGTTTCTACTTTTTTTTACAACTTTTTTTACAGAATATGCCAAAATCTAGTCATTCCGGAATTACGTCTTTGTTCAGCTGGACAGCTTCGGCAACTACACTTTTGTCAAATCCTTCGTACTCTCAGATTCCATATTTTACCTACTACTTGCTGTGCATCGAAATGGAGTTGGAAAATCAAACGGGTTTTTGGAAAACGCTTTGCATCAAGCTGAATAATCCAAAGGTTCCACTAGATGCAGCTGTTAAGGTACTGCTGTAAAATAGTAAAATATGCATGACTGGTTAAAAATGAAAGAGCTTTCATGTTTCAGAAATCTGTTAGCGTTTCAAAATTTTCAACATCGACGAATTTCATAACAATTTATCGATGGGGTCAGTTGGCTCTGGATTTGCCAAATAACCACGAATTAACGTTTTTGGTCTGGCAAAAATTTTTCCTTCGCTATTTTCATCGTGTTTCTGAGTACGTTCTATTTTTTAGTGTCTTGTTATTAAGTATCAGTAAGAAAATGTGTATTGAAGTACTTCTACTAATTGTTTCAGTAATCAAACAACACAGTACGCTTGTGTGGCAAGTCGGTTTTTTGAAGGAATGATCAATTCATCTTTTTATAACAAGCTACGACGAAAACTCAATGATTTGTTGAGTTACGTCAAAGAAAAGCTGACATCGTTTGAGCAAAACATAAATACCTCTGAAAATGCGTCTGAAAATCCAGTAATCATGAAAGAACTGCTCATGGATAAAATAAAGTAAATTATCTTTTTTAATTTAATATGCACAATATAATCTGAAAGAACAATATGATATGTTAAACTTTTACTTCATTTATTTAGTTTGGCAAATGCTTTGGTCTTATGGATTATGGATTGTCAACTGTTGCAACCAACCTTATATCTTCCTGCCTTATCACCGCAATTTATGCCCACCGTTTTACTTTCTTTGATGGACGGCGAAGAGGCAAGGCTTATTAAATGAACTAGGAAATTTAAAGACTTTTACTTGAATAGTTTTTCTCTGTATGTTTTTAGATATCTTGGAGCAATTATATTGACTTTGAAGTGATTTTATCAGAAGATCGAGTTGCTGCAAGAACGTACATGACCACAATTGGTAGAAGTGGCTGGTTTGATGGATTTAAGCTGCCTCGATTTTGTGACCTTAGAATCTCATTGTCCAACTGTATTGAAGATGTTTTAAAACGTTTAAACTCTTACGATAGTCCCAGAGAACCACCAAATGTCCCAGTTTTTGAAGATATTATTCCAACCTCCCCTCCCATGATGTTGGTAGATGTTGCTAGTATGAAACGCGGACTTGAGCCACACTTTTCGCAATTACGCAATTTTTCAAAGTACGTACCTACTTATACCAGATCTAAAAAATGATTCTTAACTAATGTTTCATTAATTAAACATAAATTGTAATGCAGGTCATTTGCCATCCAAATATCTCAACTACTGGCATTAAATTGCTCATATTGCGAGTGTTTACCCGAGTTGTATTTAAATAGCCCTGCAGAGATGGTTGTCAATGCCCGGTGCAGTGGTAAAAGCGGAAGTAGAACTTTCGAAAGTTGCGCTGGTCCTGCTCGAATTGTTTTCAAGGTAGAAATTATCACTGCTATATTTCATCTTTACATTAGTATATGAAAAGATGTAATGATTAATTTTTATGCTTAGTACACAGAAGCAAAACTAAATGAAAATTTAGGACACAAAATTCATCAAAATCGGATCGAATATCAAACCCTGTTGGATGGCAAAGGCACACAGCCACCTCCTGAAATAGTTTGTACTGCGGCAGTGTTCATTGAAGACTTTATAACTAACTTGGTTGTTCATTACCGTCGTGCTTCGTCAGATGGCGAAGAACGAGTTAAGGTCTCCGGGTGAGTTCACACTTTTATCATTACAGTATATTCCCTTAAGTCATTGCCCCACACCAGCACGTGATAAGGCATGCTGACGCCATTGTCCGTACTCTTGTTTTTAGGATACTAACTAAACTAATCATCGATTATATTTATAAAATCACATAATTGCTAAATATTACTATTACATTGCAGAGTGGGATCCGAACTTTTCTACTATGCTGCAACTCTAGTTAACGGTGACACTGATTTTTATCCCCCAACTCGTCAGTTGCTGTCATCCCTGCTTGAGGTCCTCGGACGAGAATTTATTTCAACGCATCCTTCCCAGTGTCATCGTCTTGTTACGACGTCAATCAGAAATCCAAAGCTCGTTGGAGCCTTGGCTACTCACTTGAGCCTTACGGCTTGTCAGCCATCCATGTTGATTGACATTTATAGAGAAGTCTCGTCAATCCCTAGAAAAGATGTGGATTTAGCTTTCGTAATATTAACAAAGGTTCATATTATTGAAATGAATTATCGATATGTTAGCAGTTATTGTGTTGTGTACTAATTAAGCATCTCTATTTACAGTTTGACATTAATAACTGGTTGAGAACAACAAAACCTAAGCTAAACGACAGATCTCAATTATTGCAAATAATGTGGAAAGCTATCGTTGTTGATGGGTTTGCTCCTGAAGATGATAGACTTATGGTTCATGACACTTACCGAAATCATTTTAGGAGTATGCTCGTCTATGATTTTCCACAGCATTACGGAGAGGTAAGAGTACTCAATGTTTATTATACAATTAAACGTTTTATATTGTTAAATGGGGGCAATGGATTCGAGTCTCCGTAATGTCACCAAGACTTTATTTGGACATTAGTTTTGATTATTTTTATGTTCTTTAGATCCTCGCACTATTGCTTGAAGGAATAAAGCAAAATAATGTCTCTCCCCAAATCTGGTATGACTTTTGCAATGGATTAAGTCGAGACACTATTCGATTCTATCCTGGAATGGATAGTTTTTTACGAAAGCGAGAAGCAAAAAGATTTGCGACTGGTAATTGTGCCGATTCATTTATCAATAAATTGCATTACGTTAAATATTAATTTAGTAATAGTTTCATTTTCATTTCTTTCAGAGGGCAATATGTTGGGATATCATGAGGTAACGACACGAGTTTGAAATATTCGTTCAGATATTTGTTAAAGAAACTTATAATTAAAAGAGTCTGATCTACAGCTCATGGGGACTGCGCAGCTATTAGCTCAACATTTTACGGATGAGAGATTGGCAAATGGACTCTATGGATTATATTCCAAGTACCGCAATTATGTAGAACCTCTTTCCTGTTTCCTGCAAATAGTTGCGTACAGTGTTGTCGCATGCACTTTAACAAACTCACAAGGAACTTTATCGCAAAACAGTAAGTATTTATTGAAAAATAATATGTTCCTGGGGTTGAGTGGTGAATCTCAATATTCAACTTCTTTGTGTACCAGTTGTTGATGCAGTTTGGCCAATAGTCAGAAATTTATATTCTCCTTGGATGCTGCCTTATAATCAAAAATTTATTCAACAAAATTGTGCCCAGTGGATCCAACACATGAATTTTGATGCTACAAACGTGCTGCAGCCTTGGATTAGCAATGATTCCCAATTAGCGATGATAATTGTGAATGATTTTACTGGTAGTTATAAATATTTATACGGTATTTGAGGTTATTACGAACGAATATATATATAATTTACCGTTTGACCTATGCAGATTGCTTGATGTTCCTTGCTGAAACATTGCCAGGTATGTATTTAATTGTTTAATTGATTGGAAATTCAACATTGCATGAGCTACATTAGATTTATTTTATTATCAAAGGAAATACTGCAATTTTTTCGTACCTGTGGAATTTCTATGTAAGTACAGCTTATTCAATTAAAATTTCATACATCTCAATCAACAAAATGTCCACACATATTTCTAAAACTTGGTTTTACAACTTGTCTTCCAAATAGATTGAAAACTTTGCCTTCATCGGAGTCAAGGAGCACGTTGTGGGTGTCGTTCATAACTGTCTTGTCAGCGTACCTTGGGCATCATTTTGGCCATCATTCAGTGATGTAGAATTATGGGTTAGGGTGAGTATTTGGATTAAATTTTATCAGAAAGACAGCAAAAAATACAGTTAACATTTTTGTAATTCATTTAGGTTGTTGAAAAGTTCTTGCCTGCATCTCACAGCTTTTTGAGCATTGTCTTCGCCCAGATCTCATGGCTCGAATGGATTGGCCAGTTGAGCCCAAAATTCTTTGGAAAAGGACATGCTATGTTACTCAACCTAACCGTCAGACTTGGCAATGACACCGTGGCAAGAGAGGTGATTTGATTAAGGAAAACTTTTTTGATTTTTTAAATATATTGCAAGATGCATTGTTTCTTATTTTGAATAGTCGCCCACATGGATGCAAGTACTGGAAACTGCAGAGACTCGTATTAATTGGCTTGCTATTCCCCCAAGTGGCCTTGAACCAATTTTAAACTGGTTAGTTATGAGTATAGATCCTCGTGTTGTTTTGAATCTGGATCTCACACATCGAATGGATAAAGCCCTCCTAAGGTGTGCATTATATTTTATGAAACCTTTGTGTTAAAATTAGAATAAAGTAACAAATTTCCTCGCTAGATTACTGGAGACTGCTTGTGGCTATGGCCATACCGAACAACTAAGCACAAATTCTTCTTGTAACTCTATGGAACTTAATACGAAGAGATATTGTTATGTCCGATCGTATGTCAAGCTTATTGTAAGCGCTTCCTCGAAACATAAAAATCTTCTTGAAAGTCATCCAAAAGCTTTTGAAGATGCCATTGGAAGCATGATTTCGGAACTGGCAACATCGGTGAAGAGAGAAAGTAAGAACGTTATTACGTTTTGCTAATTGCAGTTGAAGTTTAGATTTAAATTACTAAAATCGAGATTGTCCTGTACAGATCAATCACCTGATTTCTTCATGTCGCACCTTCGTGAGTTGTTGGCTTTGATGTCCAACCACACTCTGGTAACCATTGCCAGAAATGCGGTGCTGGAATGGTGCAATTCTACCGACTCACACACACTAGTGTTTTTAATGACAGTTATTCAATTAAGTTGTGGCGTGCAAGTCCGGCCGTATATTGTGTGCCCCTTACTTGAAACTATTATTAATTTGTGCTTCAAATATCCTGGTAAAAAACTGTTTAATTAGTGTGGCTATATGTACATTTGGGTACGAGGACCTAAATTAATAATTCTTTCTCAGATGTGTCCTGGACGTCAATTCGAGACCTGACAGTAGTGAACCCTGAAGAATTAAGCAACTTTTTCGATATTTCTTCTAAGGACGGACACTATCTTGTCCTTCATAGTTTACTTCTAAGACGATTCCCCATTTTTATACAAGCAGGATCGAACACCATTAGTGTTTTTACGGATTTGTTAAAAAATATTAAACCCAAGTATGTTTCATTCCATTAATGACATTTAATTATGCTCCGTAAGTCACTGCGTGAAATGAATATATGCAATTACTAATACATATGTATTTGTAGAGAAGCTAACGAAGAAGCACTGTCTTTGATTTACAATGAAATTTTAAACGTGATGATTCATCTTCACAAAGAAGCTTCCGAACACAGAAATGAAGCTGTTTTGATACAAGGAAAGAAATTTTTACTTCAACTGGCGCAACATGCATCTCTGGTTGGAGACGATAAGCAAGGATGGGGTTTGTTGGGTGCGTTTGGAATTGGAAAATCGTCTCAACTTAGCGTCAGGTAAGTTTCCTTTACCTTCATTAAACCAGGTTTCTCTGCCGCAAAACTAATAATTTGTAACAATTCTTCAGAGGACGACTCTTTGCAAAGTGCATCGGAACCTTTATCTTTGTTCAATTGCCAGTTAATTTAAATGTTCGAATCAACCCTAGCTCGGAAGGTCATTTTTCACAGATATCTAATGAAACGTGAGTTAATAATGGATATTTTTTTATCATCAATGACAATAGATGACTTGATTAACAATGATGTATTTAATATTCACAATGTCTCGTGTTCAACTTTTCAGTTCAATAAAACCTCATCCCGAAGTGCAATCATGTCTTGAGAAATTGGAAAGCTTGAAACAAAGTCGTCAACACACCGACTTGATCGAATGTATTGATTTCGCCACAGAATTTATCAATTTACCGGATAACGCTTTGTCATCCTCTTCACTCTTCATTTCAAAATTGAATGGTTACTTGTTTGCGTCTAGATTTTTACCACGTTCATGATTATTAAGGGAAATATTTATATTTTTTAAACTTGTCAGTTTCACATTTGCGTTGATTTATTGTACGGAATATTTTACTATTAATTGACTTTATCTTTGTTGACTTTGATGCCTTGTCACTTGTTTTTAATGATTAAATTAAGCGAGACGATTATTTATTTTTAACGGTAACAAGTCCCTTGAAACCTGGGTATAAAAATTGTGATATTTATAATAGAACGGTTGTGATGTGTCTCTCTGTCCTACCTCGATGCATTGCATGATTAAGTGAAACTTAATAGCTGACAATTGTAATAAAATCATAATCATGTAAGATAAAATGGTAGCGGTGTGGCAGAGTGTATTTCCCAATTTTTATTGTCCCGCAGCTATTTTTCAATCGTCATATTTTCATAATGATAATATCTACTAGCTCAATAATTTCATGAGGGATATTCACACTTTTTGCAAAAATTGCTAGAGCTAAAGCTTTACTTCTGTTAGAAAAGTAAACGGAATGCTAATAAAGATTAAAGTTTTAGGTAGAATTAACAGATCGTATGGAGGACAATTTGAGTTTGTAGATTAAAGATAAAGGTTTGTAGCTCGTTTTGGAAAAAGAAGAGGTGAGATCATTAACAAGGTTACCTTTATGGCCAAAAACGCGGAATTTTGAATCGGAATGAATAGACTGGATAGATAGTTCGTTCGTTTGTATAAGCTGTACATTTAATTATTGTTTTTCCAAAACGGAAAATTAAAAGTAAAAAATTTCCCAGGCACTGTGGGTTCTGTAAAATTTTTGGGTTTGAAACAGTCTAAAGATTCAATCCATTTTGTGTAGTATGAGACTTCTGTGTACACTCCAGGAAATTGAGGTCGTGCGCTAGAAAGGAACGGTGAATAATTAGCTATGTCAACTTAATTCTTATCCATTCAGTATGAAATAAGGGTTCCGACTTACCAGCCTACTCCCCAACTAACAATCCCCCTGAGTTGACCATCACAAACTAATCCTCCGCCACTGTCTCCCTACGATTAAATCAAACATGGTCATCATACATTCTACATATACTAATCATGAAAGATATGTAGTTAATTACCTGGCACGAGTCGACCCCACCCTCTGAATATCCGGCGCATAACATTGTATCAAAAATCTCACTTTTCCCATAAAACTCTCTACACTTATCATCCGTCATTGTGGGTACTGTAGCACACATGAGACCTTTCGACACGGATCCACCCTCTTTCTGCGATCCCCACCCACTTAGGATGCATTGCGTGTCCGGCTCTATTTCTGACTTAAAGATTGGCAGAGGCACTTCCTTTATTCCGATCCCAAACTCAACTTTTCGATTCAGCTAATTTGAGATTATTTCACAATTGGTCTTTAAATCTCAATTAAGGCCAAGTAAATCCTATAATTCGCTCACCTTTAAAATTCCAATGTCATTCACAATGGTTTTTGCCTGTTGGAAAAGTTTAATTAAGATTGATAGTAAATGTTTAATTGTGCAGTTTAGGATAAATATTTGCATACGTCGTAGGTTGGATGAATTATCAATTTGTCGACGTAATATTCCTGTGAGAGTTGGTCTCCCCACAAGGACACTGATCCCAACCGGACCAAAAGATCTCGTTCTTTACGCCTAGGACCAAGACAGACTTTGTAAATTTTGTGCAACAAGAAGTATTTTTAACTTAATGGGTCACACCCTTCGAGGCAGTGTGCAGCAGTAACAATGCATTGGCCCACCTGTAAAATGAATATCATCGTATATATAATTTGCACGTGCATGATAACACCAGAAGTAGCGTCCCCAAGCTTAAAGATAAAAACAATACCCACCAAAGCACCTCCGCAATAATGCACCTTCGTCCCCAGAATGGAAAGTCGTTGGATGGACGCTTGGTACGGAAATTCTCCATGAACGGCTGAAATTTTGTTAGTGGTAAATTTTTATAAATACCTAAGCAATTCTACCAAATAATTACCGAAACGGCCACCAACGATGCGATCTCCCTGTAGAAAAATAGCAATTATGTTTTGAAAATCTGTTTAAATAGTGTGCAAGTTAAATTAGTATGTGCACAAACAGGATTTAGAAATTGCTTTCCAACTGTGGAAGCAATGCTTGCCGGAACTCTTGGCATGTAAGCCCATGTTGATTCTGGAAAATAAAATTAGTTTATTCTCAGGAGGATAAAATTAAGGTAATTTCTTACCAAGTTTGAATAGTAAGATGACAATTCCAAGACCAACTAAGAGTTGGGTGATAGTTCTTAACTGCATAATTCTTGTACAAAGAAAGGAACACAAGTGGAGTTAAAAGTTTAGTTATGAAAATAAAAAAATATGGCTAGTGAGGAAAATGCAAATAGTAACAGTTTATATTAAGAAACATGTATGCGTGTACAGTAACTGTATATATTCTTGAAATTGAAGTGCACTTAACATAGAGTTAGTTAGTATCATTATTATACGTGTATACCCATGCATAAATTTAAGGTTGAGTGGAAAGGGAGATGGATGCATGCACTTGGAAACCTTAAAAGTACCGTGATTTTACAAGTCAACGAAAAATGACACATGTGACATGTTCTGAGCAGGAGACCTAGTCATTGACAGACTCACAGATTTCGATGCCCCTTGGATATGTTGTACTCGTTGTAGTAATAGGTGCATTTACGAGTGAAGGGGAGTTTATTCCAAGGCCCCATACCCCCAAGGAGAACCCCATGCTGAACTCTTCGCATTAAAATATTCACCAAAAATCCAAGTTTTATCGGATTTTCAGAATTTTCGAATTTTCATGACCACAGATCCATCAAGCTCAATTTTATAATTTTCTTCAGTATTTTTGAAAACATTTTTTTACCAGGTCCCAGTAATGGGGTGCCTCATTGAAATATAATAAATAAATAAATAAAAATTGTCAGAATATTTTCGAAAAAATAAACATTTCAATGAAGTTGAATTTAGTATTGGATATGGTAAAGCACGTATCTAACAAGATATATAAGATATAAAAAAACGCTAAAATTATGAAAATTCGGTCAAGTGTGGATTTTTGACGAAGCTTTTATTGAGACAAAACGGTATTTTTCGCCACTTTGAGGGGTACTGCTGCGGGTGCAAATGGGCATGGAATAAAACACTCTTTAATTTTTCGTTCACCCTATTTAGTACCACAATATATCCAAAGGGCATCAAAATCTGTAAATTTGTCAGTCACAAGTTGTCCTCCTGGGCTAAAATAGTATGGGGTGGATATATACATATACCACTTTGCTCGTTAACTAATGTACTTTCTATTCATCATCGTCATGTATGTATTATGTGTGTATATTTTCGATATAAAAATGTTCATAAAGTGAGAGCACAATAAATGCTTTCATTTTACTGGACCGTCGAATCTATAGTAATCTTATTAGCGACATTTTTTTCTTGGGCATTGTTTCTGAGCAAAAATTTTTAGCATGACTAATCGCCCAGCATAATACGATCAAGTTCAGCCGTCCTGTCTTTCTTCAAAGATGACGAGATATCAAGGTTCCATTCCCAAGAGGAAAACTGGCCCTTTGCCGCAACCAACGACGCCCATGGTGTCAGCTCCTCCACCAACAGTCCCCGTCCGGGGACATAATTCTGTCATGAGCACCACGAGCGAAATCATGGACAGAGAACGGGCCAGCATTTTTGCTTCCAGTAACTCTGCCACTGTCGGCACAACCGCCACAAACCCACTGACTTCCACTTTTGACGACCCCTTCGAAGATGAGTCAGGTTTGGAAGGAGATGAGAATGAAGTATGAAAATAGCAGGGGTGGGCAAAATGCAGTATTTTGAGCCCCGTTCTTCCCAGGGTTTGCATTTTCAGGGCTATTACCCCACAAAAAGACGGGAATCTGCATACAACGATCACACCAAAATATATGTTTTCTGAAGAAATTAACTTTTATCGCTGTCAAAATACATTTTTCACGATTTCTTGAAAAGAAAGTATTTTGACAGCAATAAAAACTTAATTTCTTCAAGAAACCGTGTTTCCGTATGACTGCCGTCTTCTCTACGTAGATTCTAGTCTTTTTATGGGTGTAACAGCCCCGGGCCAAGAATTTATACCCTGGGAAGTGCGGAGCTCAAAGTACTGTATTTCGACAAAGTATTTAGTCCACCTCTGGAAAATAGTGTGACTGAAAATGCTCAAGTTAAATTCTCCTAATTTTGGACTAATTCTAACTATTGTCCCCTAGTCGACTTTGCTTGGTCCAGATTCCAAAGCAGAATCCGTGACCAATGTGGACTCTAACCAATATCTCAGCACCAAGAAGGCACAATTCCGCAAGTACTTAATCAAAACGGGATTTAAAAATGCCATTATTCGATCATTTGTCGCCTTATATGAAGACAAACAAAAGCCTGATGAACCACTGGCTTGGATCATGGGTTTTCTGGGGCATGGAATCCCAACATCAGCAGACTTGGAAAAACACCGAACTCAGGCAAAAGAAATTCGGGAGAAAGTAATGCATTTCCGTATAAGTAAACATTTCTCTTTATTAGTTTAAGCCTTGTCATTTTGTTAATGCAATTTCAGATTGAGAAATTACAACAAGAAAATTTCGAGCTGAGGTTGAAAATTGATGAGCGTGAGCATGCGACGCAACCAGCTTCGTTGGCTGACCAGCAGTTAAAAAAGTTGATGGATGAATTGACCGAGTCTGGAGCATTTGCACCGATCGCAGGAATGGAGGACGAAAATGTATAAAATAATGACTTCGAATTTCTATATCTATTTTTAACTTTAAAAATAAATATATCCTTAAACTATTTGATGTGGGCAAAATGCATCCGTTTTCATAAACAAGAGAATGGAGAAGAATAAGCATAGTCCCCTCATTTGTTTTCAGTTACCTTTGCAATTGCAATTTAGTTTTAAAGGACTCGTTACAAAGTCATAAATGTTTTATTAACACAAAAACATTGATAAAATATGAAGTACAAGAAAAATCATATGTTGGTGGGTTGGGAAAACGTCCACTTGATTCGGCGTCCGAGGTCATCATTCGAGATTTTTGAATATAAATTGACCTGTCATTTGAAACAAAATTATTCCTCCAATCTCGTTGACTGGGAATGGGAAGCTCCCTTAATTGATGCCGCATTCCCACGTTCAACTGCTAAGCTGATGAATCAAAAATTCTGTCGACATTGGTCCAGTGGCATCCTCCTCCAACATCTTTGATGAACTTCAACCTTTACTATTTAGTTACCATTTAGTTACTATGGCCTTGGCGTTGCGTTTTTCCTCACTACTGGCCTTAAAGAACTGAATTTTCACTAATATTCAGCATAAACTCCATTGATTTTGTAGCTTTGATTGATACCAACCAGCTTATTTTATAAAATGCCACGAAGTGGGAGTGGGAGTCGTGGTGGTTATCGGGGTCCGGCAATGGGATCCCGATCCTACTCAACCGGGTTAGATTAATAAGTTTTCATATTCGCTTTTTTGTAAATTTTCAAGTATTGAAATCATCTTCATATTATTACATACAGGCGACCGTCTTCTTCCTCTTCCTCCCCACCTCCCTACAGGCCACCAAATAAAACTCCATCCACACCCTCAAATGTAGGCCAACCCAGTTTAATGAGACAAATGGGAGCTGTTGCAGGAGGTGTGGTTGCGGTATGCACACAATTTTATAGAGTATCTTGTAATTACGGACAAATTTTACTATAATATTCCGCCAGGACCATACATATCAATTAATTTTTAGGGAAATCTCATTGCGTCAGCAATTTTGGGTTCTGCCCGTGTCCCACCCGAAGTTTCCTGTTCTGAAAATGGGACCTGCACCGGAATTTCGGAAGATGACCCGTGTGCCATGGAACTGAAGAAGTTCGTAGAATGTGCTTATCAAGCTCAGGAAATTACAGCTTGCGATGGATACAACACTTTGCTGAAGGAATGCAGACTTTATCAAGGTACATAATTCCATGCAACACTCTATCTGTGATAATTCTTATTTCGTCAACATTTATGACGCACAGAACGACATGGAAAGCGTTAGTGGAATCGAACAGAAACACACATTTTATGTACATCTCCAAATTTTGTATACGTTTTAAGCATACCAACGTAATTCAATCCCAACTAATAAAATTAGTAATAAATAATGCGAGATGAAAATTGCATTATCAATCATGAATCACAACGAAACTCCATGTGTACACGTCCCCCGTGACAAAGAAAAGTGAATCAATCCCATCAATCATATTTTGCCAGCCAGCCAGCCCCATAAACAACTCCCGAGAAAGCTAATCAACCGAAATTCGGAGAGCTACGAACGATTGCACACCAAACCATCCAAGCAAGTTACCAGCATCATAAACGTTAGTTTTTAGGCTTTAGAAAGCAGTCGACTATCATGCAATGCAGTCTGCTTTTGTTTGTAAGTAATATTAGGAGAATAGGAGGCATAATACCCACTTGTACATATGTGCTCAGAATATCCGACCAATATCTCACACCTTGGCCAAAAGGGTTGTATTGCACAGGTTGTTCTCATCTCTCTCTACACACACAAATTTTGCAATGTGGTGTTTGGCTAGTTACAAAAATATTCCAAATCCAGACTTATACACAAAAACCTAAACATATTGTCATAAAATTGTATTCCTAATAATATCGCGAATTATTTATTTATTTATTTATTTATTTATTTACGACATCCAACTGCGCAAATTTCCTTATCATTCCATCATTCACTCACTATTGGTCAGTTTTTTATACATGCATAAAACTCAAGATGGGTTAGATTACAGTGTACTATTATAACTGAACTGACATTAGCATGATATTGGCACGACTATTAATAATGACATGTACTTTGATATTACTTTCTGCACACATATGTGATTTATTAACCGATTGTATTTAGAACTACGAGTTAGCGAGGTAGGTTACAAAAAATGGAAATTCGCATTACTTTGTAACGGGATTTATCTATAAAAAAAATAGCTTTATACAAATCTCTAGTCAGTAACAGTACTGGTAAAAAGTATACACAAAGATTTACTGAGGAAATAAAAGAAATTGCGAGGAATGTTGTGATTCTCACTCTAAATTAAATTTAAACCTTTGCAAGTGTGATTACTGCTGTTCTTAACGGGACAACGTGCATAAAATACTAATTTATAAGACAAGATGACATCCAGCAGTATAAGCGGATCTAGGTCATCTTCCATCTCCCACCAGCCGCAACAGCGCTATCCGTACTACCAAGATGCTGTCAGGATATTTGTGCAGGTAAGTATTTGCAATCAGCGTTAAATGTATTATACACAAGTTGAGTTACAATATCATTTTCTTGTACGTATGCTAATAAATCCTAATAAGTAAATCCTTTATAAAATCTTTTTGCAACACCAGCAGGTCAGTAACAGTGGTGAAGATGAGGATGGGGAGATAATAAATAATTCATCCGACCCTATGACCACATCCACGTCTTCTATTGGAAATTCTACTGGCGCAAGTCGAAGATTTTCGGTGGATCCACAGCTAACAAATTTTGATATTTTAAGAAATCTCATCGGTAGAGCCTTTGATATGAAGAGGTAAGAATTCAGATCATTAAGATTAAGATGTGACTTATTGTTTGTTTGAGAGGCCGGTATAATTGTTGAGCAATCACGATAAGATGTTATCCAGACACTGAGGATCGTCAGGCTATTCTTATCGTCGTAGCAAGTTCCAAGCGACAATAACTTTGATTTAGTGGTGGTGTGAGTGAGCATTTAAGAAAATTGAGTAAATACTTTTCATAGTAAAATACGAATCAATCATCGTATACACTATACACAACGTGCATAAGTCAGTGGAATGTATTGAGAAATTAAGTAACAAGTAAACGCATCATGTTATGAGTTTAGTTTTACAATGTCACTTCAGGTTAGCAACAGCTACTGGAAATGCCAACTTTGCTTGTTGGAGTTCTTATCAAAATGAGCGTCGTGTATCGTAATTCTTGCAATAACTCCTCTGCCGGAATTTGTGCACCAACAAGTTAAATGGTCAGAACGGAATACAATTTGAAAGTTACGTGTTGTTTTGTTTGAAATGTATTTTGCTCCTCCGAAGAGCACTGGTTAATCCCTTGCTGGCTTATCATCTTGTGCTGGTTGGTTGGATGGCAAATATTAACAAGCACCAGAAACTGCCTCAAACTAGGGATGGTGGGTGTGTTATTATTACTACATATACATTACCGGCAGGCAATCTGGCCATGTGATTACAATTTTATTGAGAGAAAAAATATACAACAAACTGTTTTCAAGTCAAATACGTGCTCACAAAGCTCACGATTAGAGTTGGTTATTATCTGTATCTGTCAAATATCAATTTTTAACAAAAAAGGGCATGAATTTAGAGAATGGGTTGCTCCGTGGTTCCCGAATGTTACTCTCCTGATCAATTAGTGGTCAACGAATGTATCGGATCACTTGATTTTCGAACAATACCTAAATATAAGAAGAATAAGGCGATAGATAAAGCAACGTGATGTGTATGTATTGTACTACAATTGATTAACAGAAAACACCTAGTTTGTTGTTCAAACTCATACATAATGATTGAGGGGATGTACGAAGGTGACTTTGGGTGCATAATGTACGAGTTAAGACGAAACCTTATCATCATCCTCGTCCTGTTTATTTGTCAGAAAAGAAAACAGGAGGAAAAGAGGAAGGGAGAGAAGAGAGATGTTACCACGATGAGCTACAGGCATCGAATGGCTCAAAGGACGAGAAATTCTGGCTTTTTGACTTTTCGATAAGCAAACCTCATGTGGTTTGAACCATTTCCGTCAGTTCTTGTTAGCAAGTATGTGTACATGGCTAAATTGTGGTTTAGTCCATTTGCTAAAAGTAATGCATGCATGGTGTAATAGAATTACCAAATGGAAGAGGATGTTATGAAAAGTAGTTCCCAAATTAGTTTGCAAAGTGCATAATCTTGTAAAATCTTAAACGGTGAACAAGCTTTTAGCGGCGTCTACAATATCTTGTAAGAATGAATTAAATTATCCTACACCAAGTACCATTTTTTTCTCTGTGTGTCCAGTCCCCTCACCTACTACATGCACTTATCTGCAGGGAAATACACAAAAATACCATCGGCTCACGCCAGGGGTTCAAATTATTAAATTTATAAGAATAGAATTTCCAGAAAGTGAATCATCCACCCAACCAAATTATACATAGACATTAACCCGTAGCTTTATCCTCCAATAAATAAGCGACTCTTCCTCCCATGCAGTAAATGAGAATAATACCGATATCAACAAGATTAAGATTTCATGTATGCCCAAAAATAACGTGGTTGGTTGGTTTACTGACTTAGATGCACGGCATAACTAGCATTTATTATATTCATTAAATATATTGTCGTACTTTACGTATGTACTTCTCAGCTCACGTAGACAATAAGTATCGTATCGTTATAATATCTGGAATGGAATATAAAAGCAGAAGCACTCTGTTACTCGGTATCTCATTTCTCTCACTGTCTCGTTACACAAAGGGTCTCGTCGTTTTTCAAAATTTCCACTAACTGCTCACACCACCATTACCACTTTTCTAATCTTAATTAAAGAAAATGGACCCACTTTGTAACATGTATCTTAAAATAAGGGTTATTATCATATTTGTAGTAGCCACAGAGAGTCCAGTATTAGTATTAACTTCCAATTCTGTAGGAGTGGCAGTAATCATAATTGTCAATAACGCGAGTTATCCCTCATCAAATCTCAACTTGCTCGTCTCCTTCTAGACAAAGTTATTGACTTTTTGTAGTAGAACAGAATAATAATGTTGAGTTATTATCATTATCATTCAGCTAGTTTAGTTTGGTTTCTGAGCTGACGCCCTGAGAGAAGAGATCGTGCAGTGGTAGACAGGGAGGTAGTTCGGTGGAAGAGGGTTCTTCAAGGATTTCTCAATTTCATCTTCTCAAGGAGTTATGAATCCGTCGAAATCTTCTCCGAAATCGAGATGGTGGTGGTTTTCCTCTCATCGAAAACACCAAACCGAGGAGAAACCGGCCACACCCCCCACGTCAAAAAGAGTCCCGAGAAAGTCGAAAAAATTAAAGTTTTTGCGTTTTCTCAGGGACTTTGCCATCTCGTACCGGGCATTTGATGATCTTGGGGGCGAGACCTACCTACCACTCGTTTCCGATTGGGATCTCAGTGCTGCATTCTTATCTGCCTCAGATCCTGGTGAGCAGGCATAATCTTACAAAATAAAAATCTTAATAAAGTTGAAATTGCGATTGCGTAAATATTTCCAGATCTGCAGCTTTTGATTGAACCAAAAAACAATATTCCTTCGCATGATGTGGAGCTGGACGACGAGCCTTGGGATGTAGTCCAATCCACTGAAGTGATACGCGATGCTAGTCAAAATATTAACCATACAACGCGGCCCTTGGGTTCTGAAGTCCATCTCGATTTTAAAGCAATGTCCTCAGCAAATTCAAATAATCATCATCATCATAATTATCAATATTCAAATGACCAACATCAGCAGAATTATTACCAGAGTGGTAATAAAGCATCAGGAGAAGGAAGCAGCAATGGGTCATCGTCCTCCAAAGTCTTGTCAGCAATGTCTCAACTGGGCGGTGCCGTGAATCAATATCCAATCAGTTTAAACTCCAAGATTAACACGGTCGGAATTTTCAACACGGTAAAATTCCAATAGATACGAGCCAGGAGAAAGTTGGTGAAAGTTAGTTTATGGTTTGTTCCCATTATTTCAGATGGAAAAGTGGGTTCAAAAGGCAAAGACGTTTGTGGAGGATTTGTCCGTCGTTACGACGCGCCCACCCCTGTCTGATGTCGAATTTAGAAATTATCTTGACCCTGGTGGTGTCCTGTGTCGCCCGAGAGAGTTGAGGTACGCCTGTTACCACGGCGGTATTGAGCCTGGATTGAGAAAAGTAGTGTGGAAACATTTACTCAATATTTATCCGAACGGGTTAGTTAATTTATTCTGATAAATTAAGTTTAGTGGATACTAATTGTAAATAATGTTAATTGTATTTCCAGGCTGTCTGGAAATGCCAGAATGGAGTATGTGCGGAATAAGTCGAAAGATTATTACGAGTTGAGAGATACTTGGAAAAGTTCGGAGGTTCGAGCAAAATAATAATAAGATTAATTTTTTATTATTTTTGAAAATCATTTAATGATTTTATCGTGATGTCGAAGTAATAAGATTTATTTCTAAATAAAATAATTATGACCCTGCTTCAACTTGCAGTTGAGTGAAGATATCCAATGCATAAGCAATATGGTACGAAAAGATGTTTTACGAACGGACAGACATCTGCAGTTTTATGCTGGACAGGATGACAATCAAAATATTGCAATGTTGTTCAATATATTGACAACGTGAGTTTGGAAAAACAAAATGGTTTGTCTGAATGAAAAACATTTTGTACTAGTTTACTATTTTTTTCAGTTATGCATTAAATCATCCTTCAGTGGGGTACTGTCAAGGAATGTCGGACTTGGCTTCCCCACTCCTCTGGGTGAGCTGGAAATTTTATGAGTGCCAATTCCTCCGAAAAATTCCGTTATCGTATATCTAATTGGTCTTGACTTATTTTTCAGACAATGGGAGACGAAGCTCAAGCATACATCTGTTTCTGTGCTTTAATGGTGAGTAACGACTTTTAATTATGAGACTTAAATTATCACTCATCAACAGGCATATTAAATTGGGCTCCAGTTAGGTTAACATGGTCAATGTTCTTTTGGGGCATGTTTTCATGAGTGAGTGAAGCATTGAGCAAATCTTTCAATTCCTGGTTGTACTTTTGGAGAAAGTACTTTGACTCCCCTGTAGCCATGATTTTCACGCAGTCGAAGTACAGTCGAGCAAACCATTTGAGCTGGGAGGCAACGATGAGTGAAATTCCATACACACCGAGAGGGAAAGCAAGGTCGGGTCGCATCTCATGTCCCTTGGCTCGTTCTGTTCTGGCTGATCCACACATTTCAACCCAATTTTCACTCTCCACATCATCTTCATTATCGTCTTGGTTGACAATCTTATCACAGGCGTTGACGATTGTATTCCACAAAATGCGAGCAACATCTTTGATATCGCCAAATTTGGTGATGCAAATACTGATATCCACCAGCTTCCCGTTCTTATCCACCCACGGTATAGCATAGAGTTGGAATGTGCACCCGTACTTGACTAGAAAACCATGTCACATATTAAGTTAGAGTTTTGTTTGATATATAGCGAAAATGCAAACTACCTGTTAAATATTCCGGCTTAAATAACTTCATGTCGATCTTACGCTTTGATGGAGAGAAAAATACTGGTTTGCCGGTGGGTGTGACATGACCGAGTTTTACATGACGCTGAAGATTATAGTCATAATTCAATAACTTGAAACAATACGTACAAGTATATTTGAGATCTGCAATTGCACAGTATATAAGTATAATTAAGCTTGAAACAATTAAGTTTAGTTATAATTGTTTACCAAAATGTTTGTTCATGACATGTCTTCTCAATGTTGAATAATCTTTCCATGATTTGAGAGGACATCTTTTGCACCCAAATAGACGCATGTTCAAATGACTTCTCATAACATGATTTTTGGCATTCTCCATCCTTGCCAAACTTTGTTTGCAGTTCGGGATAGGACATGAAATTTTGATATTGCAATTTTTCCGATCCGCAATCTGTTTCTCTATATTTACAACTGCATTGTTGTACTCTTGATTGTCAGTGGGAGGAGGTAGTTTCACATAGTAGTCCTTGATGGTCATCTCAGGAGGAACTTCAGTGGCATTTTTGACATGTTCGTACTAAAATTAAATAGAGATCTGTTAACGATAATTGTATAGTTGTATATTTTTATACAATTTAACCTGGTCTATAAAAGATTGCGCATGTCCAATTCCTAATTTTCTGTGAGCCCCTTTGACATTATTCATGTCCACTTTGAGTTTTCCAACAGCAGAATCAATCTGACTCAGTTTCCACTCATTTAGATCCGCCTGCTAAATTCATAATCATGATAGTAAATCATGGCTTATCATAAAACATATGCTACGCGCAAACCTTTTCTTCTATCAATTCATCAGGGTCCTCTAATCCATCCTCATCATCATCAGTACTTTCACCAACGGTGACGTCATCATCATTGCCAAAAACTCCTCTCAACTCTGAACGTGCTGCTGATGAACTTGTTCCTCCCCCTGATTTCTTAGAACGAGTCACCCTACGTGGTGTTGATTCATATCCTAATATGAAAATGATAATAGTGATACATGATTAGTAATAACAATAATTGTCCAAGGAGAAGTTGACTAACCGGAAGTATCCATATCTTTTGACAATCGTGGTCTTTTTTTAGGGGTCGTGTCATCACTGCCACTCATTTCATCGTCATAATCCGTAAAAGAATCGCTGTCGTCCCCTTTCACTTTCATACTTTTGGGTGGCATTTTTCTCTACATAAGCATTAAATTAGTGATGACTTGACAAACAACGATAATAATAATATGTAACTGTTGCATCATAACCATACTTACAATTTCCGATCAAAACAATCCGTCCACTTTCAGCAGTTTTTATTTAAAACACTTTGTTTGGATTATAGCAACCCACGTTAAAATCTAAAACTACTCACTACACTAGACTAAAGTTATGATTGATGTAATGTGACGGAAAGTAAATGAAAATTATTATTATTCCCCCTTTATTGATTCTTTTAAATTGGGGAAATATACTCTCAGAAATAAGACCAGGTGTGGTGGGAAGAGGAGAGTATTAAGAATATTCCTTGTCTTTGCTTTTGAACACACTGACCACCACCAAATTTCATAACGAATTCTAAATGAGAGTCCATCAGTGAGGCCAGGAAGGAGGTTCCCACTTTGGTTTGCTTTGTGATAAAAATCATTATTGTTTTTCTAGGTGCAATGCATGCAAAGGTAAACTGGTTATGTCATATTTAAATATGGCATAATTTGTATTTTATTTGAACTAGGAACGGATGAAGCCAAACTTTAATTGTGATGGGCTTTCCATGTCATTAAAGGTACACGTGCAAACACGTTTATCAATGTATCATGTTTTAACCAACTAACTTTTCTCTGTTGTTAGTTTTCCCATTTGGCGGAAACCGTGGCTTTTTACGACCCTGACTTTTGGTCTTATCTGAAAATGATTGGAGCGGACGATCTCCTTTTCTGCTATCGCTGGCTGGTAACATGTTTTATAATTTGAATTGAAACTAAAATAAGTAAACATGCAAAAAATAGATATGCACAAAACAGAGATAAATTGTTTCATCTGAATCGGGGGGAATCCGATGATGATGATGATAACAATTCATATCATCATTCATTTATTCTATTGCACTCAATGGTTTATTGAGTTGCATATTTATTTATGTATTTATTTATACAGATCTTGGAACTAAAGCGAGAGTTCGCCTTTGAAGATGCCTTGAGAATGATGGAAGTCTGTTTTGCCTCACTTCCATATAAACCTCAAGATGTTCCTCTATTCGAAGTGAAATTCACACTGAGCAATGCGCACGCCATCCCAATTCAGGTCGCAAACAACAGTCTAACGTCATCTTACTCTCGAGTTTGTGCTCTGCGACGCTCATCCACCTCGTTATGTGGTGGAGGTAGTGGGGGTTTACCAAACGTTAGTGAACTTCGGGGTCGACGTTTTTCCCGGAAACCGAAAGCAAATCCACTTTCTCTCGATGAAAATTCTCTCACTTCCGTGTCCTCAATTTCTACATCCCTTACCGGCAGTGGTGGTGGAGGGAGCAGTTTCGGTGGCAGTGTGGTTAGATCACACACGAAACCTTTCTATAGCTTGGACGAAACGACAGAAGGTCTATCAGCATGCGATTTCATGACGGGCTCTCCATTCGAAATGCTAAATCTAGATGGAAACCTATCGTCACCAAAACCAAAAAAGCTGATTAAAAATCTCAAGGAGTTTTGGACCATAGCGAAAGGATCGGAGGATCCGTCTCCAGACTCGACCCCATTCTCATCAAAATCTTCCACAATGTCCAACTTGGAAGCGGCCCTGGGTCCAATGACTTCGGATTCTGATTGCAACGGTGGAGCTGTTTTCTTTGATGATCTTCCCCCAGAAAAAATAACGTCGATAAACTCGCCAATCTCTGTCAAACGTCAAAACGTTATTAGTACTAGTAGTCCACCCCTCACCACGAGGTCGCGACACAGTTCTTGTAATTCATCTTCTGGAAAAGTAATTGGAGTAATTCCACCACGAATGACAACCTCTTCCAACTTTCCAATGTCTGCAGTAGCAACAGCCACGCCAACCAAGACTTCTGGTTCCACCTCTTTCAATCCTATTTCACCACGAAGAGGAGGGGACGAGCAAACTACGAATCTCAGTAAAAGTGAAAATAAGTCTGAACAATTTGCTAACCACGACGACGATGACGACAATAATTCATCTTCCCGAGGAGGAGGAGGAGGATTTCTTCCCATTCCAACCCCCGCGTCGGATCAAGATCCTGAGAGAACATCACAAACTTCTAATGCCGACTCAGAACATGATTCGGGACATTGTTACGGAAATTCGACAGAGTTGTTTGAATCCTTGAACGATCCACAGTTTTCGAGGGGACGAGCCCATGTTAAGATGCCTTCACCAGATATTCTGGGAGGGGGAAATCCATTCCTGATGTTTCTTTGTTTAACGCTCCTTCTCCAACATCGGGATCACATTATGAAGAATGGAATGGATTACAATGAGACGGCAATGTACTTTGATAAATTAATCAGGAAACATAATGTCGGCAGGGTGCTCGCCCACGCGAGAATGTTGTATTCCGAATATTTAAAGAATAATGCAGCTCGGGCGTAAACGAGGTGGTATTTATTACTCAAAATTGAGTTTTACTACTACAGAATCGAAATTCTATAAAAGGAATACAAATCTATGTGAAAAAGACATTCCCATCATCGAGTCGATTTGTTGTAATAATTATTGTTGTAAATGAGATTTGTTATTAAATGTTGGTACTTATAATACATTTATACATAGCACATTCTTATGAACAATGAATACTATGCTAAACTTGCTTGATAATTCTTCTTGTGTTGTAAATGATGGAAACAAAATATGAGATATTGATAACCAAAACGAACTGATGATGTCACGTTAAAAATGTTCCACGCACTACAAAATAAATACATAGATCTTAATTTCATAGGTCTGCTGGCTAGTTTGCTTTCCTGCTCCATGATATGTTTTTTTACGGTTTTGGTCATAAAAATAACTAAATGTGATATTAGAATATGAAAAGTAATTCAGTAGATTATTATATTACGGAAAAAAATTGATCATGTTTCATAAAATGTTGACGTTGGTTTAAATTATCGAAATAAAATTGAAAGAAGATAAGAAACGAAATATTGTGTAAAATGTATTAAAAAAATTATTCGCATACACAACTATTTTAAAAAGGAACAAAGTCATCATCATCAAATTGTGGCTTTGGATCTTTCTTTATCGGAGGAAATCCCAATTTTGGCACTGAACTAAACACTATTTCCGAACCACATTGCAATTGTTCAAATATTGTGATGGTATTTTCACCCAGTTTCAAGAAGGGGGCAGGAAGGTACAACGCCTTCTGTGGTCCAACATTGAAGTAGCGTCCCAAGTTAAAACCATTAATGAAAACTATTCCCTTCGTCCAGGAGGTCATGTCAATGAACGTGTCGCCAATTTCAGTAATGGTGAAAGTTGATTGCACAAGGATGGGGGCCTTCTTTGCTTCATTATGAGATTCATAGTTATGCCAATTAGTTAAGTTGTTGACCCAGTTTGACTTGAATTCCAAAGCAATGATTTCAACATCTTTAATCTCCTGCCCGTCCAAGTGGTAATAACTTTCATTCGGAGAATTTACGAGTCCTTTTCTCTGGAGAAAATCTTTTGCCCCACCAAAATTTATACGCCCCATATTTTCAATTAATAAGTCAATAGTTTGCTCTTTCCCATTCATTGGGAGAGAATATTCTTGCACAGAACTTAGCCAGTATTTTGTTGATCCATTTTTATCTTTGGGAAAAGGTTGGATATCTTGGTCGAGGAGAAGGATCCCGAAATCGCGAACTGGACCAGCCTAATTAAGCCAAATTACATATGTATGCACTTATTTAAATTGTTGTTCTTTGATTGACGGGCAATCGTTTTTTTTAAATTTAAGTCTTGTCAAACCTTGAAAATTGCAGTACCGTTCCCAAAAATACCTCGTTTCCGGTACAAAATATATCCCTGACTTTGTCCACCGTCATTATTCATGTTCAGATTTTCCATTGAAGTTCTTGCTTCCAATTGGAACTTTGAGGTGGGTGGAATCTGATCCAAAATGTCAGAATATGACAGGTATCTCTCCAGCGGGATGGAAGGATAAGCCAATTTCCTACTTTCTAAGGGCAAAGGAGGTCGCCGAAGGGGAGGAATTGCGTATATGGCGCTCATCTCTAAGATTTTGTAGTATTTGGCCGTATAATCTCCAGCTTCTGTGAGTGGTGCATCATAATCTGATAGGTACATACACAAGTCCAAATTAAGGAGAAATCTGTGGTGAAAGTTGCATAACAATTTCGCGAATACCATAACTGGTAACATCGGGAGCATAGTGCGGTGCTTCAGTTTGTGTATTTGCACCCGCATTAAATCCGAAATTAGTGCCCCCTTCAAACGTGTAATAATTTACAGATGCATTGTAGCCACCCAAAATCACGTCCAAGACACTGGTAAAATCTACAAAAGATGTAAACGTACACATTTTAAGAAGGTGAAAATTTTTGAAGGTTCAAGGATGTGTGTACCATTTAAGGAAGTCTCGCTGTGGGGTTCAAACCAATGATCGAACCACCCCGACCAATACTCCATAACCTACATAAGGCCCAAACCCATTGATTACGTTGGGCTGGTATTCATCTAAAATCACCATAATGAAATTTACCATGGGAGGCTTGTCTGGCTGAAATCTTAAAAGGTCGTCAAGATTTGATTCCGGTTTAAATTGAAAGTTGGCTGTCTTTAAGAGACCTAGAAATGTGCAAGAAATTCACATTATTTTGTACAAACCTTTGAATAACATGATTATCATGATAACGTAACAAAAACAAGGAAAACCAAGCTCAGAAATACTCAATTGATTGCTTTGTTGCTTCATGATTTCAGTATTTCAAGGTGAAAAGTTTACCCGGAAGACTTCCTTTCACTCCGTTGTAGGAGCCATCGGACGTAAAGAGGAGAGAATTAATCCCATGGTTCAGATAAGTTTGTCGGATAAACTCGAGATAAGGAGGCTCAATAGTATCAAAGGATGCATATTCATTCTCAACCTGGCAAACATGATACATATACATATTTACTGCATATAAAAATGAATAAATGCAAGCGTGAGAGAATGCGAGGTGAGTTATTTGCATCATAAATCCATTGAAGTGCATTACAGATAACTGTCTGATATGAATGAACTCCACACCACTTGCAAAAGATAATGTGGATTAAGGAAGTTACCTGAAGCGCAATAATTGGTCCACCTTGACTGAATTGCAAATCAGACACGAGTGGGAGCAGGTTATCAAAATAAACCTTTACACGATCTAGATACGGTTGATAAGCGGTTCTAACTCGCATGTTGGGATCTCGCAATAAATAACTATCAGAATCAGAGGGTAAAAGCGGATTAATAAAAGTATTCCTACTGAATTTGATGTACATATATATGTAAGAAAAACTACCCACCTGGGCATCCCCCCAAACTCAAATTCGCCGCAGATGAAAGCTTTACCAAAAAATGTTAATTCAAATGATTGCATAAAGGAAAAAGTAAAGAATAGACTCACGGCCCGGTCTGAGGATTAACAAAAGATCTTCTGCTTGAGCAAGCTGAATGAATTTCCGGATATCCAGAAAGATTGACATGTCATTCTTGCTTTGGTCTTGGCCAAAATCAAATTCATTCTTTTTTGGCTCATGAAGGTTCCACGGGACATAAGTTTCCACCTGTAAAATGAGACGAAATGACATTTTCGTGAGACATGTTCATAATGATCTCTTTCATTTGTATCCATGTACCGTGTTAGCCCCAGACGCCCTAAGTTTCCTTAATCGATCAGACCATACGCTTGGATGAGACCGGAAGTAATGAATAGCTCCAGAAATTATGCGAATGGGCTTTCCATTCAGCCTAATAAACAACAATTAGTTACAATTGAAAAAAAAATATTTTGCTTCATCAATAATCTTACTTGAAACCGTCTCTCTCTGCTAAAAGTCCAGTGACATTTTGACCTTCAGAAGAGTCAAAGTATTCGTACAAAGTTGGTAGACTATTTTGACTTTGAGTTTCCTGAAATTATTAAATATTTCAAAAATAATTCGCGAACAATAATTACATGGAAAGTCATCATTCTGTCACAAACATTGCTGATAATTATAATTTCTCAGAATATTTACTGCATTTATTTACCACACATAGTCTAAACTAAACCTACCAAAATCACTAAAAACACAAAAAATAAAATCCAGCAAAGTTGACGTCTTGTATTTCCACTCATTATTCCTGCACTTGGTCGGGTTCCAAAATTTATAACAAAATGATGCTACCAATTCTGATGTCACAACACCGACGCCAAAATACTCGCCCCCAAGTACGAACCCTAACTGGACCAACATTCTGGAAAAAGGTCTTTTTTATCTTGGAAGCAAGATCAACCCCACTTTCTGCCCTTGTTTGTTTAATCGTTCATTTAATAGTACTGGCGTTCGATGATGCGAAACTTTTTATCAGTAGTTTGGAACGTTACATTGTTCGTGTAAAATCATGTGGTACATTCCATTACGCAAAAACCTAAATCTCATAAAGGAGGAAATGGGTTAAATTATTACTGACACCGTACGTACGTAGACGTATAGATTCGCCATAACGATATTAAGTGGTCCACCTCCACACCTACCTTTCCTACTTTTACCTCCTGCGTCGCATTCCGATGCTCCATTTCTGCAACCACAGCAAGATGACAAAACAATGGAACCTTGACTGAATGGTATTGAATTTGTTTGATGATCCGGATAGTACTGATCCAATGTCATCCACACTAAATCTTTAGCCTGGCTTTTTACCAACTCCTGCTGACGACTGGGCATCATTAGCAAATTAGCACACCTGTGCATTGCGTCGGCTGAAAAAGTATGTTATACAATACTAACAATGAATATTATATCAGCCATATTTTAATTTGCGCAAAAGCATGTTATGCATAAATATGTATTTAGTCAGCAATTCCCTTTCCGTATATGAGTTTGACTGCGTGGTGTGACCCATTTATGGTAACAAAGTAAACCGTTCGTGTGTCTCAGTAACGAAACGCTGTAGTTTATGGATTTCCTTAATCGGTGTAAGCATAAATCGCTAGCTATAATAAAGTAGCATGCATCTATACTAAATAGAAGCAGATTTAGTGATTTATGCATGTGGGGAAGTTAAATAATGTTAATACAACTTATTACTAAAAGTAGTCTAACATAACCTCCAAATTTTTGGAGCTATACAATTCTATAATAAATGCACTCATTTGGTATGGATTTTGCAGAACATTATAATCCAAAATGCATGTGATTGTAAATATATTGCACGCGCCGATTGTTTAATTAATTTACAAAAATTTATATCTTCCGTAATTCTACGTAATTGAGAAAGTGAAAGTTGAAGAAAGTCTAAATACCTCTAAAAAATAAGATATATAAATCTAAGAATTTGTATTCGAGTTTTCTGCGTTTGGTGTCCAGAGCTGAAAAACAGTACTTGTACTGTGTCATAGTTTTAAAACCAGTTTTGTAAACTGATAACTATTAACACGTGAATAAAGGTTTAAATCAAATCAAATTAAATCAAATCTGACGCTTGTTCGACACCCTTAATAAAACCTAATCAATCAATCAATAAGAATGATCACCCGTTTAATAAAAATAGCATGTCAATTTCGATTTGCATAATTGTTATTCGTATAATGTATATAATGAAATCTTGATTTTTCAACTTCAAACGATATTGACGTATGATAGTTTAAAATTTTGTGTACATTAAGAACTGTTAGTTATTGCTATATAAGCCAAAATGGGCGAATCCTTTCGTTAATTTCAAGAAATTCAATATTTGACTAAAACTCGACTAATTTTGGTATAATTCGATCAATCGGAAATTTGGCGAAATTTCTCGAACGTGGGGTCATGGAACCCATGGTCTTGGGTTGCGACATGTCGATAACACCAAAAAGAAGTATCTGTCGAAGTTTGATGGAAATCGGACGAGAAATGGCGAAGTTATGCCATGGCGACGAAATTTGGCGAAACCAAGGTGGTGGCGGTGGGTGTGACCTTGCGACATGTCGATAACACCAATAAGAAGTGTCTGTCTAAATTTCATGCAAATCGGACGAGAAATGGCGAAATTATGACGACAAAGGTTGTCGCCATGCCATGCATTTAGGGGGGAGCTGTTGGCCGCCCTGAAAAGGGCGTTTCCAGAGCACACGACGAGGACGTCGCTCCCTCGTGCTCCACGCGGGTCGGCCCCCACGGACGCCCGAATGCGTCCGCGGGGGTCTACTCCCACCGACCGGGAAAGCCCTGCCCACGTCACCGCCTCTGCAACCGCGTTCCCCTAGGGGGCCCGTCTGACCCTCGCCTTACGAGGTGGGAGCGCACCCGTAAATCGGGCCCCATTAAGACTTCGAACTCGGGAACCCGGTCGGCCCCAAGGGGAGGTATCGCTAAAGAGCGGCGTCACCCAAGGGTTGGAGGTAGAGAGCCCCTCTCACTTGCCAAGCGCCACCCGCACTTTTGGCAAGCCCCGCCGGCTCCCCACCCGGTGAGCCTGCTTGGTGGGAGGAGCATTGGAGGGGGGACCTTCCCGTAAGGCTCTCCCCTTGCAGCGTTGCTCCCCCGGACCACCCCTCCAACGGGAAGAGAGTCGGGGCTGTGGGACAAACCACGGGTGGACCCGACTCCCCAGAGAGGCAGGGCGGTCCAGGGGCGCAGCTGCAATGGGGAGCTCACCCAGGGATACGTCCCCCACGAGCGCCTCCCGCAGACTAAAAAAATTGCGGAACGGAACTTGTACTAGGCAACTTTGTCCCCCTAACCACTAACCGTGGTCACTTTTGCAAGGAAAAGTTTCAATGACCTAACTTGAAACTGGTCAAATCAGCCTATTTTTTAGTTGTAGGGCAGTATGATCTTGCATGTTGTGCATTAAAACTTTCAAAAAGGTCAGTGGGGGTTTTCAAAAGGAGGGGTGGCTTATGGCTGATATGCCAATATCTACATGTCCACATGTTCCGTGTTTACCATTGTTACAAATAATTCAATTAATTATATCAACGTTGTTGGGGGTGGGAAAATATCGATTCTTATAGTTTTTTGGTCGCTGATTTCGAATCTGAGGTCAGTTTTTCGATTGGGTCATCATGGGAATGGGCACAGGCCCAGGATTCTCTGCTTCACATGCCGATCGACGGGCTTATACACTAGTAATGACATAATTTGACGTAATTTGTCTAAGATTTCCCCACATGACACAAAAAATTAAAAAGCTACAAATATAAGGCTGGATTTTGTAGTGTGAATAAATTAGAAGCCGACATAAATTCTTATAACGCAGTATTTGGGAATGAAAGCATAGTGAAAGATGCTTTCCGTCACAATTTGAGGCTTGTTTTTGCACGAGATCAATCCATTCTGCTATGAGATCAGTGTGGGAAGAATGTGGTATGAATTTTACTCATTTGCATTGCAGCATGTGCGGCGTGTAGCGATAAAAATTAATAATTTGTACCACTGTTTTGTACATTAATAAAACTTTTGACTTTATCTTTGGATAAACGTTTGCCGCAAAATAAAGGCAAACTGGCACATAGTGAATGTACGTTATTAACTTGTTAATTGAGCGCATAATTTTTTGCACTGCTAAATCCGACCAGAAAGAATCAATTCAACAGGTAAACTTTAACTATGGCGTAACGTGCACGACATTATTTGGTATACGATTAATAGTGCTAAAATGATTATTTGTAGTAACAGAACAAACTATACAACGACATACCATTTTGCGTGGACATTGATTTTGTGTGAATGGCGACAAATTTATCCGTCAAAACGTCCCGATTGGTCGTTGGCCTTTTCTCGAACATTCGAACCCTGACACACCATAATCACTGCTCACCCAGCATTGCATTGTGGTCAAGGTCACTGGAGAATATTTGTCCCCTTAACAGATCACCGTTCCTCCCTCCTTTGAGACACTTCACAGCAAAGTTCGATATGGAGAAAGATCCCAAGATCAGTTTGTCACCTTCTTGTGAAACTGTTCAAATTCAAACTGAAAAGGACGTTGAAACAATTACAGAATCAGTAACAACAAACGTAAATGACAAAACAATTGGAGAACAAGATTCAAATATTGGGCTAGTCACGAACGATGAGAAAGTTGTAGCACCCCCAGAAAAGAAAGAATATCTCCGCCGCAGGAAGATGGTTTTAATGCTAAGCTATTGTGGACAAAGCTATTTTGGAATGCAGCGCAATCCTGGGACGAAAACCATCGAAGATGATCTTTTACAAGGTTAGTAAGCACATCTTATTACATTTATTTAAAATTGATTTCACTTACTGGTGAAAGTAATATTACTGATGAAGTTTGTAACCTTTTTTCTATTTACTTAAAAGCCCTCCTCAAAGCGGGATACATTGATGAGGAAGCTTCTAAATTACCACGAGTCATGCAGTTTCAAAGAGCAGCTCGAACTGATAAACACGTCTCAGCTGCGAGGCAAATCGTCTCCATGAAAATGCCTGACACCATCGACGTCGCAAAGGTCAATTCGTTCCTCCCTGCAGAAGTTCGAGTTATGGGAGTAAAAAAAGCTACCAAGGGATTCGACTGTAAAACTAATTGCGATGGGAGAACATACATGTACATGATTCCTTCTGTACGTAACTTCATATAAACACATTATTCCTCGAGTGCAAAATTAATTAATGGTGTTAATAAGTAAATTGCTGATTTATCTGTCATTTGTTTTAGTTTGCGTTTGTACCCATTGATCAAAGCGTGACTGAAGATTACAGAATAAATGAACAAGTACTTACCAGCCTGAGAGCTATTTTAGAAAGTTATGTGGGAACTAAGAATTTTCACAACTTCACTTCACGGAGGAAACCAACGGATCCGAGTTCCAAGCGATATATCATTTCTTTCACCGCATCGGAACCATTTATGAAGGACGGTCTGGAATATTTAATCTTGCGAGTGAAAGGACAAAGTTTTATGTTGCATCAAATCCGTAAAATGATTGGATTGGTGGTCGCCTACATGAGAGGATTTGCAGGAAAAGATACGTTTGCGAAAGCTTGGGAGTCGGAGAGAATTGACATCCCAAAAGTACCTGGAGTGGGTCTTGTCCTAGATCATGTTCACTACGAACGATACAATCAGCGGTATGGCAGTGACGGGATGCACTCCCTCCTAACATGGGATGAATTTTCGGACCAAGTTGAAGAGTTTTGCCAAACTTATATTTATCCTGTCATAACAAAGTCAGAGAATGAAGAAAAGTCAATGTTTGAATGGCTTACGACACTTCCGTATCACACGTACGATATGCGAGAAACGAATAGAGACCCAAATATCAAAAATATTAGTTTTGAAGATGGAGATGGCAGGGGGACGCCGAGAGAATACAGCAAGATTGGTCAGGCTGGACTTATGGCGAATGGAGGACGTCCATTAGAAGAAGATGAAGATGAAGGCGACGATTCGGATGGGGATGATGTTCGTAAAAGCCGTAAAAGAGATTCTTCTCGTTCCAAGAATGAGAAAGTCAAATCCGATATGAATAATGATGAGGATAATGACGATGACACTGAATTTGTTCAAGCAGAATTAGCAAAACGGAAAAAAGCTATCTCCTAGATCTTTTTACTATTGCATTTGTTTATTATACGAATTAGAGCCCATGTATATATGTATGTAGGAATATGTATTATGTATAAGCAAACACATTTCAGATTATCGGCTAAAATATTATAGTAATAATAAATGTATTGTTTGATACTTTTAATTTCTAATACATTGTGTTAGTCAAAGAAATTGGATCATCTCATGTTTTACAAATTAGCAATAACCAAAATGATTTATAAACAATTATGGATGCATTTTTCATTATAGCTTAGGCATGTATCTGAATCATAATAATTGACCTCCTGTTAAAAATCAGGCCCGGTCGCATGTTCGCATACAATAATATGGCGTTATTATTGGTGAGGAGGGGGTTGTTGCTGTTGTGGAGGCTGTTGATTTGGTGGATAACCGTACGGATTGTAACCCATTTGTTGTTGAGTATACGGCATGCTATAATCTGCAGAGAAGAAAAGGCAAAGTCAGTTATTGCTGATAGAAGCCTTAAGCAGATAATATAGTTTTTTACAATTGAACATTGACAATGAAAAATAGAGGATAGGGTTATTTATTAGTATTATTCAGACTCACGAGAAGGAAGTGGAAAAGTAGCGTAAGGGTGATAAGGATAAGGCTGCATTTGCGGTTGGTATGGCATCGGCATGTTCTGCGGATAATTTGACGGGTATGGAAGTGCTCCCCCTCCCACAGGCATTGGTTGGGCGCCAGGGTATGCAGGAGGTGCTCCTGGCATGGGAGCATACGGGGTAGGATTATATGGCGGCTGAGCTGCGGTGTTGACCGGAGTGGGTGCAGACGCCATAGAAGGCAGTGATGGCACTGTTGATGGAGGGGGAGGTCTTGGTGGAGGGGCAGCTGCAACCGCACCACTTGACGCATCTCTTGTAACATCTCGTAATAACTCTTCCTTCTCAGTTTTCCGAGCAAAGCAAAAGTCGCTAATTTTATTTTGGAAAGCGACCAAAAGTTGGGTCAAGTCATTGTAGAATTTTCTTCCTTCTTTAAGATTGCTTTGTAAATCTCTGTAAAAACAAATGTTAAAACACATTAAGTAAGGGAACGCACAAAATTATGTACAAAATAATGAAATATTTAGATTAAGCACTAACGTAAAGGCATCGTATCCTTCAGCAACTTTGGTTCCATAAATAAAAAAAAACATGTCATTAGTTTTTGTTGTGCAAGTACAAACTTTTGCTTTGCAGTACGTTGTTCATCACAATAAATTACATGTCCGTTTGACAACGATGGTAATATGTGCATACTTACGCTGTCGCATCATTTGGTCCCGTCGACTCAACGTGTCAGTTGATGTATTCTTTTTCCCAAAGTATTCATCACTGTTTTGCTGAATTCCAACGATGAGCCCTTCTTGTTTTTCCAAGTTTGACTTAACCTGTCCTTCCAGTGGCCCTAGAGCCTTTCCCAATAGTTCGACGGACATGGCAGGTTCATTTATGGCACCGTCTTGAGCGAGCGCCTAATAAATAGTTTTTGGGATTCAATTAAATAATTCACGTAAAAAATGTAAATAAATATTTATACACAAAAAATTCACTTCACATACCTTTAAGAATGGAGTTTTCATATCGAATGCTACAGTTTTTAGGGATGCCTCCAAAGTTTCGCGTTCCCTTTTTAATTGATCCACTTCCAACATGAGTCCCTTCAGATTTTCACGCGCAGACAAGGAACCAGTGGAAGATGACCTTGTAGCAGAACTCTTGGGAAGAACATCACCGAGACCATGCTCACCTCGACTCAGCATTTGGATTGCTTGCTCATGGGTCGCCATTTTCCCACGCACGACCTGACAAGAAAATAATTGTTTTTCATTGAGAAGAGAAACGGTATCAAGTACTAGATTAAAATTCCCCTAACCTCATCTGCAGCGAGGGCGTTGTTTATGATTTCCCTATAGCGAGCAGCATTAGTTTTAAATGTAGAATTTAATTTATCGGATGAGGTTCTGGTCCATTTTTCTTTAAGTTGAGCACGAAGTTGATTGTCTGATTCTTCCTCTTCTCGAAGTAGTCGTTCAGCCTCGTCTAAGATTTCCTTATTACGCTACAATCAACAACAAACGTTTAATTCAACACCTGCTTACCCTATTTAAAAAATTGATCTTTTATGAAATACCTGCACCAACTCTGGGATTTCTTGAACAGATGAAATTAAATCTGCCGAACCTCCAGCTTCTTGTACCACTTTAGCCTTCTCTTTCAAAGATTGAGGAACGTCATCAGTCGCACCTTGAGTATCCTCAAGGGCTGCAGGCAAATTAAGCGAGGCTAATATTGAATTTAACAAAGAATTAGCCTCGCGAAGTTGATTAATCTTCCCTCCCGTCATTTCAGTCTTGCGGACTTCACATGTAGCAATGGCTTGATGAACTTGGACTGGAACCATATTGGAAAATCTGAAAAACAGAATTAAAGTTAAACTCGATATGTACAATTATCAACGATTATAATTAACGTGCAATGGCCACTTACAAATCTCGAGAAAAGTTTTCACACATCTTTTCTTGAAGTGGCAAAACTTTTGCAATTCTGGCAGATGCGACTTTATCGATTGGCGTCAATGCGGAGGCTTCAATGACACGCTCATGATAGATGAAATCATTGTCTTTCTTCGCCTGTGTTAACAGACGGTTCGCTTTGTTTACATAATCGACAAAAAAATTCGAATTTCCAGATCGTTGTTGCGCCTGCTTTAAAATCTCCAGTGTTTGAGTCAGCCTTGTAATTTGTTCGCCAACTTGCTTCTTTTCAGCGCAGACTTGAGACTGGAAGTATTGGGCAAGGGCAGAATAGGCTGCTTGCTTTCCAGCCACCTGTAATTACGTCCATCAATTTAATTTAGGATACTTTTTTTTATAAAAGTATGTAATTTGACGTTGAAACAGAAGTAGAAATTACCGTCGGGATCCAATCCTTCTCCCAATTGTGTTTGACAGTGTCTCTCTGCAATTGCTTCAACGCATCGGAATACATGTCTTCGCATTGGATACACAATCTCGCAACTTGTAGGGTATTAATGACAAATAATTAAAATTTACATTAGACAAGTCGTATTTATTCAATTGAGTCTCTTACCTGTTCCGTCTTTCATCTTATCTGCGATCGCTTTCTTAACAAAGATTTCCTGTGCTTGAGCCAGCATAAGAGCAGACAGAGCAGCAACAGTGTCACCAGCCAGGTCCGGAGTTGGTTCTTGACCACCTGCATTCATTATTTATTAAACAACTATTTGATGTTGGTGATTCCAGTCTTTTTGCACTAATAAATATAATTTTGTTTACTTACCCATTGTCGTCGGGGCCATTTTCAAATGTGCGAATATCCCGGAAGCTTGCTGAAACATTTTTGCAGCGCTTTTCATGTCCTCGTCTGACTCACCTATTCTCGTATGGGCTCCGACTTGAGATTGTAACGCAGCGATGTTGAAAAGCACGCATACTTTCTCATACGCCAATGAAGCCACGCCTAAGTACAAAAAATAATTAGTTACAATTAATTACAATTAATATTAAGAATCTGATGAAAATTTTAAATCTTACTCAAGCTAACTCTTCCTCCAAATAATCCTCCCTTATCGAAAGCATCCTTCCACTTGAAAGCAATTTGGACTTCTTGTGGAGGAATTTTATTTTCTATGCTGGATATTTGATCGTAATACCTTCAAAACATACTTGCTCATTATTATTTGGGCACTTATTTGAATATTATTATATCATACATGTTTCAAAATAAAAAGCACTCACTTGTACAACAATTCCAATGCTGCGGCGGATTTATCCAAACTTTTTGACACTGCTTGTGTTCGCATGTAACTCAGTTCCTGAATGTCTGCACTAAAGTCTTCCGGATTGTCGGCAGTCGAATAGAGGGTTGCAATTATGTTCTTCAGCGGCTTCACGATGTCCACGTCGGACGCTTTTTTCAACGGGACACATATAAGGTCCGTCATCTTGATTAAAGTTTATCACACACCTGAAAACAAACAAAATCGAATAAATAAGTAACCTTACAATTTTCTAACTCGAATAAATCTAATCCTTAGTTAATTGTCAATTGCTATTTTCATTTAACCTACTATAAACATTCAACATTTAAACAAAACAATTCAACCTTTCAACTCTAAAAATATAATTAATCTATATCGTTTAAAATCGGACAGCTGACTATCTAACGGAAGCCGAAAAATTAGGGTGTGGCAAAAACGAATTTCTTTTAACAAATTGTCATTAATACAATGCTAATTAATACACAAACCACCCACCCAAGTCAAAATATTAAATGTAAATCAACCTTTCCTCCTCAAACAAATAGAACAAACGAAACAAGTAAATAACTGGACTTGTGACCGGATATACTGAATAAAAATCCCGTTCATTGTAGTCTCGTCATCCTAAAAAACCTAACAATCAGCATAATATGTATTAAATTTCTTACCGAATTTATTCTGCGAAATCTGCTGATTTTTCTTCCTCGACCGTACCAACTGCCAGTTTGCCAGCGAACAATTTACTATGCCTCCTTATCTTTTGGTGATGATTAGTCAGGGATGATAAGTCTTTGTTGGCAGTGTGTAATAAAGAAAATGAAGACCGATGTGTCAGTTGGTGGATTGTTGACTGAGAGTGCGAATGAGTCATGAATGACAAAAAAGAACTCAAGTATTTGGTGCGCGGTGGTGGTGAGGAGGATGATCTCACGAACCAACCATTACACGAATTCGTATAAAAGAGACGTTACATTACAGTTTACACAATAGCATTTATGACGATTGACGACGCTTCACTGAATAAGAAAGAATATATGACTAGACACAAATTTAATGCAGTATGCATAAATCTCGCCTTACATAAAATGAAACAGGAGAGGTAAGGAAAGACGAGATAAGGTGCAAGATTAACTGTCGTATTTAAACGAAAGGTCTTTAAAAAATGTTGTGCGTTGTCGCTACAACTAAATGAATTATTTATCATGGACGTGTAATGTCAAACAATTATCATTTTATTTAAGCATTTGAAACACAGGAACAATGTTTATGTGACATCAATAATATTAATAACGTGGACAATACACAAATCAAACTTTCTCTTCTATACTTTCTCTCTAAAGGGTAACCTACAGAATGTAACATTGTAAAATGGAGTATAAGGTTCACTGTAGCATTTTGGCTTATCATAATTGACACAGGTTTACGAACAATACTTTAGAGGTATAACATGTTACACGTATATAGTATAGTATATCAATGTAGAGTATATTTTGAGAAACGGTCAACGTTTACACGGAAAATCTTAATTATTATTTTAATTCGTATGTAATAACACTATATAATCAACATTTGCATATAAGTCGTCAGTCCGAAAAGATTTGTGGACTTTTTTATCATGGAATGGATGATTGTATTTCTTTTTGTTTTTAGCATCTCAATTAAGAATCTTAATCTCCGCCACCTCCGGCACCACCTGCATCGAATCCAGCACCACCACCAACCCCACAGTCTCCGCTGCACCCTGCATCCCCACACCCACCACCGACAAGACCCAATTCGCCAAAAGCAGGGGGTTGAATCATCATGATGGCAGCAAAGTCGCTGGCATTGTTAGTGGAGGAGTTTTCAGCAGAAGAGTCCAGCCCCCATGCTAAATAATGAGAATAAACATGATTTTATTGTGATTTGAGTCATCTAGATCAATTGTGCGGTGAAAGTTAAAGAGAAAGTGGAGATGGCGAGGTGCAATAGGATGTTAAATTATATAAGGGCCTTAAAATCAGGCTTAAAATTAATATTAAATTAACCTTTTCTACTCCAAAATCCACTACTTTTATCATCAATCTTGTGTTGTTCATGAATGTCGGGTATCGGACAGTCTGAAATGTCGCAGGCTATAACGCCTCCAACGATGGAATCGGCATAATCCGGGTTGGGGTAAAACTATCGTGTTCATAAAGTTTCGCATTACTCGCTTTTCATGAATGGTGTAAAAAATTAATAAAGTTTAAACTCACCAAATCGTAACACCCATAGCACGCACAACCAACCACGATTATGAAAAATGCTCCAATCGGGAGAAAGTAAATGGGATTTATGAGGTCCAAAATCGATACCATGTTGACATTTGTTGATTTTTTTTACGTATTATTTACTTTATAAATGGAATTTCGTCTCACAAATAGTTTTGTTTCTCAAAAATGAGCGATTTTTTGTATAATATTTTTGTACAGTTAAATAAATTACAAAGCTGATTTTTCTTGTCAATTTAATAATTCGAAATTTGATTACGTTTTACAAAATGCAAAGCTGATAGCAAATTGTTTGTTGAGCATCGAATTTGGAATTAGTTGGTAATCCGAATTGTGTACTCTTTTTGTTGTATGTGTAAAGTGAAGCAGTCTTGAATTCTTATATTTATACTTTTTTTAATAGAATAAGATCAATCAGCTTATAGCCAACTTATTTTCGGAAACCTTACAAATGTGCTTGGAATAAATGAGTAGTGTTGTTTAAAAATGAGAGAAACGGTCATTCCACGCGAACAAGTTGGCTCTCTCGGTACTTTCTCTTCTACAGAATGAAACGCTGTGAAGCTACAATTGTGTCCCTCGTTCCCTGAGAAATAGTCGTCGTCCTCGTCGTTAGCAGAAGAACAAACTATAACGGAAGTCATGAAGTAAGTCCTAATACAGTCCAAGAAACTGTGTGACAATTCGTGAATATTGGTTATCCTGAATCTTATATTTGCTCTCCACTCGCCACTAATACCCTCCTCGCCTGACTGACAAGGACAATCGTGAATGACCCTGAATTGTTCTCCGAGATGATGAAGTGTACCCGTGCCCGTGTGCCGTGAGGAATTCGGAAACGTGGAAAGAAAACCCGACCGATCTCTTTGCGCCTTGCTAAACTAACTCTCCTCTCTCCGCTGCTCGTTCATGAGCACAGCTACAAAATTCCGAGAAATTATTGATTTCATCTCTCTCACCCAACCAACCGTACATACAAACCAAACCACCAACAAAGGAGCATCGGAGAAGAGAAAGCAAATAACCTGGTCAAATAAATATTCTACGTGGAGAAAGCTCACTTTCGCCAAACTACTACTTGTGGCAGCCAGGTGGGAGACAACAAGTGTGCGTGAAGAGAGAAGACCTTGCTCTCAAATTTGGGTTCGGATTCAAGATGTGAATACTAAATAATGTGCACAATACATACTTAAAAAAAACTTTGGAACGATGCTATATAAATACATATAGCATCTTTTTTGATATGCTTTGTTTAGGTAAATTTGAGCCTATTCGCCACCACCGCCGTCACTATCGACGCCCAAATTTCCTTCAGAGTATGCATCGCCAGTAGTGCTTTTGGGATTATGATATCCTCCAGTACAGCAATCGCATCGTCTCCCTTTTCTACGACGACGACACGTACTGTTAGCCCAGCATCTTTTGCAGGGGTCGAGGCAGTGTGGGAACTGCAATCAATAACTAATTTTTAGTAGGGGTTGCATACATAATTTAGTGGTTTTGAATGGTTATGATTCTTTTTGGGGATTTGAATTAATTGATTGATTACCAATCTTCTGGTCCAATGCTGGATAAAATAAATGAGAAGTATGGATCCGCAAACGATGGCACCGATGACAGGGAAATTGAACTCAAATCCCATTTTACATTAAACATGGTAATTAAAAACAGCAGCAGCAGATTGTCACTCTCTAGTAAATTGATGAGACGGCCAAAATATCTGCTGCTGACACCTTTTCTACGGCTGCTGTGTGGTTTTTGAGGTCTGTTCGGCGGAAGTAGTAAACAAAATAATATAAATAAATTTTAAAAAACAAACTTAGGTGAAGGACGCGCTTAAAATATTAAAACAAGAAGCATTAAAAAATGTCATAAATCGTTTAATATTTATTAACTTTTACTTCACCGTGGGCCCAACTATTAAATTTTCAAAGCAATGATAATCAACAATAAATGTAGCTGAACCAATGACTTGATTAAATATTAAATGCAGCATTACAGAGGGAGTTATTAAAATACGCCAGAACATGAACAAATTTCCTTTGTAAGAAGTGTCGCGATTTATTGAAAGATAACCATTCAAATCTTGCAAGTTTAATATACAAATAGATATTACGTATTTCGTATAATTGTTCCAAATGCTTGAAAGTATAGCTTTTTTCCTGTGTTAGTTGGGCCCCCGGTAAAGTAAAAGTTAATAAATATTAAACGATTTATGACATTTTTTAATGCTTCTTGTTTTAATATTTTAAGCGCGTCCTTCACCTAAGTTTGTTTTTTAAAATTTATTTATTTAATTATTTTTAGTGATTTGTGAATTTATATGCATAAAATCAGATGCAATTATAAAATCTTAAACGTTGTTAATTCTCCTGTGGGTGGATGCGCGGTAAACCAATTTATTCCCCCAGTTTCTGAATTTTAAGGATTGCTCTGTTGCAACATGCGTTGACACTTAGCGATCTAATAATAACGTAATTCGATTGTCTAGCAACATTGGTTATGTTGAGTATTGAATATCGATGCTAAATAAACTATTAGCGCACGTTAGCAACCAGTAGGTTGCTTAATGGAAATATTTCAAAAAGCTATAATTCCGTGAGTTTTCATCCGATTAAGTCGAATAAAGGCTTAAAATTTGCGTATTATCCTGGAGAATAATAAAAATGGCAAGCCCCCGGTCGGAAACACTTCCTTGATGCCAAGAAATGGATTTGAAATTTTAGGCATCGGACTTTCTACCTGAGGGAATTAGAATTTTTGAAAAAATAAAAAAACGTATCTGTAAAACAGAATTCTCTGGTTTTTTTGTTTCAACATGTTTTTCATGCAATGCACGGTTCGGGCGAAATCTCAGTGCGACCTTTTCAAAGTTGCAGCTGAATGCATACTTAGGCTTCGCCGTAACCATGGTGATCTTTTAATATGATCACCTTATGCTTACTTTTCCTTCACCTAAGAAAAATAGTTTCGCTCGACCGTGACTTTGATGAGATTTCGTTCGCTAAATATTGCATGCCGCACATTATTAAAGGTAATTTACATGTGGCAGAGAAGAGGAAAATGAAAATGATGGACATGTATGTCTGTAATATGCATCCAGCACAAGGTATGTATATAATTTAATACGAGCTGGATGATGGTATGCACGCAGTAGTTTTATTTTGTGTCAATCATGAAATTAGACATCCTATACACTTTACTATATGCAATTTCCCATGCTGCACAATTGTCTGGAAATTCATGTCTATTTACATCAGCAAATGACAATAATTTGATGTTTTGAAGTTGTGATTATAAAACATGGAAAGTTTAAATATATTTTTTTAGAAATATCAAGTTGAAAATTTAACTCGATTTTGGTTTAATATTTTTACCCAGGACATTTTCTTGCTTTCCGCATTTAGAATACCGAACACGATAATCTGCTGGTAATCTGCAAATCTGCAGCAGCATTGTAACAAATGATAACGTCATTTAGCAGTAATCCATGATTGATTACAATGGGAATTTCAGTGTAAACACTTTATTTACGTGCAGGATTATCTAAATTACGCACACCATATTGTATGCATTTTTACATCTCGTCTCAAGTACGTACATATGCACACGTCTACGCCATTCCTAATTAATTAATTACTGTAAACTATCCCCCCACGAATAGTACCTTCTACGTATTCATAGTCATCCATCTTGCTCTTCTTTGGGTTTCGATCTCCAGAAGAAAGATGGTGAATCGTGTGCGAGTCAGACTTATTCTGTAAAAACGATTAAAATAAAAATAACTATTATACAATTGCATAATTAAATCCTTCTCGAATACTCACCCAGCACTTTATGCACTTCAAAATGATAACCACAAGAGTCAAAATAACTGCTAAAAACAGTCCAAACGCGGATACAACTGTGGTAGTGAACCTGTCAATCATGATCAGCAGAACTTTAGACATTAATTACCGTTGATGGGAAAAAGGTGCATTTGCAGCTGAAAAGTAGTCCGCCGTGACCTCGTACATAATAATAATACCATTTCATGGAATTTGTAACGAGGTAAATGCATACATAAATATAAGTCATTGAATAAAACCGCATTTTTCCACCTTTTCTAAATGAACATTATTCACCCACATAATTATAAAATCGAAGCGACGATTATATAAAAAAAGTAGTGGCTGACTGTCAACTGATTAAATAATAATCTGAATGTGACGACGTGCGGGATGCACCTGCGACATTAATGAAATATTAATTAATAAAATTGGATACTAACGTTTGATGGGGATGACGATTCCCACCGAGTTATGTTTTTGTGTGGGTGAATTTAGTGGGTGTGGCACTTGGTGGAAATGTGGGTGGATATGTTAGAATTGTAGGTTGCACAATAAATGTAATTGAAACAGGACACTTGGTTTCAGTTGAAGTCAATATATTTTACATTAGGAAAATTGAGACGAATTATAATTGTGTTGGTCAGAAAGATAATGAATTTGAGTCAAAATAGATAAAAGTACATTGAATGAGAGAGGCTCAAGACTGACAAGAAATCACATAAGAGAATCACCCGAGAATGGGTATTGCACCCTTATTTATAGTTTTAGTGAATGAGGAAAAAGGTGCATGAAAATTAGTGTACATAAATAGACTTCGTGGAAACATGTTACAAAACTTGGTTCATGGAAAGAAAAAAGGTTCACTTAATTGTTAAATTAACTTAACCAAAATTGTTGTGCGTCAGCAAGTTAAATGCATTAAGATTATAGAATGTTGAACTTGAATGATAACTTTACAAAAATGACAAACTGAACAACGTTCATTATGTACATGTTCTTAAATAAAAATGGCTTTATTAGCTTATTTTAAACATAATAATCTTAAATATAATAATATTTTTAAAAATTACAATTAGTCAAAATGTCCAACAATCTTCCTCTGCATTTGGTGCTTTTTTGCATTTACCAATGCAGCAGCAATGCTATCCCCAAATTCTGCACTAATTCTGTACGCGACATTACTTAAATATTTGTCTTGCACGGATTGTTCCGCATTTACAAGTTGAGCTGCCAAATTGTCAGCCAGTCTTTGTCTTTGTGCAGCAGAGAGGTCCAACTCCAGATAAAGGACGCATTGCGAAAAGTTGTCCTCATCTGCGGTGTCGACACGGTTAACGTCACCGCTAACGCGAAACGCCGTTTGTGCCGCTGATGGTTCTTGATCCAGTCCTCCAAAACTAAATTTATGAATTATACACATTTGAAATGAGTAACTTTTATATAAAAATAGCTATATACGATGAATTAGTATAGGTTTTCGTACCTGTTGGGAAAATAGTTGGGCGCCCCATTTCCATTCGTTCCCCCACACATGTGACCGTCCCTCATGTAATTTTCCACGCGAGAAGTGGCTTTGTTAATTGGCAACTGGGCAAAATTGACGCCAAGTCGGTACCGTTGTGCGTCCTGATAGGAGAACATTCTTGCGTGAAGCATACGGTCAGGTGAAGGCTCGACTACAAATCAAATATGATTTATGATGAAGAATTTTAGAGGCATTTAGACAAATATGAGGTGAGTACCTACCCCCAGGAACCATATTGGCCGGTGAGAAAGCAGCCATTTCAATCTGTGTAAAATAATCGGCTGGGTTCAGGTTCAAAGTCATCCTTCCCACCCTTCTCAAAGGATATTCTTCTCGTCGCCAGTGTTTCGTAATGTCGAATGGGTTTTGAGGATGGGCTTCGGCCTGAGCGAAGGTCATAATTTGGACGTAAAGGTCCCACGAGGGGAACTCGCCTCGAGCAATGGCGTCGTACAAATCTTGGATGGAATAGTCGGGATTTTCTCCGGCCAAGAGGGCAGCTTCCTCCTTCGTGAGATAACTCCAAGTTTGGTTTGAAATCCAGTGGTATTTAATGTAGACTGCCTCATTGGCCGTATTCGCCCATTTGAAGGTGTGAACTCCGGCCCCATTAATGACACGAACACCGTTGGGCGAACCTTCGTCAGAGAACAAGTGAAGGGTGTGGAGGGCAGATTCAGGTCGCAGACTGGTGAAGTCCCACCACATTGTGGCGTCACGAAGATGAGTTTGTGGATTTCGCTTTCTAGACCTGAATTGAAACGAGAAGGGGAATTTGAGACAAATGGTTTAAATATGGCATAAAGCGTATGGTCGAATTTTGGTCGTTTTTGAAACCACCCGACAATCTCTGGTTATCGATCACCATCATCGTGTTAAGTTACATATCGTCGTTGAATATGTATTCTAGATAACACGTCTCCGAAAACAGTAAACAGTCTCGAAATCCTACGCATTAAATTTGTGTCCGAATGCATATTCAACGACGACACGCGACCTTTCCGGAGATCAAGGGCATCGGTCAGGTAACAACAACAACTTGCAAAATTTACAAAATTTCTTAATTGCGTCGTTAATGAATTAGTTGTGTATTATTTACCTGTTAACATCAGCAAAGAGCATGGGATCTCTGATGGGAAAAACTTCAATGTTATTCCCAACGAGGTCGTATATGCCGTCCTCTGTATAAAATTTGGTAGCAAATCCCTTTGGATCTACCCAAGTATCTCCAGAGCCTGATTCTCCTCCCACTGTCGAAATCCTTACGACAACATTGGTCCTTTTACCGACCGTGTTGAACACCTTGGCCTTGGTCCATTGGCTGACGTCGTCAGTGACTTCGAAGTAGCCCAAAGCTCCGGCCGCCTTGGCGTGGACGACTCTATCAGGAATTCGTTCCCGATTGAAACTGGCCGTTTTTTCGAGGAGGAAAGCATCTTGGAGGAGAATGTGACCATTTGTTCCGATGGCCTGCGAAGCCACTAAACTTGGCATTGGAATTCCTTCCTGAAGTTGGTGAAAAAGTAAAGTTGTAGAAATTCTTATTTATGAAATTCTCAGATAAATCCTGCTAAAAATAACACCCTTCTTTTAGCACATCTTTTGCATGTACCTGATTAGTGGCAGTGCCAGGATTCTGTTTCAGGTGTGTCTTTGCCCATTGTGAAAGTTGAGATTTTGCTAGAATTGTCATTATTGATGAGAACTCGTATATGAGGCAAGTTGAGATAAGGATAATAACTCGTTAAATTACCATTAGGACAGCTCCCAGGATAACCGGATCCCAATGCCATACCTGGACAACCAGAGGATACAAGTTGGACCAGGAAGTTGGCAACTGTATAAGAAATCCACAAATTGCAATACCAATTAGTAGACAAGTACATTCTCATGAGTTTAATAACAAGGTGAGAAAAATTTACCCACGACGAAAACTGCAAACCCCTTCATCTTATAATTTCTGCTGCTGTATACTTCTAAAGTATACTCACTGACTGACTGAGGATGAATTGTGTGGTCGACTGACTTGTTCAAGCCTCTCCAAGTAAATGATTCCGCTGTACTGGAAGTGAACCAATTTAAATAGATAAGCTCATCGCATTTTTTTTTAGATATGTATCGCTCTTGTGAAGAAGGATGTGCTGATTATGCACTGGCCAGGAGAATGCATAATACGTACCTAAGACTCCGTTACATGCAATACACGAATAATGTGAAATGAATGGATAAGATTGATTAATTCCTAAATCTACACAAGTAAAACCAGACTTTGTTTGTGGTGATGATACGCTGCTACTGGTAATAAACTGGTAATAATGACCAACGGCAAAGGGTTTACTAGTACGTTACACTATTCAAAAGTCGCTTTGTCCTACATCTCTGTACGTACGTACTACCCTGTTCCATTAAAATTGTGCATTAGGCTTACTTAATAAAATAAACAGTTATCTTCTTATCTAACAAAATTATTATTATAATGTAAGCCAGTTTATTACAGTCTGATTCTAAATGTCGTAATGGGTAATTTTCTGTCCTGCTTGAAAAGTGAATTGTCGAGAGTGATGGTGATGATAATAGCACAAAATGTTGACGCACAAGCATATGAAATGTTACGTATTATCTTGTTATGTTTGGTGAATTATTATTAGTTTTTTTTACATAATAATGTTAAAACCTCGTATTTTATAAACTGGGTTTGCTTGATTCCACACGGTTGCATCATTTAATTGTGATTATTTGTGAGGATCTTCTTCCCTGTCCCTAACACAATGTGAAATTTCCATTATTTCCATCCATTGTCATTTTTTTTCATTTCATGCTTTTTAGGTCGGTTAACTTCCTTGAGCTGGATAAAAAATATACAAGTGAATGAATAACCACGTTGTACAGTAACATCAGTTCAGAGGTGATGGTACATGGTTCGACTGGGAAATTGAGACTCAAAACTAAGGCATTGTTAGTTAGTACAATACCCACAAAACACAATTTAATTCAAGTTTCATCAATGAGATATATGGTTTAACCCTGAGGTTGAATTTGAATGACAAAATATTTCAACAATTTTGACATGACACATTTTTTTTGTAAATTTAATGTATATATGTCAATTAAATCAGAGATGAATCTAAAAATTTAATAATGCTATTATATAAAATATAATAGTGACGAGGTAATAACTTTTACTTACAAAATGTGACATTTTTAGGTTATATATGCAAGTGGGGTTTATTCATCCTATTACTTAATTCAGCACGACAGATTTGTCCGTCAGCAGTATACACTCCGCCATCTGACCACTTACAGCAACGTGTGATAGCACATTCGAAAGCTTAGTTAAAGACGGTGGGAGCCGTCATAGTTTCAATAGTGTAGGTCACACCATTCAAGGTCACGGTCACAGGTCACCAAAATTTCACCTAATAACCCCCAACAAGTGGGGTATCATTCGAAAGGTTTTTTACATATCTATCAGAATATATAAGACACTTGGGGTCTGTGACCTCACTGTGACCTAGAATAACGGTCAAAAGCTAACTCCAACGCCAGACTACACACAACAACGTATGATAGCGCATTTGAAAGCTTATTTCAAGGCTGTTAGAGAGGTCATAGTTTGATTAGTGTAGGTCACGCCATTCAAGCAATCAAGGTCACAGGTCACCAAAATTTCAACTGATGTCACCCATGAAGTGGGGTATCATTCGAAAGGTTTTATAAATACCTTCCAGAATATATAAGGCACTTGGGGTCTGTGACCTCACCGTGACCGAGTAGACCCTGGGAATTATTTAATAATATGACGGGTTTTTTGCTTTTCCACGCCCCGTACTGGGAGTCACAGGCCCCGTCCTTGGACGGGCTTTTACTCTAGTTGGAGTATAAATCGTACAGGCAGACAGTATAATTTGTGTTCGCAGAGTATACATTACATGTACTCATTTAAATTGTATGAAAGCTGCCAAGCACTTTTGAAAAATATTAATTAATTACAAGAACCATGTCGGAAAAGCTGACCAGAAAAGGAATCGAGCATTATAAAAAAACTCATAACCTTAATTTAAGAAATGATGGAATTAAGAAAAATTGAATTTAAAACAATACAGCACCTCCAATTCTTTGCCTGGAAGCGCGTGTACTTTAATTTACATAATGTTACATAATAATGAACTCATTATTATGAAGATATTTTCATTTTCATTTTTTTAAACACTGGGAAAGTTTATGTTACATAAATGCGCACGCAATATTATAAACTACAATTCATTTGAAAAGCATACAATGAGAATGATGCAACAGTTTAAGAGCTTTATGTTTTATCTATGTACTGCCGTACAGTCCACCTGCTTATCTTCAACAAACTATTGCATCACACATATTAATTGGTTAGTGATGTTGGTGGTCAAGTATGACAGACGATTGACGTATCGATATTCATTACATCATGAGTTCTCCGCAAGTCCACGGCATTCCCACACGTTACATGTGCCCCCAGCGCCCGTGGGGTCAATAGGTTTGCCCTCTAAAGTTAACAATTCATTATCCATAATCAGTCGATGTTATACATAATGTCACGTATGAACAATTATTACGTGACCTACCTTTACAAGCCATCTTATCCACCTTTACACCAAGCTTCTTCAGTAGTGGCTCATATAAGCTTGTACGTGCTACAGCTTCAGACCGTTTTTCCTCAAGATCGAGACACTGTTTTTCTAAAATCTTTGCCTTATTCTTGTCCTTTGTATACTTTTGTCGTAAAACTTTAGCTTGATTTTTAATGTCTTCTCCTTCATCGATGCCTTGCCGTTTTATCTTTTCAGTTTCTTCCTTATAATTCTGGATAGATTGGGTCTTCCTTTGACATTCATCTATGAAACATATAAAAATATAATTCCAAAACATCAGCATGCCAGTTTATTTATGGTTTATTTTCTCTTGTGCATACCTTCCAATCGTTGTATTAACTTGTCAGAGGCCTCTAAATTCATTAAACATTCCTTGTAAATTTGACGGTTATCTTCATGGTTGTTGTTACTACTCGAAGTGTTTAGGGATGTGTTGTTTGCTGCAGCCTCTTTTTGAATAAACATTGACTGAAACTCGTTGAACATGTCATCATTCGCCTTTGCTAGTGCCGAATATTCCTTGGAGGAATTGGTGTTATTATTCATGATGATAAAAGACTTCTAAAAAACTAGGATAATTATTTTGGGCGAATTAAATGGATGAAGGGAATTAAGTGATTTAATTTAACTCACTTTATTTATCTTTATTTATTATCTGTCTGCATGCAGCAACGATGAGCGGTTAGTGTTCGCGGGTTCAAATTCAAATTCCTGCTGAGGCACATTGAGATGTGTTGGTCATGTTGAAAAGTACAGAAATAAAACATGTGCTCGCTCTTATAATTAAAAATTATTATTTATTTCTGTATTTGTCGTTAGTTTAGTATTGTTTCGGGATCAATTACTTTAAGCAGGCATTTTTTAAGACCTTAAGGAAGTACAGAACTTGGTAAATTATTTAATTTTGCATGTGTTTATGTTAATAAAACTCCACTGTATTTGTATACTTAATTTTTCAATGTTAATTATTGTAGTGACATGTTTCAACTGTACGAGTTAACTCGAGAGGTACGAATCGAGCCTCATAATTTGGGCCATGACCGGGTTGAAGCCATAACGGACGAATTAAACAACAAACTAGCCAACAGGGTAGTTCTCGGTGTGGGATTATGCATGTCATTGTGGGATATCAAAGAAATTAGAAATGGTGTCATTTATCCTAGCGATGGTGGTGTCCATTCTGTCGTCAAGTTTAGATACATCGTCTTTCGACCATTTCAAGATGAGATACTAGTCGGCAAAATTAAAAGGTGTACACCGGACGGAGTCCATGGTACGTAATGAATATATGTACCAAGTAATTTACAGTAGTTTAGCTGATATAGTTGGATGCAATATTTATGATTATTTTTATACCGTTTAGTAACACTCGGATTCTTTGATGATATTTTCATTCCTCAAGAAGGACTTCAACACCCTTCGAAATTCGATGAGCGAGAACAACTCTGGATTTGGGAATATAAAGCAGAGGAAGACGATGAAGTCCATGAGATGTACATGGATAAAGGAGAGAACATTCGATTTCGAGTTACTGGCGAAGTATTTTGTGACACCACCCCAATTCCTTCCGGGTCGGGGGATGGGAGCTCAGTCGGTGGACAAGGTCAGATTGGGAGTGGACCTTCGACTAGTACTGCAGGTGGTGGGGGACCAGAGCAGAGTGGAATGGAGGATGACAGCAGTACCAGCAAAATACCTTACTCTTTAACTGTAAGTTAATTGTTTGATAAATTTTAATTATGATTTTATTTATAGCGAAAATAAATAGTAATTTGTAAAATTTCAGGCATCCATAAATGAACCCGGGCTGGGCTTGCTATCCTGGTGGAGCTAACTATAATTAACCATTATTATCATTATTATTTATTTAATGACTGGACGTATGCATGTACATATGTAAAGTAAAATAATCTCGCTATTTGTTAATATAATTGTTTTAAAGATAATGTATAATATTATTTTGACCAAGTACATGACTAGAGGTAATAAATTTTTTAAACTCAATCAGGTATTTAAACTCAAAACATCAACATCATCGACAAAATGACTCGCTGCGGATGTTCTACTGCAGTCTAACGCCATGCCGTCGGGAATAGAAATTGAGATGGCAGGATCTCCTAATGTGTGGTGCCTGGATCGAATATGTCTCTCAAGATCGCGTTTTCTGACCAAAACTTTTTGACAAATGTCACACCTGCAAAAATGTTAAATTATATTTTACTACATACAATAGTTTATAGCTACGATGAGTTGAATAACTTTTCTTACCGATAAGGCGTGTTTCCATCTGAATGCAGTCTAATATGCTTATTTAAATTACTTGGATCTCCGAATGGACGATGACAAATTTTACATCTCAATGGTTTGTACCCAGTGTGGGTTCGGATATGAATTTTCAGCCCGTACTTTCTCGAGTACAACTTTCCACAGTATAGGCACATGTGGTGTCCATTCCGTGCTTTCCCCATGTTACTTACTATTGATTCTAATTGGGCTTCCGGGTCTGAGACAGAGACTGAAATGGTCTTTTCCACGGAAGGATTTCCACATCGTTTTCCACTCTGAGGAACATGATGACCATTGGTCGACCTGGGCTTTGAGGGTCGATTTGTTGTACTGGGTTTGTGACCATTATTGTTTCTATTACTACTGGAATTGATCTGCAATGATGACGAGATATGAGCCGATGAAGGTGTCGAATTGTTTGAGGATGAACTGCTCGTGACTACGAGGGAATGTCGGGACGAGTGGTGTGGTAGTGGGGCTGTTGTGAGGGGGAAACTACTAAAATGCATTCGCACGTGTGGGTGTGGCAGCTGATTTTTAACTAAAATTGAGACTAGTGAAGAGGGCGGCGTGTCGTTGGGTGGTGGTGACGTGGAAGGATTTTGAAATGCGGACCAAGGGGAGGAAACAGGTTTTGGGGATGTTGACGATGACGAAGCGAGCCTTCCCCATAAGACGGAAACGGGAAAAGTGTCACATTTTAGGGCAATATGCACCTTGAGATTATTTGGAGCTTCGAAGGAATGTCCACAAATGTTGCAAATGTACGAGTTTCCACCTGTAATTATAGCCGAATTGTAACCACGAAGTCAAATTATATTAATTAATTTCCTAACCTCTGATATTAACGGGGCTGAGATACGGCGGAATGCCCATTTCATCCATGAGAAGGTCCTCGTCAAACCAAAGTAAGAGTTCTTCACCGGAAGTTATGTCCTTTGTCGCTTGGAGAATCACTTCCGTCCTGCTCACTCTGGAGAGCTGGACATTTTGAGCGTGACAATCGGGTGCAATTTTTATCAGCTTGGGCCAAAATGGGGGCAGTTGTGCCATATTCAATGGTTGGATTTCACAATTTGTCCAAATGCCGACCTACATAATGAGTAAATTGAGTTAGTCTCATGTTGCCTCAACTCCATTTATCCAGCTTTTGGGGCACTTTAGAATTTCTCATTTTGCCTCATTTTCTCTAATATTCTCACCAAGACTCTTATTAACACACCCATTTCTTATCTAATTAGACTTACCTGGACATTGCTGTTCACCAAACTTCCAACGTCGTGAAGAAATGAAGAGGATCGACTCAAATGCAAATAGGCAGATCTTGACCCTCTCGGAATTTTTGTCACCGCAACCACCACAATTTTTCCAGCTTTCTCCATGCTTTCACCCATTACCTTTCGAGAGGAATTACCCAAATTTGTGTGAATAGTACTTATCGTGCTAAGTTAGTAATTAGTCGTATAAACTTGCAGAGGTAAGATGAAAGCAACTTGTTCAAATTGACCAGTTAATTGTGCATGGCACGTGCCCCACAAACACCGAACGAACGACTGGCACGCGACCGGTGAGTTGTGACCTGTTTTAACTAAATCCTCCATGTGAAGTAACAAGTGCACTTAAGTCATCAGGGTGGGTGCATGTGCAGGGCATGCATGGTGTGTAAGGGTGCGGATGAGAGCAAGGAAGGGTGACTTATGGATGGATGGGTATCATGTCATGTGTCATATGCACATGTTTATTACGTTTACGTTGATGCTGATGATGATATCAGTATCAACAATGGTGCATTTAGTGGGCTGGACACTATGCACTGCAGATCTGTAGATACCCTTTAGGCCAAGTTCATACTTTCACTACTACGTACGTATGCCCTGTGTTAAGTTGTGGCATATTCGAACCTCTGACGATCTAATATGTAGGACAACAATGCAACAATAGGCCCCTTGAGTTACAATAATGGTGGTGTAATTGCATTATGAAGAAGAGGCAAGGGTGCAAAAATCTGATAGAACATATTGTTCACGTTGATTTCGTACTTCTTTTAAAGGACATTATAACCCGTACGTAATACAAGATTACCGTTTGTGCCAGGACTTTTTTTTACTTTTACTGAATTTTCGTAAAACAGCATTTATGAAATCCTCATATCGTACAAAAACTGAACAAATTTATGAAACCAGGTTTCCTTCCCTTTTACGAGATGGATCATGATGACGATGACGGATGAGTTTGACAAACCCAACTCTCTCTGTCTGCCTTTTGCCTCCTCCTTCCTTCTCTGGACTGACTGAACCGATTCGAATTTCAATGTTTGTGTCAGCTGTAAACATAAAGGACAATTAAAATGAACCCAGCGAACGATTATGATGACGAGGAAGAGAGAGATGAGCATCGCTGGACCGTCAGCTGAAACCAGATAGAAAGGAAAACACTTGCTTCATAACATGAAAGTAAATGCCCGTGTCTAATCTAAACACGCAGAAAGAGCTCGTCGTGGTGGCAGTGAAAGGAAAGGGAAAGCTAAAACCTCAGCCAAACCAACCAAGCACAATGGGTCATCCTCCTCCATTGTATTTATAGATCCGATATGATTCGTACCATATACACGCCTATAGACTCCGGCCAAAGTTTTCATCCAGTGTTCGTTTTGTACGTGCAAAGCTTCTTGCGCCCAAAAGTGTCCAAAATAATTTTGGACTTTCAAAATTTCCAAAAGCGTCCAACATTGTAAATGAGGTAAAATGCTACAAGTTCTTTATTAACGACTTCTTTTCAAATCTATGTCCAAATATGTAATCTCCCATTAATTATGAGCATTTTAGTATGTATAATTTGGAAAAACTTTGGTTTTACCATGCTTTTCTTATGAGAAATTAAGAAACTTTCTAAACCATGTGGTATTATTTATTACAAACTAAAATATTCAATAATGAAGAACTTTTAACATAGCCCCATTTTCTATTTTGGACGTCCAAAATTCAGTGTCCAAACTGGTTAAAACCGGTTTTAACGGGTGTTTTAGACAGTGATTAAACCCACAGCGAAACCCTATTTTCATATCTCAAAAAATAAGCTGCATATTTTGATATAGGCGATCCACATCCCTGCTGCATCCTCCTCATCTTTTTGTCCAGAGTACAAAACGATTTAAACCCCATTTGTTGTGCTTTATTAATATGAGATGAACCTGGAAAGGGATGGAGAAAGGAGGGCAGATATATTTTTGTACAGTTTCATGTGCCCGAGCACCCTTGAAGGTATCACCTGTTACCAAATGATTTCATCTCAAAGTGCTCAACGCTAAACCGGACTTGCACGGTTTAAATGAATGGGTGACTGAGTTTTATATTGCAAGTTGTAAAATGCAATGGGTTCACTGAGCCATTAACCAATAATAACCAAAACTAAATGGGGATGCGCTTCTCACTTTATTAACTCGTTTTATTAAATTTTATTGTAAATATGTACGCGTAATCGACCGAATGGAATTGACAGCTGACGAAGAGATTCCGCAGATAACTGCATAACAGATAGATAAGCAGGTTTAGCATGTGTCAGATGAGGTTCAAAGTATGCGACCGTCTCAAAATGCTACCTTGAGACATTTGTTACAGAATAAAAAAGTCGCATCTCGCCCCATTGCAACTTTTCAGGTCACTTTTCTGCATAGATTTGTGTGATAAAGTTGGTGCGTCGTCGTAGAGCTCGACTAACTTTACGTCAGGAAACTAATAATGATCCACTGGAGATCATATTATTTGACCATTTTGTATTTTGTGAGGTTTTACAAGCGTGTGGGAATCCAGCATGTGGATAGCACATGTTGACGATCACTTCTCCTCGTTGCACCATCCCCCACAAGACCAAAAGACAAGAAGAACGAAGGGTGTCATATCGGATGGATTTCGAGCTGATACTCCAAGCACTTAAATTTAGACCTGGCCTTTGTATGGTGGTGGTGGTGGTGAGCCCTTTGCTGATTTGATTTAAAAAGGGGACCCTTCAACTCTTCTTCTCTTCCAATTCAGCTCGGATTGTGCACGGGTATTCAACAACCCTCGTTTAGTTCATGGTTTCAAATGTTCGGTGCGTCCTATTTTGATGAGCATAACCCCGAATGCCGTACATCATGCAGCCTGAAACGAATTCAGGGTATTAAGTATTAAACGAGAGGGGCAAGAATATAGATCCGCAAGCACTTGCACTTGCTCCTTGTACATGCTTTTTGCTAGGTTGGATTGGGCTTTGAAGGTACCACTACAAGATTAAATGGATGGAAAATAAATATCCATAAAAAATGGGGTTTTAATGCATTGTCGAAAGTGGAAAAGTTAACCCTTGGGTGACACCCTGCTATGGGGAACTTTCTTCTTTTCTGTCAAGGGGTGAAATAAAATTGAGATTTAAAAAATACACGATTGTATTGCTATAAAGGAAATATTTTACTCAAAGAAATTACGATGTGAATGGTAAAGTCAAGTCAGGTACGTATGTACGAAATATGAAAAATTAACAACATAGTTTATAAGCATTTATATTAAATATTTGCAGATTATCAGCCCTTGGAACGAGACGAGGAACTACTACTTTTGGAGCTGGAGCTACTGCTGCTGCTTGGACGCGAAGCTGACGACGACGAGGATTTACTCCCCCAGCCAGAAGATGAACTTGATGATGACGAAGGTTTTGATGCAGTAGATGATGATGATTTACTCGACGAACCACTCGACCAACTTGATCCTGACGAAGACGACGAGGAAGGCTTCGATGTCGCCCCCCAACCTGTACTTCCGGTTTGGCCTTTATTTTGTGCAGATGACGAACACGAGCTACCAAACCAAGTTGAGGATCCTTTGCTTGATGATGAGGGAGATAAAGGCTTGGAAGTTATGCTCCACCCCGAAGGCTTTTTCGTCGTTGCAGAAGCAGATGAACCACTGATTCCACCGGAGCCCCAACCTGATCGAGAAGAAGTACTTCCTATTTTATTGTTTGAAGAAGTTGTGGGAGTCACATTGCTTACAATTCCTTTACTTCCCCAGCCACTACTTGGTTTTGCTGTGGTTGGAGTACCGTAGCTTGACTGGTATACTGATCCCCCGGATGCTATATTTCCCCCTCCATAGTTAGCATTAGGTTGACTCCCTGACCAGGCAGTTGTTCCACCATTGTTTGACGGAGGAAGCCATCCAGCAGAAGGGGGTTTAGCTGTATTCGATGGGGTGATAAATCCAGCAGAAGGGGGTTTTGCTGTGTTCGGTGGGGTGATAAATCCAGCAGAAGGGGGTTTTGCTGTGTTCGGTGGGGTGATAAATCCAGCAGAAGGGGGTTTTGCAGTATTAGATGGGTTGATAAATCCAGCAGGAGGGGGTTTGACATCACTATTAGTATTTAAATTTGAACTGGAGGTGGGAGGACTGATCCATCCCGCATTTTGACTACTTTGCTGCTGGCCGAAGCCGGGTTGTTGCCCAAACGTTGGCTGACCGAAGCCGGGTTGTTGTCCAAGCGTTGGCTGACTGAAGCCGGGCTGTTGCCCAAACGTCGGCTGACCATAACTTGGTACATTTGTTCCATAATGATTTCCCCCTTGGCTTCCAAAATGCGACTGACCAAATCCAGGCTGACCGTATTGTGTTTGACCAAAACCAGGTCCGTAATTTCTACCTTGGTTTGTTTGTCCCCCGTAATTCGTTTGTCCATAGTTCGGATGCTGGCCGAAGGTCTGATAGTTATTACCTCCACCAAAGTTTTGCCCAAAAGCGGATCCTCCACCCCCAAACATTCCTCCGTTTCCATACTTATTTCCATATCCCTTATCCTTAGATAATTTACTCGCTACGACCGGAAGAGCTGCCATCATTATTGCGGTTTTATAACTGGGTCGTTTCATCCCAAATCCTCCAAAGCCTTTGTTCTTTTTTCCCCACTTCTTTCGTTTTGGACCCTTGAATCCGATCCCAAAATTTTCAAACGATTCTGATGAAGATGAGTCGAAACCACCATATCTTCCAAATCCACTCCCGTATCTCCCATACTCGTCGCCACGACCATAAGAACCGTACGAAGAAGGTGCACCCATTTGGAAGCCATATCGGTCGTTGTAACGTCGCTCGTATTCCGTAATGACACGCTGCGTCCTTCGACCTTCTCCACCTTCACGAGACGTTGTCGTGTCCTCCAACTCTCCAATTTCACCCTTTTGAAAGTAGTCTTCTATATTCGTTCCATTTTCTTGCAGCTCACGAATAAACTTGGCGTCATGTGCGTGGTCGGTAAGAACGGTGAAAACATAGTCAAAAACAGTCTTGATCAATCCTCCTTCAGTCATTTTCCTTGGAATTTCATCTTCAATGTCCTAAACAATCAAGCGTCAAATTTCTCAAGTTAAGCATTTGTTATTAGAAATGATTATAGAAATTGCATATTTTTTCAGCTAACCGTTTCATTATCGCCACGAGTGAGATTTGTTATCAAGTTAGTTGTGGCGTTGTAGTGTGTTCCATTAATGTAGGTCGAGTTCGCTTCAGGAATAATGGAGTAGTTGCTGCTGTTGTTAGCTGGGGATACATCCGACGAAAGTGATGGTGTCGTCGTGACGTTAAAGTCAGATGGAGACACGAAGGGGAGAAATTGTGCTATAAAGGTCATGACCAGCCATTTCAGCAGGGGTGGTCTGATTCTCATTGCTGTTAAATTAGTCAAGAAAATTAATTCCGTCAATTTGCTTAAACTACAAAATTTAATAACTGATTTAATAAACTCTTGCTTGAGCGATCTCTAAATCACAACTGCTGATTCCTAAACATCATCCAACTTACATGTATGAATTACTATGAATCAGTTTACATGTTATGAATGCCTTCGTCTGCAAAAACATCTTAAATTTGATTAGAATGGTTATCTAGGGGTTTAGGTGAAATTATGTGTCAACGCCGTCAATGGAACAAAATGAGTCTTGAATTGGGGTTATCTTTTGATCATTTGATAAATTCTAATGTAAAATACAATGGGGCAAGATGAGATAATGCACAAAAATGAGACTGATTCATGCATTAATTTATTATTATTATGTAAAATGAATCAAAACTGAAACGTGGCTTATCTTAGTCTACTGCACTAATGCAAAAATGGTTTGAAGTAATTTTCCTTGATTACGAAGGTCGGGTTCAAGATTTAAGAGGTCATGTGTCAGCAGGACTGTGTGTACATAAATAAAACACACTTATTTAATGGAAATACAACTTACACATTGGAAGATTAACTATGTTAGATAAATATGTATATCAAATTATCAATTAACTGCTGACCAAATGTGCAATAAGCCTGTGAACGTTATCCAAAGCATTAATAAATATGTAGATTATGTATTACTCACACTGACTCGAGGTGAAACTGCAGATTGATCATCGGAAAATTAAGACAAGTCAAATATGAATTTTGCATAGTTGCAGTACTAATATTTATTTGACATTAAAAATTAATTGAAGCTTTTACAAAAAATCCACATCAGATCTGACAAGATCTTGTTTTCAGATAGACATACAAATATTTGTGGTAGCAATTTGCAAACTATAAATTTTCAGAAATATTTTTCAAAACTGCAGCTAAATTTTCCGATGCATATTGAAGTGGCGTTTTCTTGGCCTTGTTTTCCTTGCTGATATCTCCACCATGATGCACCAACATCTTTGCTTCTTCCACTCGTTCTTCTTCACAGGCCAAGTGCAGTGGAGTATTTCCGGCGCTATCACGAGCGTTGACGTCGATCCTGTCGCCCTTGTCGAGAACCAGTCTCACAATTTTGGTATGTCCTTGCGACGAAGCTCTATGTAGGGGTGTAGCGTTAAGATTATCCGTAATGTTGACATTGGCACCGTTGGTGATAAGCAATTCCACAATCTGCATATAAAATTAACAGACAATTTTAATGTAATCACATTTGTCTTAAAGCTCCTCAAATGACTCACGTCATAATGATTCTTCGATGCTGCATATTGAAGAGCGGAATGACCTCCAGAATTTTGCGAGTTAATATCTGCTCCCTTGGCTAACAATAGTCGGACAATATCCGTCCTCCCAGCAGCAGCCGCAATGACAAGCGGTGTTAAATTTGACTAAAATAACATAATATATCATAGTTAAATAAATATTTATTGATGTGTGACAATTAATAACGCAATTAATTAATCCACACATCATCGGTAGCGTCAATATCCATGTTGGGAGCTTTCGCCAAAAGAAATTCTACAAATTCTTTATGTCCTGTGCTTGCAGCCCAGTGGAGTGGGAGGCGTCCGCTCTAACAAAATTAATTAATGTTAAGTTACAGGACCATTTAATTTACATTATTAACGCATACTTACATCATCAGTTTTCTTTAGCAGTTTCTCGTCTTTTTCAATCATATCCTGCGCCCGGAGGATGTCGCCTTGTAGAATCACGGTGTGGATGGACGGGGATGGTTTTGCTGCAAAAATCATTAAAATACTAAATTACCATTTGTTAATTAGTTTTATGTAATAAAAATCATGGTCAATTTTTAAGGCATCGTTTCTCTTTGTTGTAAATGGCAATGTTGGGGTAAATGAAGCAGCCCGGTAAACAGATTACGGTATATTTGTATAAGAATGATTCACTTTTTTACTAAAAACATTAAAAACTCCCATTTTGTTGGGACTTTAACTCTGTTAATGCTCTTAATTTGTAACAGTTTTAAAATATATAATTCCTCGTAATTGAGTGCAATTTACCTGGCAAAGACATGTTCCTGTGAACTCGAAAGTGCGACTGACAATACACAATAGATACAATTTCTTGTCTTATCACTTAAAAAATTAGTGATTAACTCAAACGGTTAAAATGTCCGAAAAACTGGAACAGGTAAAGTTGTTAATTTTATAAAGGTTAATTAATTAAGTGTTCGGGAGATATTTCAGACGAAGGGAAATAAATACTTGACTATGACTTGAATGAACCCCGAAAAACTTTCCTCCCTTTTCAACTAAAGGCAGGGTTTAGTTGCGACATTCTTGACTATTTAAAATATTTAGTAATTTGTATGAAAATTTTTATGAAAACAACAGCACTCTTATGATAATAATGCGTCTTTTTTAATTTAACCATAAATCTAGATTGAATCGGGGTTTGAGTTTTTACGGGACGCTGCCAAACGAAATGAACATCTAACAAAGAACTTGACTGGGATTTTAGAAGAATTTCAAGGTTAAGAGAAATATGGTCAATTTTGTAATTATAGGAATCGTACGCCTAGTGCAGTCACTCATTAATTTGTATTTGTTATTGTTCATATTTATGATAATGATTTGTTACATTATTTTTTCTGCAGATCGGGTAGGACGACTTCAAGAAACCATTTTGCCAGTTTATCAACAAACCGAAGCTTTGAGGTTGAAGCAACAAAGTAATTGAACTCTTCTGATGTTACAGAATATTTTATGGGTAGTTATATTAATGAACGATGCATTATATTGTATCATTTTTAGATTTGGAGAAGACGTTGAAACTCGTAGATGAGGTGGTCAACTTTTATAGTGTCAGTAAAGAAGTTGATGTCATCATTCAAAATGGTCCTTCCGGTGGGAACTTGGACACGTTTCTCCAAGCGATGGAAACTATTGAAAATGCTGTGAAATACTTTGAGGTAAAGTCAGATTCGTATGATATTAACTTGCGAAAATGATGTGCATTTTTATTTAGAGCTAAACATGACTAGATGATGGACCATAATTGATTTGTTTTATTGTTTTTTTTGCAGAAAAATAATTCACAATCTGTAGAGCTGGAAAATTTGGTACGTATTTAATTGTAGCAATTTGATCTAAAAAAGTGTAATACGCAATTTACAAATATTGTATGTATTTTCCTAAGTTATCATTATTCAATACTGGATCAGACGCCTTGAGCAAAGAGTTTAGAGATATGCTGACGAGACATTCGAAGGTTTTAAATGCTGTAGCAATCCTGGAAATGATTGAAGAAGGTGTGAAGGAATAACAACTAATTGACAGTATAAGTGAAATTTAATTAATTTACTGATTGGTTTGATTAAAGATTACTCTAGCCAACAAAATTCCAGTACCTCCATGCCTGAGCATGTTCAAGGTAACTTTAAAAATATGACTCTCATAGGATACGATAAATATTAATATTGTTCTTATTTCTTCCAGGAGATTTGAAGAAAATCGCAGAATGGTTAATGTACCATAATGTCGATACTTACATGAATATATACGCATCGTTAAGGTCAAACGCATTACAAAAATCCTTGCAAGGGTTGAAGGATTATCAAAAGTCAAGCAGCCTAACAATGGCAACAACCGGATCGGCTGTGGCCAGTCCTTCTTCTCCTGTGATGGTAATGAGTCTAAAATTTATATACAAATACGTGTTGACATATTCAACAACATAATTTTACAATGCAGCGACGGTCAGGAAAATTCGACACACCCAGCAGTGCCGGAAAAGGACGACGGATTCAAAGTGCATTTAAAATGTTGAAGAAAGCCACAACAGATCACTCACGAGGTTATGGATATGGACTCGGCTCCAAGAAATTTGGTAGATCCTTTGTTATTTTCGTGTGGCAAACTGAATGAATCTCAAGTTTTTTTTTTCTTAATTCTGAATAAATAGAGAACAAAGAGGACACCGTGTCCGACAGAGAATCTGAAAACTTCTTGATATTAACAACAGCGATGTTGAAACTTATGCAGATTGAATCTCAACTTATGCTTGGCATTATTCCCATGCAACATAGGAATAAAATTTTTGAAATTATTTCTCGTGATAGTTTCGACTTGCTGTTTGCCGATGGCGAGGTAATTCATTATAGAAAAGAACATTCGAATTTCAAACGTTGAATGAAATGCAGGACCATACTTAACATTGCTTTACTATTTGTAGAACATTGCAAGTAGGATCAAGAAAAGTATAAGCCGGCAAGAATTCTCAGCAATCCTGACCTTATTCCCGATCATTAAATGCCTGCAGACCTTACAACCTAGTTTCGACGAGATTTTTGTTGGCTCTCTCCAAACAGCAAAGGCAAACAAGTTGACAATATTGCTCAAAACATTTCAGACAAACGTGAGTGTATTTTATCAAGTTTTATTTTAATATTTAGACCTAATAATAATAATATGTTACACATATAACATGGTGTAGGGAATGAGGGCGCTTGAAGAGTTCATCGAAAATGTTCGTAATGAGCAGGCATCCCAACTACCAAAGGACGGCACGGTTCATGAGTTGACGAGCAATGTTTTGATGTTTTTGGAACATTTAACTGATTACATGGACACCGGTAAGTTGCATGCTGCAATTATTTAACAGGGTTTAAAAATTTTGGTGGTTGGTTGGGTGATACTTATAGTTTAACTTTGCAGTGGCTAACGTTCTGGCACAAGATCCCACATATAGCTTGACGCCCTCTCCAAGCAATAAAGTTTTGGACGAGAAAACGAAGCGTGGTTTACTAGGTGCTTACATGAGTAAGTGTGGTCATCATTTATTTGATGTAATGTATTTGAGAATTGAATTATTTAATATGTACTCGATATACCATTATTCACACAAACTTATCTGTATTATATTTATATGTATTCCTGTTTGTATTTGTTGTAGAACGTGTCCTTCAACAATTAAATCTTACCCTCGTAACGTGCAGCGACCTGTACTACGATCATTCCATAAAGGCAGTTTTCCGACTAAATAATGCCTGCTACATTTTGAAATGCCTTCAAGGATCAATTCTCCTCGACCTCCTTAAAACAAAGGAGCCTGACTGCCAACAGAATTACATTGAAATGATGGAGGACCAGCGGAAGGCCTATCTAATTGCAACGTACGATTTTGAAGTTCATTATGGCTTTCTTGATAAGCACTTTAGTTTCCTTTATCTGCTGCTGGTAGTTTCTAAGCAGCAATACTTATATAATTCACGCATTCTCATTCCACCACTGTCACCGGCCATCCCTTTTCTTAAGTTGAGTTAAGTTGAGTGGTGCTTTTACTCTCTCGTTATTTAGGTGGAAGAAAGTTGACTATTCCAGCAAACTATTCGGCGCAGATGATATCCCAGTCGCAGTTCTACAAGCAGGCAAGCTGAGGGATAAGGATAGGCAGATTATAAAAGATAAGTTTTCTGTAAGTTTATGGTTAAAACGTGTGCAGATGTGAGGATGATGTCCTTAATCGACTACGTAATCATTACTGGTGCAATATTATTAGGCATTCAACCGAGAAATGGACGAGATATCAAGACTCCAGCAAGGATATTCAGTACCAGATCCTGAACTACGAACTCAGCTACAAAAGGCTTCTCGAGACTACATCATACCAAAGTACAAGGAGTTCTTTGACAAATATTCCAACGTGCCTTTCACCAAAAATACGGAAAAGTATGTGAGATTTACTCCAATGTCAGTGGCTGACAACATTGACACTTTTTTCCTCCAAAATTGTTAAACTCTTATTATTAGTTAATAGATCTGTCCACTTTATTATCAAAATGATGAGTCAACAAACTGCTTATTTTTCTTGCAGTCTGCATTATGTACCTAGTTAAGCGCAACATAATCAGTTTACCAAAGTTCATAGTATAATGTTATCAGGTTAGTCACTGCTAGTAGTAGTATATACCTCGTTTAATTTCTCTAGTTTTTTCAGCATTGTTTTAAAAAATCTTGTAAATTACATGGTAGAGGTTCCACAAAACAAGAGATTAGATGCAGCATTGTGCATTGTTTGAGGCAATAAAGCTGATCGCATTTTTACTTTTTGTACACTCACGTAGCAGAATAATCCATCCATGCCCTCTTCATACCATTATTATTGTGTTTTATCCCTGTCCCTCCCATTCTCATAAAATATTTCTCTCCTCTCTCGACTGACGACAATGCCCACTTCTTCTTCTCCTGAGCTGTTATAAGTTTCTAATCCGCTTTGTATCTCGAATGTCGATCTTCTAGTATGCTTCAAACACTTGATCTTCCCATGCAGCAAAAGTGTCTCGTTGTTACAAAACTCTTCTGCAGTTGTCTCACTCTTCCTCGTCGTCGTCGTCTTTCTCCCTTCTTTCTCATTCCCTCACTCATCCCATCATATCGTCTCACTCTCTCCCTGTCTGCAATATAATGGGATGAAACAAAAGGTGTTAGTTACAAAGTTTATGGTGACATTAGCCTCTTACATACTTTGTGCAACACACTATGTGTAAAATATAGGCAGAGTTTTGCTTTCTGCTCCCTGTGTATTCTCATCTCTGACACTCTTCCATCACCATTTCTATGCTAATGTTCAGTTATGAGTCTCACTTTTTCCTTCATCCCTCTCCGCCAGCCGTAGTGTTATGCAGGCATGTACGACATCCTCCCCAATTTCATTATTACGACACGTATAGAAAATGCATGGCTCCTCTGGAATGAATCTTGGCTACGAGATTCTTTCTTACATATTCTGCAACATTTTTACATTACTTTACTCTCCAGTTAGTTTTGTGCTTGGGTTAGTTGTTTGTTGTGTGTGTGTGTAATAATATTCCTCCGTTTTCTTTATGCCACCTTCCTTCCCCGACATATTCATGCATTGCTAGTTTGCATTGTGTATTCATTCCTTCTTCTTCTTCCTGAATATGCCATCCCGGGCGGGTATGAGATGGTTCCTTCGTGTTACACCAGGAAAGCAGTTATGTTCTGATTTATCTCATCCCTTGTTCATTTGGCTCAGTTCTCATTTCAAAAATGTCTCATCCTTCAATTTCTCCATTTTCAAGAGACATTCAATTCTCGCAGTTTTGGATTGAAAAGGAAGAAGAGAAGGAGGAAAACATGTCAAGAGAGTGCAATTAGTTTTTTATTCATGGGCTCGTGTCGCTCGTATTCTCCTCTCTCCCTGCTATCTCAGAAATAAAGAAAAGTGAGCATGATGATAATTCTACGTGATGCTTCTCTCTCTTTTTTTCGTCTTCTTTTTAAAAAATTATTTGCTCCTTGTTACGTTATGATGAAAGCAGGCAGTATAAATTTAGTCGCGACACATCTTTCTGTCTCCTTGTCACAAATAAGATTCAGATTCATGGCGTCTACCATTGTTTAGGATAAAGGAGAAGGTGGTGACGTGGGTGAAGTAAGTAAAATCCCGTCTCCTACATCCATCCATGTATGTGCTGCGGCGATACATAAACATGGCTGAATACTGTACAAGGTTGAAATTGAACCCAAAAGAATCGGTCGGAGTAGTTTTACTACAATTTAGAATTTAGAGTCGGATGCCCCTCGTAAATTTAAAACTTTCTCCTGGACTTTCACTAAATCCGGTTCGCCATGGAGGAGAGAGATGGATCGTGATAGATGTAGGAATCTGACCAGAACGGAATCCAGGCAGGATCACAAGAAGAAGAATAAGACGGACCATGAGGAGGAATAAATACGGATAGAAAGGGAACGGAACAGGCCATCGTTCCGAGTTGGATGGATGGATGGAGAAAGTTTTTGGATGGATTTAGCTATATTTGCTTCAATGTATTCAAAACATTTCGACCCGTCACTAAATTAACCAGAATTTCGGCTTAATTGCAAACATCAGTAACTTTATAGAGGGATACATACAAAATGAATCTGATGGACGTTCCATGCATCGCCATATGATGACCCAACAAAGTGTGATTATCCGTCAATTTGTCTGTGTGGAGGGGACTTTAGGGTACGTGCTAATAAATAATATGGAGTGCGGGGATGAATATGGGTGTAGTCGGAGTAATGGATCTTATTGAGAAGTCCCCAGGGTTTTGATCTCCCTGTTGTACGTGTGTCGATACTCCTCCATCCTGCCAGCCCGTAAGTAACTAATGTCTCGTGTCTCATTGTCTTTCCTTTTCCTATGTCTCAATAAGAGACTTGGTGAAAAGAAGTGACCGAGCATCCCAGACGGTGAATCTTCATTTGGGCTGATCTATGAGACTACAATGCTCCCGGTGGGAGTACAAAGACTTCTTTTTTAATATTTCACACCTTGACAAGCACCACCCAGCACATACAAGTTGCAGAAAGAGAAAGAAGTGGAAAAAGTGGAAGGGAGAGGTTCCACGAGAGCGGTCGTGGTGACGCCAGAATGGGGAAAGTTGGCGTGGGGTGCTTCAAAATACTCGGCTCTTACTAATGAATGAATGAATGAATGACAGAGTAGGGAAGAGAATTATAGTCGCCGGGGTTTGTCAGTAAATAGGTTATGATTAAGTTAATGGTGATTGATTGGTAATTGAGTTTAGAGGGGTTTTGTCCCCCATGTAAATAGACTGATGAGTTTTAATGTGTAAAAAATTCTCATTTCTCGTACCCAGAAGAAAATGAGATATTTATTCATTCAACACAGTATTTGTAGAGTCCTTTATTCCAGAATGGACGCCTAGGTAAAAAAGAAAATCGGTGCCCAAAACTAACGAGTTGTTGAAAGACGTACCAGTTTTTAATTTGTATCACTCGACTTTCTTTCCAACAGTCCTGATTCTGAGTGAAATTAGGAGAAATGTGTTGTTCGCTCCGTGTTTTCTTCCCTCTTTCACCTGTCCGCCTTCAATTCATGTTAGTGAAAGTAAAATTCACCAACTTTAGTGACTCGAAATACTTGGTTAAGTAAGAAGAAGAAGAAGAGCGTGTAAAAAAAGAACACGACTTTTTTCGCACCTCTTCCAATTCTCTGCTCCCTTATCCGTTCAGTTCTTTAGGTATTTGTACTTGCACGTTCATTGTTTATTCGCTGGATGGATTTAAAAAAATAAGAAACAAAATTTCAGAGTAAGATTAAACCGTGTAATAATCCTGCAAAGAAAATTAATTCTCATTTAACTCTGCTCTTCATTTCTCTCTCCTTGATTTAAATGAATGTTTAGCAATTTTGACTCGGGCCTCGTAACCGCTGCGAAATAATCATAATAATCTAGAGAACAAAACAGGCTTCATTTTTCAGCCGGTGGAATTAAAATATATTTCTGCCATTAAATATCCTGTCATCTCCGCTGCATGGGAAAAGGTGTAATCATTGTGGTAATCATCATCATCTCCGTCGTCGTCTTAATTCTACCCACACCTTAAACTTTGCCAAAATGAAATTTGAGGTCAAAATTATTGAAATTAAGTGGAGAAAGTTACGCAAACGGAGGCAGAGAGGGGTAAAAAAGGAGGAGTAAAAAAATGGGAGTTTGTATAACGACTCGTGATATCTGCATGCAAAGTAATTATATGTTGTTGCGCAATTAATGGTGTTTTACTGCCTCCAGAAAATGAAGTAAAGTTTCATTATTTCACTCAAATTTGTGAAATATTGAAAGTAATTAAACAAAATCTCATCAAGTAATCTCAGCAACTTTTCCTTGTTTACTTTCCTCATTAATTTGAGCTCATTAAACTGTCTATCTTCTCCAAAATCCAATTGAATTCTAAAGACGAGGAGAGAAAGGTTCCGTTCTGATTTGACTTTTGTGTTCCTGCATGCGAAATAAAGTTTGAGATTTGTTTCGATTGTTGCATTGCTGGTGGGATTAAATAAGCACTGTTGTTCGATTTAAACGAGAGAAAGGAAGGAGGGTATAACGGAGGGGTGGGGGTGAATATAAGTGCGAAGGAAAGTATCAAATTCTGTAACCTGTTGTGGACGCGATCAAATTCAGGCATTTCTTTCATTGTATTTCCTCCTGTGTGAAGATTTCAACGTCTTTCTTGCAGAAAATTGGTTGGATTCTGTGCAGAAAAGCTTTATGCAGAGCGACTTGTGCAGCAAAATTTTGCAGAATTATGCACATACCGTTCTGCAGAATAAAACCGATAGAAATTTTCGGCATGATTATGTTATGTAAAAACAAAATGCAAAATACATCGAGCTTTTGTCGATTACTGCAGATTTACTCTAGTTTTACTACGCAAGTTGGTATATAAAATGTTTTAAACTCAATTTGAAAATAATATTGTGATAAATTTTTAAATATCAGAAGAGAGAGTGTAATCCTGCAACTAAATATGATGGGCACATACAGACATGGACTTGCCAGCATCTACTTTCTCTTCTCCAGGTACGCACTATATGTACGTGTACTAAATATGTGCAAGCCCAACGAAATACAATATGTATGTATGTACGTAGCTACGTAATACTACGTATGTACACATTAATTCGTCCAAGATGATGATACTGGTGGTGGTGGAAGTAAAGCAAAGCGTCTTAAAGGCAAACTGGGTAATTCCATTCTACTGTTTTCTTCTGGTGTTGCTGCTGCTGCTTGCTGTGCCCAGCAGCTTTCTCTCCTCGGGTAATATGGCAGAGTGAGCAGGAAGGAATAACAATATCAGTGATTTAGTGTGGAAATACTGCGCCCTGCTTTGGTTAAGCTAATCTTAAACGCGTTACGTGAGTTGACATTAATTGGATAACTTGGAAAGTTCATGATTTGTGCGGACTACTCACTCTTTACTTACAATAATCCACCACCCACCCGACCGACCTCACCCTGCCTCCGTCTAAACGACCACCCAAAGTATCAACTATGTACACTTTAATGTCTCCTCTTGTCTAACCTAATCTCGAGTCATTCTGTCCCATAAACTCAAGTACGTACGTAGTAGTCAAATTCAGATTCCGGTCCAAATTTGAGATGAGGTACACACAAACCCAGGACGACGGAGAATACCTTCGCAAGGGGGAGATGCAAACTTTGCACTTTATTGCAAGAAGAGTGTGGCCTCTGTAACATCCTGTCTCTCTCGTGTCCTTCATTCCTCCATTCCGCAGGCCC